GGTAAAATTGCGATTTTACTTGCCCCGGAGCAACTCTTTCGCACGAAATGAAGGTCGATCGGCAAAAACTGAGGTAAATTGCGATTTTACTTGCCCCGGAGCAACCCTTTCGCACGAAATGAGGGTCGATCGGCAAAAACTGAGGTAAAATTGCGATTTTACCTGTGCCGGAGCAACCCTTTCGCACGAAATGAGGGTCGATCGGTAGAAACTGAGGTAAAATTGCGATTTTTCCTGTGCCGGAGCAACCCTTTCGTCTGTGTGTAAAAGCGTCTGTGTGTAAAAGCGTCTGTGTGTAAAAGCTTCTGTGTGTAAAAGCGTCTCTGTGTGAAAAAGTCTCTGTGTGTAAAAGCGTCTGTGTGTAAAAGCGTCTGTGTGTAAAAGTGTTTGTGTGTAAAAGTGTTTGTGTAAAAGCGTTTGTGTGTAAAAGCCTCTGTGTGTAAATGTGTTTGTGTGTCAAAGCGTCTGTGTGTAAAAGCGTCTGCGTGTAAAAGCGCCTGTGTGTAAAAGTGTTTGTGTGTAACAGTGTTTCTGTGTAAAAGTGCCTGTGTGTAAAAGCGTCTATGTGTAAAAGCTTCTGTGTGTACAAGCGATTGTGTGTAAAAGCAGCTCCTGTGTGTAAAAGGATCTGTGTGTAAAAGTGTCTGTGTGTAAACGTGTCTGTGTGTAAAAGTGTCTGTGTAGAAGCGTCTGTGTGTAAAAGCTTCTGTATGTAAAAGCTTCTGTATGTAAAAGCTTCTGTCTGTAAAAGCTTCTGTGTGTAAAAGCTTCTGTGGGTAAAAGCTTTGTGTGTAAAAGCGTCTGTGTAAAAGCGTCTGTGTGTAAAAGTGTTTGCGATGCAAACTAGTGTCTTGCACTTCTCACTATTTTGTCTTGATACTCCTCTTCTCGACTGCCTATAACACAGCTTTCATATACCGTTTCTAAAATTGCATCTCCATACTAACAAGAGAAGACCCTGCTCCTCTACGCTCTCGGGCCATCCGTCGTCTAGTTTCAATATTTCCCCAACAGCAAAAGCTAATGGTGTCTTCAGCTCAGAATAGCTCCGGTGTGCACTGGTGCAGGCGCCGGGTCAGGTTCAACGAGGTTCCGGAGAAGGTTCCGGAGAAGGTTCCAGGAAGCCTTGGTGCAAAGCCAAGTCAGGCTCAACAGGGTTCCGGAGAAGGTTCCAGAAAAGGTTCCGGAGAAGGTGTGGGAGGCTTTGGTGCAGAGCCAGGTCAGGTTCAACAGGGTTCCGGAGAAGGTTCCGGAGAAGGTCTGGGTGCAGCGCCAGGTCAGGTTCAACAGGGTTCCGGCGAGTGTTCTGGAGAGGGAAGCTTTGGTGCAGAGCCAGGTCAGGTTCAACAGGGTTCCGGAGAAGGTTCCACAAAAGGTTCCGGAGAAGGTCGGGGAGGGTTTGGTGGAGAGCCAGGTCAGGTTCAACAGGGATCCGGAGAAGGTTCCGGAGAAGGTGTGGGAGGCTTTGGTGCAGAGCCAGGTCAAGTTCAACAGGGTTCCGAAGAAGGTTCCGGAGAAGGTTCTGGGAGGCTTTGGTGCAGAGCCGTGTCAGGCTCAACAGGGTTCTGAAGAAGGTTCCGGAGAAGGTCTGGGAGGCTTTGGTGCAGAGCCAGGTCAGGTTCAACAGGGTTCCAGAGAAGGTTCCGGAGAAGGTCTGGTGCAGAGCCAGGTCAGGTTCAACAGGGTTCCGGCGAATGTTCTGGAGAGGGAAGCTTTGGTGCAAAGCCAAGTCAGGTTCAACAGGGTTTCGGAGAAGGTTCCGGAGAAGGTGTGGGAGGCTTTGGTGCAGAGCCAGGTCACGTTCAACAGGGTTCGGGAGAAGGTTCCGGAGAAGGTGTGGGAGGCTTGGGTGCAGAGTCAGGTTAGGTTCAACAGGGTTCCAGAGAAGGTTCCGGAGAAGGCCTGGGAGGCTTTGGTGCAGGGCCAGGTCAGGTTCCAACAGGTTCCAACAGGTTCCAACAGGTTCCAACAGGTTCAACAGGGTTTCCAGGGCTTGGCTTTGCAGCACGCTTCAGAAAGATTTGCAAAAATAAAACGTTGCGGCTGTTGGGGATACCACCGATTTTTTTTTTCATAAGCAGGGGGAGGTATGGACATCCACAAGTCCCTGCTATTTTGATTTGAAGAGAAGGGTGGGTGAACTGACCGCCTTTTGTTTTGCCCTGATTGTTTATGCACATTATATTCCAATAACAGTTCCTAAAAACATCTGGCAAAACTATAACGACCTCACTGCGAACTCACTGGAATGATGGTTCGTACTGTAGGGGGAACTATCTCCAAATGACCGTATTTCAGGTTAGTGAATACTTATAAGTTACCCAGAGTCATGCACAGCGTATATCATAGCTGCCACAGCTTGTTCCAATGGATGTTCACCTCGACCTGATGTTTTTTTTGGGTGATCGCTTGCCAATGACTTGGAGGCTATTCTAGTGATCTCACTCGATCTCCCGTTGAATTTTGGTAGGGAAATCATTTTATCGATATTTCATGATTCAGAATCATATGGGATGGATTTGGATCGATCTCACATCGATCGTCTAGAAATTTCATGGCTTTAAGCTGTAAGATGGGTTCTTCCAGAAATGGGATACACCATGATATACCCCAAAATAGCCATGAAAAAGAGAACGATGTTCCAAATTGAGGAGCTGGTAAGACGTGGGACCAACTTGGAGGCCCGCTGAAAAAGACCTTGGTCATCAAGCACTACAGGGGCAAAATCTATCAAACTATGGATTTGAACTTGCAAATCAATGGGGAGATTTGAAGATAATTCAGGTATCTTGCGGTTTGTGTAGATTAGTGTAGCTTCGTACAACAGCAGAGTGAAATTCGTTTCGTTTCGATTCGTTTGCGGTTCTGATCTGATCCGTGTCAGCAACGCGGTACGTGTTGGAACGAGCTCTTTTGACATTGAGAATGATTGGGAAGACACGCTCAAGGGGCACAGTATAAGATGTACAGTATAACGTGAACCTAGGATCAATAAAAAAAATCACCGCCTGTGTACCAATCGGAGGGGAATTGCCCATTTCAATCGTAGTTCATCGCTTCTTCGGGGGGTCACCTCCCTAATTCCTCAACAGAGTCATCCTTGATGCTGACCCATCCTGGTTTCCAGTAAGATCATTTTTTTCTATTGGATTCCTCATTTGTTTGATGTTCCCTGTGCAGTTTCTATGGTATACCCTCTGTTAAACGTTTACATAGCTATTGAACATGGCCATAGAAATAGTGGATTTTCCCATAAGAAATGGTGGATCTTTCCATGGTTATGTAAACGTTTACCAGAGGGTAGCACTCCATTTGTTGGGAACATTCCAATTTTTCCCATGATCGTGGCGTAGCGATGCCAATCTTTTGGTGCCCTGGCTCCACATGTCAATCCCATCCCCTCTTATTCCGTCCAATAAGAGAAGCCAAAATGAAGAGATCCACTACCAAACGAGGGTTGTTTGGGGAAGTATCTATTTGATGAAAAATCAATGCAATTATGTAATTGATAAATCAAGTAGATTCCCCACAATATTCCCATAGTCTATTTGAGATTGAAAAAGAAGGGATCTTATTGCCATCCCTCCAATTGACATGATGACCCTGCCATGAGTCGGAGGACAGTTCTTTCCTCTAAAATGTTAGTCATAAAGGATATTAATGTGTGTACAATATAATATACATATATATATATATATATGCACACAGACACGTTATATACTTATATGAACTTATATTTCTATTTATGCACGATATTTACATAGCCTATTCAGAACCCCATGATATCCCCATGATATCCTTAGGCGCGTGAGCCGCGCCGTGGCTTCCGAGCCTTACACCTTGCGAGTGCGCGGAAGGGTGAGACCTCCCACCGGCTTCCGACAGGGGGGATTTAACCATGAAGATGATGATATTTCATGGCGAAATCGTGGGAAACATAGACACATATATATATATATACACTTATTTATATATATATATATATATGTAAATAGTTCAACATATGTGTATTATATATATATAACCAATGATAATTTGGATGTGAGTGTGAAAATGGCGGATTGAAGCCCCAAATGGCCATTATGCGACCTCACTGTGGCTGACGTCACCATAGAGGATGGTGCCCCATTCCATCCCATGAATTTGCAACATCAAACCCATTTAAAAACAAATCCATCTACTCCAGGGTTAGATTTTTCATTTTCCTGGTAGAAAGATGGGTAAGCACCAGATTCTGCGGGAAAAGTTGGGAAAACACCAGTTTTTGGGAGTTCCATCTTGGATTTCAGCCGTAGGGAGGCCGGTGTTTGCAGACAGCTGTTTGGACCTCCTATAGCATTCGATAGGCATTGATTTTGACAACCTGGATGTACCATTGCATGTCTGAACATGGGGGATTCACCACCAATATATTTCCTATTCAGCCAGCTCTAGAAGTGGACAAAATCAATCGCCCAGTCCCAGCGGCTTCCTAGGCCCAAAAGATCCCAAAAGATTTGGGTAGAGATCTGAATGTTTCCAACAAAAACTCAAGGGTTCTCCCATTGTTTCAATTGATAGAACCCCACTCAAAGGGGAACTAGCTTGCCTCATGTCTGTCTCGAACTGAAGCACTTGTTGACTTTCGTGTACTATTCTGGTGGCTTGGATATTTGCATGCTTGGGATGATGGCAATGAGCATGTACAAGCACTTCTAGGGAAAATGAACGAATTCAATCGGGCATGGATAAACTTTAAGAACTAGACACCACAGATTCTGGTAAAGTTTGAGTTTCCAATCATATGTTGTGGTAAAGGCAATGATCAAAATCCAATCGAGGATGGTTGAAATCCCAGAGAGAGTCTAATTTTTCCACACGGCAAAAACAAGCTGGGAAACTCAATGAACATTATCCCAAAACTATGTTTTGGCAGTGCACGATTCATGTGTTTTTCTGCCACATTAGAATCATTAGAACCGTTCCTTTTCTTTGGAGGGCCGGAACCCGGCTGTTGAGCCATGCAATCTGCTCTGCACTTGGTCCAGCGCCGTCGGGGTCGACGCGTGTGGCGTGATGACGGTGCGAGCCGTGTGCCCAAAGTGGGTATATAGTTGGCACAAAAAAAGATAGACACGTGTATACATACACACACACACATATATATAATAAGAATGATAATAATAATAATGGTAATAATGATAATGATAATATGTATATGCAGGCATATATATATATAGACACACACATACATATATCATAGTCTTATACATATATATATATACATATATATATACATATATATTTACATATATATACATATATATATACATATATATACATATATATATACATATATATATATATACATATATACATATATATATACATATATATATATATACATATATATATACACACATCTACACACATTTTTAGACAGGACACACCCAATTGCCGTTTACAGAAGCTTGCATAGTTGTGCTGTCCAGATTCATATACAGTATATATATATATATCTATACATAGACATAATGTATATATATATAATTAGACATATATAGACATGTGTAGACATATGTAGACATATACATGTATATATATATATATATATGCATCTGTACATATATACACGTATATACACAGACACAACATGATACAAACATATGTAGTTATACGCATATGTACACATATATACATACATGGATGAGTATATATATATGTATAGGTCAAGTCTTGTATACATCCAAGAGACCGAAGAGACAAGATGGGTGGATACTTCGGATGGGTCCTCGTATTGGGCATCACCAAATCAACGGGCTTGTGCAAGACAACACGAGGCATCAGGCGGCTGTTTTGGATGGAATATCTGTCAAGTTTCAACGATGGCTTTGCGGATTTACCATCAAATGATTAATGGATTATATAATATTAGATATAGGATTTCCCTATATATTTGTGTTTAACAATTTCTGGACGTGACGTGAAGATATATGCACAACCAACATTTTAGACAACCTTAAAGTACTATGCGTATGTGTTTGCACTATGTTTTCTCCAGCCATGCATTTTCCACATTTTTCCAATCATGGGGTCCAAACATTCACCACATGTTTACAACATGTTTCTCCACCCCCAACCCGATATATCCCCGTAAATACAAATAAATCCCTGCAATTCCGTCATTGCTGGTGATAACTCCCATGATTCTTCACATAAAAGTTCAGTGCGGTTTCCAGTGAGGGTTCGAGGCTGGTTCCGCGAAGTGCAAGGGGTTCCGGTATAGGTTCAGGGCTGGTTCCGGGGTGGTTCCGTGTGTTTCTTGAGGTTGACGTGGCGGTTCCGGAGATTTCAGTGTGGGTTTCAGTGCGGGTTCCGGGATGGTTCCGGGTTCAGTTAGGGGCATGGTGGTGCAGGTAAAAAGGCATGGTGGGGTTCAGGGATGGTTCCAGATGGTTGCGGGTTGGTTCCGGGTGGTCCCACCTTCTCCGCAGGCTTTGCCCGCCTGGTGAGCTCCGACGTGGAGGAGACCTTCTTCCGCTCCGAGACGCAACCGGTGCTCCATGCGCCGCTGGATCCGAGCCTTGCCGGGCGGACAGAGGGGGAAGAGCAAGGTGTCTGGGTGAGTTTATGGTGGTATTTCATGGGAAAATGTGGGAAAATTGTTTTTAAACCAGCTGGAATATAATAACATCAGTAATGAATTGGTATCAATTGTGAATTGATATTACTTGGTAATCGCTGTCCCTGCTCATATTAAATACCCCCAGTATTTTGAGACTCCATGAACAGATCCAATACACTAAACCATGGTTTCGTTTGGAGCGTATTTATAGGGGGAAGGGATTCATGGGAAAATCCTCAGATTGGGGATATCCTGGGGCCCTCCTGGGGAGAGAATGAGTGATACAATTCCAACAATACGACAAATCACGTACAGTGATGGTTAGGATTGGGGCAAACGAAAAAAAACCCAAGATGGTGGGCAGCAGAAGGAAGTTGGTGAATTATTTTAGGCTATCCATACATAGATGTATATATGTATACACATGTTTACACTGTATACCTACAAAGAACAATTTGGACGGTCTATCTGATAGTTAGCATGACAAAATGAGGATTTTTCGTTGAAGCAACCTGAATATTGAGGGAGTTGAGATGATTTGAACACAAAACAATGGGGACGGATTTCCCCCCAAATGTAAACCATATTATATCAATGGATTGCGTCACAACCGAGCAGTAAAAATCGGGCGCAGAAAGCCTCAATGCCTTCTCAGGGTGTATGAAACGACTGGCTTCGGATCATCACCGGACGGCAGGAAATGCATATTTACCCTCTGGTTATGACTAGCATAGCCATGGGAAATGGCCCATTTATAGATGGTTTACCTATTAAAAATGGTGACTTTCCATGGCTATGTTAAATAACCAGATGGTATATTAAGACACATACATGTATATCGTGTGCACATATGATGCATCGCTCCTACTAACCACCGTCCCGATCTGAACGCCATGCCTTAAGTTTACAGGGCTTGTCATTCCATACAATTGAAATTACACAACAACTCTGGGATAGCCGTCCTCCATGACAGGAAGTTGGCCCATGCGCACCTTGAAATCGCTGCCTTCGCCAAGAACGTTTCGATGCTCGACAGCTTGGCCGAAGATTTGGTCAAGGCGTTTCGAGATTCCAACGGGAAAGCGGATGGGGAAGTTGGGAGGTGTTCAGAGCTTCAACTATAGCAACCGGCCCCCAAAAAAACAAGGTGTCCAAGGATATGAAAGTTCGAGGATGTTTCCCCATAAGCTCCAGGTTTCCAACTTTTCTTCGTCTTTTGGGAGTCACTATAAATGGCAATGTTAGTGGGGAATTTCAACAAAAATCAATCCCATCAATCGTGACGGGTAGTGTGCGTTGAATTAGTTGGAATCAATCAACTAAAACAAATTGTTGGAATCAACCCGGCCATCATGATGGGGACAATGATGAACGAATGAATCTTGGGGTACCCTATTTCCAGACAAACCATTTATCGTTATATAAATGCGTCAGTTTTTTTCCATTGGAGACATCAGGAATCTACCCATTTGCAGGGCGCATTTGTTCAGGTGACAAAACATTGGTTCTTGGAGGATGTGACAAACATTTGGGCCAGGCGTTGGATGATCTTGAGACAGCTGCGCATCAAGTGCGCTTGTGGCTTGCTCAAATAAACGATGCAACCGAAGTTGACGATGCATCCCAGTGGGTCATAGCCCCAAAGACCCGATGGAACTTCAAGTAACTAAGTATCCCTTGCCCCAGAGACCCAAAATTCCCGAAGCTTTAATCATGGAATCTGAGAATCCCCTCCTATTTTGTCATGTTTCATTTTTTGGGCTGCCGACCTGTATCCTGGGCAAACCTTGGCACAGGCTTCTGAGCGAATCACACATGTGGGGATCAAACGGGATCAATACCTACACTATCTATACACTCTACCTATCTATCCATTTGTTTATCTGTCTATCTATCTATCTATCTATCTGTCTATCTGTCTATCTGTCTATCTGTCTATCTGTCTATCTGTCTATCTGTCTATCTGTCTATCTGTCTATCTGTCTATCTGTCTATCTGTCTATCTGTCTGTCTATCTGTCTGTCTGTCTGTCTGTCTATCTATCTATCTACCTATCTACCTACCTACCTACCTACCTATCTATCTATCTATCTATCTCTCTATCCTATCTATCCTATCTATCCTATCTATCCTATCTATCCTATCTATCTTATCTATCTTATCTATCTTATCTATCTTATCTATCTTACGATCTACCACTCTATCCATCTTATTCATTTTTTCCATCTTATCCATCTTATCCATCTTATCCATCTTATCTATCTTATCTATCTTATCTATCTTATCTATCTTATCTATCTTATCTTCGATCCTATCCTATATCCTTATCTATCTTACCTATCTTATCTATCTTATCTATCTTATCTATCTTATCTATCTAATCTATCTTATCTATCTTATCTATCTTATCTATCCTATCTATCTAGCTATCTAATCTATCTAATCTATCTAATCTATCTAATCTATCTATTCTATCTACTCTATCTAATCTATCTAATCTATCTAATCTATCTAATCTATCTACTCTATCTAATCTATCTAATCTATCTAATCTATCTAATCTATCTAATCTATCTAATCTATCTAATCCTAATCTATCTAATCTATCTAATCTATCTAATCTATCTAATCTATCTAATCTATCTAATCTATCTAATCTATCTAATCTATCTAATCCATCTAATCTATCCAATCTATCTAATCTATCTAATCTATCTAGTCTATCTAGTCTATCTAGTCTATCTAGTCTATCTAGTCTATCTAGTCTATCTAGTCTATCTAGTCTATCTAGTGTATCTAGTGTATCTAGTCTATCTAGTCTATCTAGTCTATCTAGTCTATCTAGTCTATCTAGTCTATCTAGTCTATCTAGTCTATCTAGTCTATCTAGTCTATCTAGTCTATCTAGTCTATCTAGTCTATCTAGTCTATCTATCTATCTATCTATCTATCTATCTATCTATCTATCTAATATATCTAATCTATCTAATCTATCTAATCTATCTAATCTATCTATCTATCTATCTATCTATCTATCTATCTATCTATCTATCTATCTATCTATCTATCTATCTATCTATCTATCTATCTATCTAATATATCTAATATATCTAATCTATCTATCTATCTATCTATCTATCTATCTATCTATCTATCTATCTATCTATCTATCTTTATCCGTCCTTTTGTAAAAAGCTATATAGATATACATATATGGTATGTTTATATGGTTGCAAATATCCCATGGCCATGGCTGAGGTCCCAGCGAGGTCAATCCCTGCTTCAGATTTGTGCGCACTTCCTGACTGGCCGACCCATGGGATCCAGCGTGGCTTGGTGGTGGCCGACCCATGGGGATGGGTCAAAACCCTGGCACCTAGTGAACCCCAAAATAGCTGGGATTTATGGATTTAGGTATTGACCCATAGCCACATAAAAACCTGGTATTTGTATGTATCGATCATGATTGATCCTTATTTATCAATGAACCATGGGGATATATGGGGATATTTGCCAGAATCGTCAAAATGACACTGGCAAAAATGGAGATTAACCCGTCAAACATGGAGATCTTTGCCAACATTCGTGGGGTGAATACATGGTGAAATCATGGCATACATCTCCACAAATGACTGTACAAAATTGTACATGCGGATGAAGATATGGAGGAGACATGTCTGGCTGTATACATATAATATATATATATGTATATATATGTATATATAATTATATATATATACACACACACTCTGCTACATTTCACTAGAGGATTTCAAGATATCTATCTGTCTATCTGATGTCTTCATTGATTTCCCAAGGATTCCCTCTATGGGATGACCCGACTGATATTCCCATGATATTCCCATGATTCATTTCCATTGTGGGTAAACTAAGGTCATTTTTAGCACCCATGACTGATAATGGTTTATACCATTTTATACCTATCAAACTGGTTTTCTGACTGGATGGTAAACATGGCATTGTTTTAGCCACATTCCATTACATCCCATTGTTTGTAGTTAAATATATATATATTTCCACTATTTCCAGGGGAATATCCCCTATCATCCTAGAATATTATCCTAATATTTCCACATTTCCATTACACCTCATGATTTTTCGTTCAATCAACGCAGCGTGGGTTTCCAGTCCAGTTCCCTGAGGTCTTGGAGCAGCCCTTGCTGCGCCCGGCGCCAACGCCTGCGACGACGCCCAAGACGCAGAATGTCCTGGAACTGCGGAGGAAATTCCAAGGCGCCGGTGGAGTCGGCTGCGTTGAGCCATCTTTCAAATACCCTCTGGTTATGACTAACATAGCCATGGTATAGATGGCCCATTTATCGAAGATTTCCCAGCTAGAAACCTCCATTTAGTTCAGGGATTTTCCATGGCTATGTTGAATAACCAGATGGTACTCCTGTTGATTGAATTGATGGGTGATACTTTATACGGGGTTTTACTAGCATATCAACGGTACTCTTGGTGTATTTTGGATCTAACCACAAACAGGGATACCAACCAGCCAGTAAACCAAGATGGGATAGGTTTTTTCATGGCTCAGTTGAAGAAGGGTGGACAAGTTGTTGCAAGTTACTTGCTATCAACCCCCTCGAAAAAATTCGGCCGGTGGCCCAGATCCCCATGTTGGCCATTTTCCAGGCCATTTTTTTTGAATGTGTAGCTCACGTAGCAGAGATGAAAAGCCAGGGCAGCCAGAAAAACAACGCCTTGATCATTTGCAAGGTCTGAAACCAGTGAATTTTTCTCATTGACGCAGCCAGTTCCCCCTCGAACTGAGCTACCAGACGAGCCTGGAAATTTTAGGTGACCATCCTCAATCGGTCGCATACGAACCTGGTCCGACTCCAGGAGCAATAATTGTAAAAGTCAGGATTATTCTACGTCATGCAGGGCGATAAAAAGCATGCCTCTTCGCATTTGAATAATTTTGAATACATGTACTCACAACACATAGAATGTAATAAATAGATGGGGCACATCTAAAGAGTAAAACATCCAATATATGTATATATATATATTTCCATATTATTATTCCCATCCATGCAAGTGTTGAGATGATCTCAGTATGATGCGTTTAGCTGTGACATGAGATGAGCGAAGCAGTGAATGGCTGCGATGTCGGGGCCTTTAGGAGGTCCCTATCTTCGGCATCATCCCATTTGTCAGCCCCATGGGTCCCAGTTGCTATCCAACATTATGCACGTCCAAAAAAATCATTCTTGTATGGAGTATATAGTCCTCAAATATTCTTGGGTCAAAGCTGAAGGCACTGGGAATGGCAGGATTTTGTCATTGCCATTACATACAAGTGGCACTAAACTTCATGTTGGTCTGGGTTTTCCCTCCAACGTTTGCAATGGAGCTGTGAAAACATCCTAATCCACCAAAGAACCAAAGATCCCAATCCACCCCATTATGGGATTCCCATTAGTGGTAAGTATTGGTTTTCCCAATTAATTATTGGGAATACATTCTTACCACTGATGGGAATCCCATGGAATCCCTATCAACCGACAAACGTAACTCAAATCGCTAGATCTGAGCCCCGAGGCCTGCTGAATGACTCCCTTGGCTACGCCCAGCAGCACCCCAACGAAGAAGGTGCTGAGCAGTGCGCAGTGCGCAGTGCGCAGTGCGGAGCAGAGCCGTTCACGGGAGAAGTCTCGGAAAAGATGGCTTTCTGCTTTTGAGATGGAGGAAACCAAGAATTTCGGTTGAAACATGGAGGAATTTCTGGTGTTATGGTTTACATATAATAGATAAACCAAGATAAACCAAGAATTTGTCTTTATATGATTTATGATTTACCTATTTTTGTGGTGTTATCGTGGGATGCGTCATGAATCATGGTGCAATGGTGTATTTTTGGGTACCCCAATTTCGACCCAAACATGATCATTGATGAACTGGAGACTTCACCTGCATCGGGATCAAACCGGTCCTAGGTCAAAGCCTAACAAAATCCGCAGATGTTTCCTTACACCATCTATTTTTCCCGCAAATTTTTCCAGGCCACGGATCGGTCCCCTTTTTCCCGATCGCCATCGGTGGCCCTAAAAACAGGTGTGGCGCTCTTCAACCAACGCATCACCATGGCGCTGACGATCATCTCCGATGCGGCGGAGGCGAACAAAGTCATCGCTGCCGTGAAGGACCGGGGAGACCGGCGAGACCGGTGAGACCGGTGGGGGGAAGTTGATGGGTCTGGGGTTGAATATAGCCTTATTATAGTATAACATATATATATATATATATTCCAGTCCATTATAGTAGTATTGTAGTTATAGCTTTTATATTAACCCATTATTATTGTATTTATTTGTTATTGCTCTAGAATGATTTCAACTTCATTATTTTCTGATATTGCATAATAATTTAATAAGATGTAGCCAAAAATTCAGATCCCATTGATATCTCATTTTTGATGTGTCATAAAAATGCATTGGATATATAGTATTACTTAACCGCCTTCGGCGTGTTCCGCCGGCCACAATGGAAAGAGCTGTCCTGCAAGGAGCAAACAGCACTTGCACAGGCCTAGGAAGAACATACTTTTGTGTACTGTAAAAGATGGTTTTTGTGCATAACACGGTTTTTGTGTAAACCAGCGTGATATGTAAACGATGGCTTTTACACAAAACATGGCTTTTGTGTAAACCATGGTTTAAGTTTAAGCCAAAGCATGAGTGTGCAAGCCAGGCTTTTGGGAAAAGGCCATGTATAGAAAGGTTATGCGTGTGACAGACCACCTGCCTATATCAAGTATTGGACATAAGAAACGAAGCAGCAAACCGGTGGCAAACACATCAAAGAAGGCGGAAAAAAACAACGGAAATAACAGCAACATGTTCAAAATCAAGCGCCTGTTGAGCAAGTCGTGGGCAGACTTGAGCCCACCACATCGTGGCAAAAGATGAAGACGAAAAGCACGAAGAGGAGGATGACGACGAAGACGAAGAAGACTGAAGACGGGGGGGGTTCAAGTTAGACGAATCCGCGCCGGCGGATTTTGGTGTTGACTGCATCGCATGGAAACCCCTGGGCTGGCATGTTACAATTTGGCCAACATTTCATCAATATCCCATGATATCCAAAGCCCACAATCATTGTATTGGGGTATCATGGGATACCATGGGGTATTTTGGGACATCATGGGATCAATCTATCACTATTTATTGGGATATAATGACCGAATGGGGATACGTCATACTTTGCCATCAAAATGATTTGGGTTTGTCCTGAAATATGGGACACACACACACACACCAATTTATGGCCATCAAAACACGGGGAAATGCATGGGATGAAATGGGGTACCTGATTTGTTGAACAACTTGACATGGAAGCTTCTTATTGGAAATTTCCAGAAATATATGTATATATTATATATATATGTATATATGTATATAGATACGTACTAACATATCACGATAGAAACCGTGCTGATGAGGTTTGTTCAGATATGAATAGACCCTAACGATTTCAATCTGCTCGGTCTGGAATTGAACATGGTGTTGTCAAAATGACTTGTTCGATACGTGGTAAGGGTTTACTGGGCCATGCCCACCTGGATACTCTTACGTAGACCATCTCTGGAAATCTGTGTCTACAACCCAAAATCATCAAAAATCCATTGCAGATCCATATCACGATGATCCTGAAAATGATGGCTTGCTAGCAGGTGGGGTACTGTAACACTGCATGTCCCCTGGAACCTCTCAGTTTATCCCAGCTCCCAACGAAACGAAAAAAATTGGCTTCTGCAGTGGATCATCGCATGCTCAACAAAGGGTGAATCACCAATATCAAGAACGAGTCATTGACAAAACAAGTACGGGGATGGTAGCATCAATCATGCAGGTAGTTCCAACCTCTTCTTGCATCTCTCTTTGTCCCGATCTTTTCATAGTTTGTACCCATTTCTGTGGGTTCAAACTCTGATGAACTCCGATTTTGCTGGGTCAACTCTCATTTTGGGGGTCCAAATATCCATGTTTTGCGCCACTGAAGCCCCATTTTTCCTGGCTCCGCAGGAGATCCGGCGCTTGTTTCCCTTTGAAGTGGACCCGTTGGAGGACATGCCCTTTTTGGCGGTCGCCTCGGCGAGTCGTAGCCGGGGATTTCAAGCCATCCGGGGATTTCAAGCTTTCTGGTTACCTCAGAGTTACCCCAGAAGGTGTGAAATATGGTTTGATTCTGAAAAGGAACCGATTTGGTGGATTCTGAGCCATAGCACAAGTTCGTTCCCTACTGGCATGAGTCCCACGGATTGCCACATTTGTTGGTCCTGATTGAGAGCGTAAGAGCCTATCCCAGCACGTTAAATCACATGAATACCTACCTACCACAAGGGGCAAGCTGGTTGCGCCGTTTTGACCCGGTCGCTTCCATGGATCGCCTTCTCTGGTGACTTGAGGTGTACATGTGCTCCTTGAGAATCCGCTGGTCCTACTTCTTTCTGCCGCTTGGAAAGATTGTAAAGGAATTGGAAGAGTGGAATGCTTAGGACGTGGCTGATTGGAGTAATACCCTCAGAGCTTGGTCAGATTAGGTCATGTACATGGGCTCTATCCAACTTCCCAGTCCGGATGGTCAATCAGGCACGCTTTCTATATCTTTCTATTCAAAGGTCAAATCTTGAGTCATTTTCCATCGCCGCACAAGCCAAAGCATAGCCTGGCCTGCCGTTGGGCTTCGAGGCAGGAAACCGAAAAATCATCTTCACTTGTGCAATCAAATACAAATATGTATATATATATACACATGTATATGTATATGTATATGTAAATGTATATGTATGTGTATATGTATACGTATACGTATACGTGTATATATATATAATGTGTATGTGTGTATATATATATAATGTGTATATATAATGTGTATATACATATAAATACATGTGTATATATATAGATTATAATATCGATGGAATCGCCATGTTCAATATGAACATCATCTACACATGAATCTTTGCTCTCGATTAATGAGTTATTATATCTATATCCACACATGTGAAGCAAGGGACTGCCCAGGTGTGCCTTGTTCACGGCACTGGCCCTCTTCGCCGGCACCATCACCGAACTGTTTTTTGCGGTGCTGCTTGGAAAGCATCTCCGAGGGGCTCCGATCTTGCTATCACAGAATAACGAGGGCGAAATAGGGCGAAATGATGATCATAGACCCTCCAAGTACCCAAGAAAAAAGCTAATTCATTATCGCAAAATAAGGGGTACATTGGAATGGTCAATTCATCTCCCGGTCGCAACCACTTGAGAGCAGGTCAAAAGTTGGGCTAATGGGACTCTGCAGCGTAGCTGACACTGGAGCGATTCAACAGAGATCAATGGCCAACAGCTGTCAAAAGGGATGGAATGGATCAACTGGAAATCACAAGGTCACACAAGACCTAACAACGAAAAGCACCCATGGCACTCGGCAGCTCAAACGCTGCTGTTTTCACAGGATCGCCGAAGGCTCAAGGCCTAGGGAGGTTTGGGCCGACACATCGGCAACCGCACGTAGATACCTGGGCGAATGGACCAATGGAAAGGATCAGTTCTGTTGCACCGATCCAAAATTCTTCTTGGTCCATGAGCTCTCAAGTCAACAGTTTAAAGCTGGACTGAGCTCAAAAAAAACATGCAAATCAGCTGGCAAACTTCTCTGTGGCTTTCTTCATCTGTGTGAGAGCATCCTTGCCTGCTCTCTTGTTCTTTCGTGCACTTGTCTCAAAGCCTGGGTTATATTGAAGCATCCAAACACCTGTGCGCATGAACTGAAGTAAACTTTTGCGACACTCTTGGATTTTCTTCGTCAGAGCATCTGCAAGGAGCCAATCACTAGCAAGCCAAATCAACCATGCTTTTGTGTCTGCAAACGATTGTTTCAGTTGAAAAGCTTGTATGGCTGATCTCACGTTTGACAAACCCAAATATGGACCTTCTTGCAGAGTCACTGCATCAAAACCACCTTTTGAGTCTGTGGCCACAACACCAGGGACTGCAGAAACTTCTTGCTCAGCAAAAGCTAAAAGATCAAGACCCTTTTCAGCGCCAGCACCATTCAGTTCAGCCCAAAGCAAACGAGTTCGAAAATTGACATCCTCAGCTTCCACCATCGCTTGAATCTCAGCATCATTGGAGGAAATTGCTACTCGGCGCAATTTCCAAGTACGCCATGAAACCATCACAAGACGGCCGGGAGAACCATCAAGGAGTTCCGGTCCGCCTAGAAAATTAATCAAACCACCTGTGGAAGAGCCATCAGGTCTGTTGTTGTGTGCCTGATCACCCATTGTCACCACCACCATTTGTTGCCAATGGTTCACAGAGGGGATTCGATCAAAACGGAGACGGTGAGGATGCTTGCGAGTCTCGCGGATGACCTGCTGAATCTCTTGAGCCACTGTCATCTTTGGCTCACGTGCCAATTCAGACAACAAGAGATTGCATCTTGCGCAGATTTGAGGTTGAGTCTGCACGGCCAACCACTGCAAAGCACCTAAAGCTGAGCGACACTTGCCAATCTCTGACTTGGTGAGGACTGTCGCCGCATTCTTGAAACGGACTGGATCAATCTCCACATCAGCGAGGTTCTCCACATAAGAGTCCTGGTCAACCATGATGTAGTTACCTTGGCTACCAGTCCTGTGATGGATGTCGGAGCCCACATAGCGGTAAGCGCCAACTTTGGAACTACCCCACTGATACTCACGGTCAATGGCTGCCTTGATTTTCTGCCACTTGGGATTGGTCTCATCACCGGATCTGTTGAAATCGTCAACAGACCAGCCATGTACCCAATAGTGCGGAAGCGATCCAATTGGTTCACCGCATTCGGGTTTTCCTCTACCCATATCCAGGCACATGGATCGCCAAGGACTTTGTGAGCTCCAAGTCTTCGCAGTCTACGGTCTATGTCAAGCCATAGTCCACGAGGAGCTGTAGTTGAACCATAAAAATCTTTGAGGATTCGCATGATGCCGCCCTCAGAGACGCCAAGTGCAGCACGAAGTTCACGCACTCCTGATGTCCATATGCGGTTCTGCTCCTGGTTCTTCTCGGTCTGGAGAAAAGCCGTTGAAAGATCCATGCCTTCGATTGGCCACTGGTTCTGCACGGAGAGCTGGAAGGTCAGGTGCCTGGTCAAAGTTGATTGAACAGGTGCAGAACTTCGGAACTCAGGATTGAGGAGATCTGGGTGCTGATACCCTAACAAGACGATGCGGGCTTTCGCCTTGCGATCGCCCGAAGGGGTGAACAAAGTGCCAGCATTCTCGTGAGCATCTTGCTGAGAAGCTTGCCGTTCATCTGGTGGAGTGTCTTTCCATGTCAACACCCACCGGCACTTCATTACACGGCCAGAGTTCTTGCCCTCCTCCTCTTCCTCCTTGGAGATGCACTTTCTCACGGCCTCGGACTTGAGAAAAGATGCCACCTCTTTGTCCTTTGCGCGGTCAAACAACTTCTTGAAGTCATCAGTGAGTCGCTCATAGCGAACTTCACAATCACGCATTTGTTGCACCAAGTAAAAGTTTGGCGCCTGGAGAAACTTCTTGAGTTTTCTGTGGCTTGAGAAATCCAACTCCATTTCCATGATATACCCAAACTCAGCTTCTTGGAGAGCAGCATGAAGATCAAGGGTGAGAGCGTTATCATCATCAGTCCGGGGTTTCTTGACACTATCACCAGTGACAATATCATCGCTATCAACAGCTGAGTGAGGACGCATAGGTCTCATGGATGAGGACGCCAAGGAGGATCTTTTGGAGGAGGCTTCGCGTGAGGAAACTTCTGACTCAAGGAGATCAGTTTTTCGCTTCACACCTGGGTCATTGAGAGAGTTGCCCAAGTTGTCTTCAAAAGTGTCATCAGGCACTTCTGGTAAGAAGTCAGTCTCTTCATACTCATTGACTGGTGGCAAAGCGGGAAGGCGCATTGCAGCACCCTTCAGCGCCTGAGCAGCTTTGTCATTGCCCTGCTTATCCGTTTTGCCGTACAGTCGGCATGAAGGCAACCATGTGGATTTATCTGGTTGAGCTGGTAGATCAGGAGCTTCTACATCATCAGCGCCTGGCTCATCGTCCAGCATGTCCACATAATCTCTTCGTGGGAGAAAATCAGTGATTGATTTCCACGACATCTCTTCGCCACCATGTTGAATTTCATGAAGAGCTTCTTCCTGTGAGGTTAGTGGTCTCACAGAGTGAACACTGCAACGGTGAGCTCGGCCGCCAAGAACAACCCATACCACATGGCGGCGGTCACCACCACTCTGGGAAGGCAATAGCTCTTGAAACAGAACCCTTCCAGGTCCCACCCAGTGAGGTTTGATGGTCTTGGTGAAGCCGCTGCGCTTTCCTTTGGCTGCTTCATGTGGAAGGGACTTTCGCCAGACTTTCACCAGTGTTGCAGGTTCAAAGTTCTGGAGAGGCTGTCGGGGACATGAGTTCTTCAGCCGCACAAGTATGTTGTTGGCGCGGACTTGCCGTGCCAAATTCTCAGCTTTGCGTCTGCAAGACAGCAACTTCTCAAATTCACTCAGTGGGTGAGCTTGTTGAAGTTGGAGATGAGTAGTGATGTCTTCATCAGTCCACTGAAAAGAGTGACCGTATGCCCACTGAAAGGGAGAAAAACCATGTGCGTTCTCCGTACTATTCAACGCCGCTGTGCTAAGGGCCAGACATAGTTCCAAGCTCAGAGTGCCGTCAGAGATGAAGATCTTGTCGGCCAAAAGCTTGGTTTCTTGGACTGCTCGTTCAGCAATTCCGTGAGCCCATGCCTCCTTCTCCACAGGCGGGCTCAGCCACAAATTGTTGGTGTGGCAAAACTCCCTGAAGGCCGCTGAGCACAGCGTATTGGCGTTGTCAGGAACCACCACCAGCGGTTTCGGTTTTTCCGCCAACCAGCCGCGACCAAAAGCTTCGATGACCATCTTGGCATTCTCGTTCCCTTGCTGATTGATGTCATAGACCATAAGAGGAACTGTGCTGCGAAACTTCGTTGCAGCATCAATCATCAATAGAAACTTCAGCTTCTTGCGCACGGACACGACATTCCACTCACCAACATCCATCATCACCATATGCCAGGCTTGAGGAAGTCGATTGGTTGATACTGGCGGAATCTTTCCGGAAGACGAACCCCCAGGTCTGGTCGCCTCGCATGCTGGGCATCGGAGACGAAGTGCTGCTTCAATCTGCCACTTTTCTTTGCAAGCTTCCCGCAAAATGCGAGCTAAATTCCTATTGCTAGGATGTCCTGAGGCCTTGTGAAACTTTTGAAGCTTGACATTCCACTCGGCAAGCTGCTTCGTGGATGGGATGATTTTGCCATCAGCTTCATGCTTCGACCACCGACCATGGCCATCTTGTTGCCAGCGTGACGAAGCCATTTGAGAGGGATTACTTGCCTTAGAGCTCTGCATGGATTGAGGCCGAAGATCTCCACCAGAGCGTTCATCTTGAGCAGGAGGTAGGACCATTTGTCCATCATCATCAGCCAAATCGGCCGGAATCGCTGGTGCATCTTCAGGAGCAAGCGATGTGGGTGAGTACCCCTCATCAGGAGGAACTTCAGCGATGTCATCAGCCATCTCGGCTGGATTCATCTCCCACAGTTGCTGTTCAAAAGTCGAATTGGGGACGTTGGAGTCCACGGTCAGGAACAGGATGGATTGCCAACGTTCTGGTACAAGTTGAGATTTCCAAGTCTTGGCAATCGCGACAACCATCTTCCAGGGATAGTAGCTGGAACGAGCTGTATCAGAGCTCTCGATCTGGAGATGTTGATGATTACCAACACACGTCTTGGCCTTGTAAAGAGCATGAAAACGAGCACATGTAGTTTTGACCAACCAACGCTTGAGTAGAGGTTCGTGTTCATGACCTGGACGACCACTAGTCAACCCATACCGACAACCATCAATTCGGCAGGGAAGCCAGTCGCGATCAAGTCGCCACAGGGCGTCTTGTAGATCAAGGAGAACCTGTTCATACCATCCTTGGCAATTGGCAGGCCATTCCCAAAAAACATGTACCGTATGATCATCAATGACATTGCGCTCCAGCCATTTCTTGAGGTTCCTCAACACTTTACGCTCTTTGTGCCGCTTGGATTCCAAAAGTTCCACCCGCTCCGGAGTGTTATAGTTGAGGGAGGTCCAAGCACACCACAACGTGCACCGCATAGAAATCCAGAGCCTCTTCGGACGCTGAATCTTGTAGAGCTCGGTCATGGATTCAAAAGTGTGAGGACGGTTCAAATCGAACCCATTGGCCAGATTGATCCGCTGACATTTCAAACCTTCTTGGGTACATGCCTCAGAAAGCCAAGACTGAGGTGAGCAGCAAATCTCCCAAACATCAACCTGATGAGGCTCCACCACAAGGTCGTGGAAGTTGGTGAAGAGGCCAAGCATCATCAATTGGAGCACCTTCACCGCCGCCTTGCCCACCTTGATCGGGACATTCTCGATCACGGTTGAACCTCGGATTGGCTCTGCATCGCTTCGGCAGCACGCTGCTCCAAGGCAATCCGCTCCTCGGCTGAGAGCTGGCTCAGGAGATCCTGAGGTGTCACCACTGGAACTGATGCCACACTCATCTGAGACACCGTGGGTGACTTGGCTCGGGCCTTTGGTGGAGTCACATGTTGCCAGCTTGGGCTCGACGTGAGCTGCTGGGGACCTGGGATCTGCTCCTCCTCGGAATTGTGCATTGATCTCCTCGGAGGTGTGAACATCTGGTGGCGTGTGGGAGATTTCGGAACTGGGGTCATCTCTGGAGCACCCAGCACCATCTGGTAGTAGCGCTCGTCGCTCTCGATCTTCTCCACAGCCACCTTCATGAGTTTGTAGTGGGGCTTCACACCCTTGAGATCTTTCTGAACCATGCTGAGAGCCTTCGCCACATAGTGAGGATCGATGTGCTCGACATTGTGAGTCAGCGAGCCCATCCTTGGAACATACTGCGTCCGTAGGTTGCACACGGCGCAGTGGGTCCATTGACCATATGTTTGATCCTCTCACGGAGGCGTTGTGACTCCCGAAACATGGCCAGCATTCGCCACATCTGGGGTCTCTCGGATCTGCTGGAAGAGCTCGGCTGTGATCCAACTCGGGAGCCTTGTCGGCAAGGTTGGTCTTCGGAGGCATCACTCCAAAGATTTCGATCACCAGCCGTGGATTCCTTCTGTTTTGAGCCGGCAGAACGTCGATGAACACACTGTTGAAAGAAGCAACGCCGGGCATCTGTGTTGTCAAGCAAAACATGTTGAGTTGAAAACAACTCTTCTCCTTGTGTCATGTAAAGTTCCAGAACATTTGCATCCGAGATAGCTCGTGAAGGAGTCCATGTTGAATCAGACGTGAAACCATGTGGCTTGTTGGTGAGAAAGGAAACCAAATCCAAAACAAAGTGACCCTTTGAACTAATTCGCAAACAGTTGGGATTTGCATCAGGCACATTGGACATCCAGGAGTATCCATCCACGAAATCAAGAACCAAGCCCACACCATTGACGCCTAAAAAGTCCATGCCGATCAAAATAGGAACCAACAGTGAATCATCGTACCAAGGTTCATGATATTCTGGAGGATTCGGGAGAGCAAAAACTGAAAATTTTCGCTGATGTCCAGATGCCCATGAGGAAATTGTGACTTGACACAAGGCTTGTCCCCACTTCCCTGAACCATACCGAAAACGGGGTTTCAAGGTTTGGTCAACAGTCAATGTTGCTTCTGGATCAACTTGGCGCAAACACTCAAAAACCCTGTGAATGCTGGCCTCGGGACCAGCAGAGGCTGTGGCACCGCTGTCGACCATGCCCTCGAAGGACTTGATGGCCTGGGATGCCGAAGGCGGTGGAGACCAAGTAGTGGCTGTCAGGGTCACATCCAGGGGCTCATGGTACTCAGGGGTTTCCATGAACTCAATGGGATAGAGCTCCATGCCATAAGCATTGACACCACTCGGACCAGGAGGACGGAACGAAAAACTTGATGACCCTTTTGAGGATTTGCCCTTAGATTTGCCAGCCCAAAACATCTCGTGATCCATGTAGTTGGAATACTTTGCCTTGCCTTTGCCTTTGCCTTTCACCATGGGAAACTGTTCCATGTAGGGATCACCATAAACAGCCATACCCATCTTGCCTTTATTGAAACCTTTGGACTTACCCTTGGGAGCACCACGATCTGGACAATCACGTGCAAGATGAAGGGGACTACCGCAATTAAAACAAGCCGTGGATGATGTTGATGATTTTCCCTTAACAGCTCCAAAACCTCTATCACGGCGCAAGGCCGCTGTAGCCTCCTGGGCTTTTTTCCATGTGAGACTCGCTTCAGAGGCTAGAGCTTCTGCCATGCGTTCTGACTGATACGCCTCTTTGATCTGCGGATCTTCCAGTTCTGAGGCATTCAAGTCAGGTGTTTCATGAGCATCATCATAGTTACCAGAAGGGGGAGAATCAGAAGGACCATTCCATGACGACCAATCATCATCCCACATCCAGTTAGCTTCATACCAACCATCATCATTATAATCATCCCATGACCAAAAAGAGGAATCGTGATCACCTTCCAACCAATGTGCATTAAACTGTGAAGGGGCATGTCGAGGATGTTGAATCAACTGATCATCCCAAAGCACTTGCAATGCACCTGAAATTGAATCAAAATCCAACTTGTTGTTTGTTGCAGAAAGAACATCACGAAACTCATCACGGGACAAAGTGGCTGCCTGTAACAAGCGCCATCCTCGCAGAACATCAAACACAAATGAGTCAGCAGAGTTCATCCCATGCTCTGGAGCCACATTCGACTGAGGACTGAGATCCGGTTCAGAAACTAGAGGCACGCGCTGATAGCCATCTATCGCTGCATCAGGTCGCTCACCAGTCTCAGTAGCATCAGCATCAGCTGAGGCTTCAGCTGCGGGTTCAGCACCCGCATCATGAGAATCACGCCAGTTTCGCCAGCGATTCCACTGGGCATCTTCTTCCTCCTGTCTCCTGAAGATTGCTTCCAAGCCAAAGTCTTGCAAGCTTGGATCAGTACCACTGCGTTCCTCACGAAGCCGGATCAAAGCTTCTTGGAACTCTTCGTAAGACAAGGTCTCTCGAACAAGGAATTCGGAAATTGTCTCATTCTGTCGTTTGCGAAACCCAAAATACTGCGACATAGTTGCTGCGGCATTCGGAAGACTTCGTCTGACCAAAGGACTTGCTGCTAACTTACGCAGGAAAATGAGTACACCACGATCATTATCCAGTTCTGATTGGGGCCATGACATTGCTAAAAGGCGGGCACTTCCGGAGAGCCGTGCAATTAGCCTGGTGGCCAAATGACGACGCTGTCCCACCTTTGTAGCTTGCACATACCACACCACCTCACGACAGTAACGCCGCCAACCTTTCGGATGACCATCCCACGTAGGGACTGCTGAGCTCTCTGATGACATCCGGCCAGCTACACCAAGGAGTTGCGCAGAGAAAACCAGTAGCTCCGCTGCCAGTGCAGCGTAGCTGACACTGGAGCGATTCAACAGAGATCAATGGCCAACAGCTGTCAAAAGGGATGGAATGGATCAACTGGAAATCACAAGGTCACACAAGACCTAACAACGAAAAGCACCCATGGCACTCGGCAGCTCAAACGCTGCTGTTTTCACAGGATCGCCGAAGGCTCAAGGCCTAGGGAGGTTTGGGCCGACACATCGGCAACCGCACGTAGATACCTGGGCGAATGGACCAATGGAAAGGATCAGTTCTGTTGCAGACTCCCATAATGGGACTACAGGCGACTTTTTTTTTTACAATTTCACGTACAAAAACCTCCATTTTTTTTTGGATTTGAAGACTTGAACAGTAGAGTAGGGGCTGAATGCCTTGACCATCCTTGACCCATAGCCACTTGGAATGTCGGAAATGTCCCAAGGTTTGCTACTGGCGATCGGCTGGAATTTCAGGCCCTCTGCGGAGATTGACGGATGGGGCCCCTTGAGGATATTCCAGCAATACTCCGCATGGATAGCCATGAAACAACATAAAAAGGGGGTCTTTGATTGGCACAAATGGGGAGATGTTGAGAGGAGCTCAGGGATGTTTCGCAACAAAAGGAACTTGGAACCAATATGAAGAGGACAATCATAAACACGCATGGAGATGCCAGCAACAATCATAGCCATGATGTGGGTTTCTCCAACCTTTTGGGTTTTCTCAAGAATCACGACGCATGACTGAAAGAACACTGTTGCCTCTTGCGTTTTTTTTTTTAAAGTTTTCGGGGATGATTCCACTTGTGAAGCAGTGCCCAGTGCTGGTGTTGTTTCATATCACACATTGATGAGGACCTGACAACTGCCTCAGGATATGGAACCTGGCGTCGGTGAGATGTTTGCACAATGCCCGACGGTTTGGGTATCCAGCCAGTCCCAACTTTGCTCTACTCGTAAATCCCGAAAGAATCAAGAAACGGTAAAGAACCCTCATCAATTCCAACCCCTATCGACGACAGGGGAATGGTACGTTTGTGTCCAGCCAGTCTACTGGCATGATCAAGCTCATGGTAGCTACATGGTTCCTATAACTGTTGACCCTATTCCAGAAAAAACACGTCCCAGAGATGGTTGAGGTGAATGTTCCCCCCTCTTGCGGTGGCCAAGAAAATATAGATGAGGCACAAGCTGTTCAACCTTGATGGTAACATCACTATTTTTTGATGGTACCATCTCGATTTTTGTGCCAGGTCTGGCTGAGTTTTTGGATGTTGCCCTTCGGTGCCATGTTGCTGGCCTTGGTGGGAGATGAGATGAGTGATCTGGCAGCTCGACTGGATCATAGAAATGGGATACATCGAATCAACACTATGAGAATAGCGTGATGGTGTTTGTCCTTAAACATGATAAACATGGGGGAGAAGACTCATTTGTATATTAGTTATATAAGTATATTTGTTATTATCTAATAGCATCGAATAGCATCGAATAGCATCGAATAGCATCTAATAGCATCTAATAGCATCTAATAGCATCTAGTAGCATCTAATAGCATCTAATAGCATCTAGTAGCATCTAATAGCATCTAATAGCATCTGATAGCATCTAGTAGCATCTAATAGCATCTAATAGCATCTAAATAGCATCTAATAGCATCTAATAGCATCTAGTAGCATCTAATAGCATCTAATAGCATCTAATAGCATCTAGTAGCATCTAATAGCATCTAGTAGCATCTAATAGCATCTAATAGCATCTAGTAGCATCTAATAGCATCTAATAGCATCTAGTAGCATCTAATAGCATCTAATAGCATCTAATAGCATCTAATAGCAATCATCTAAGCATCTAATAGCATCTAATAGCATCTAATAGCATCTAGCATCTAGTAGCATCTAGTAGCATCTAATAGCATCTAATAGCATCGAATAGCATCTAATAGCATCTAATAGCATCTAGTAGCATCTAATAGCATCTAATAGCATCTAATAGCATCTAGTCTAGCATCTAATAGCATCTAATAGCATCTAATAGCATCTAGTAGCATCTAATAGCATCTAATAGCATCTAGTAGCATCTAATAGCATCTAATAGCATCTGATAGCATCTAGTAGCATCTAATAGCATCTAATAGCATCTAATAGCATCTAATAGCATCTAATAGCATCTAGTAGCATCTAATAGCATCTAATAGCATCTAATAGCATCTAATAGCATCTAGTAGCATCTAGTAGCATCTAATAGCATCTAATAGCATCGAATAGCATCTAATAGCATCTAATAGCATCTAGTAGCATCTAATAGCATCTAATAGCATCTAATAGCATCTAGTAGCATCTAATAGCATCTAATAGCATCTAGTAGCATCTAATAGCATCTAATAGCATCTAATAGCATCTAGTCTAATAGCATCTAATAGCTATAAATATTGTTGTTATTATCTAATCTATGGGCAATTCTCGTTGGGCAACAGACGGGCCCTCCGAGGTCATAGACGCCATCGACCGTCCACCCTTATTGTGGCGACTTGGCGCCGGGACCAACGGGTGGCTTATCCTCTAACGTTTACATAGGAAAACCATAGGAAAATCACAATTTTTAATAGGAAAACCATGGGAAAACCATGGGAAAATGGTGATTTATATGGAACATCACTATCTTTAAGTTCGGTAAATCAACTATTTCGATTAGGGCCATTTTCAAGTTCGCAAACTGTAACAAATTAGCAGAGGGTATCCGAAAACTGGAGATAACACTTGCCAAAAAAGATCAGCCACTGTGATTTTCACTAAAATTTGGTGATATCATCCATATTTTTAGCCACGAGGTGAAATTGGAGAAGCTATCTGGAGTGACATGTTGTGGCTGTTCGTGGTGACATTTTGTCTAGGAAAATCTGGGTTGGGTTGGTTACTCAACCCAAAACAAAACTATTGAGTGGCATCTGATCCGATGGGCTGTCCAAGTGTACCTATAATTCTCCACCTTGCTGATTGAAGTGGTATTCTTCTCCCCCAAAGTTTCATTGGTGAAATCCAAGCCACAAAAGGGCCACATCCTGGCACCGCTATGCCAAGATCTCAACTTTTGCAGAAAAAACTCACCATTTTTCTTCTGATTTAATCGTTTTCACCGTAAAAAATCGCCACCAAATTTGGCCAAGTTCGAACATTTTTTCTCGCTACAGAGTGGTGAACTCCCACGAGATTTTGGCTGAACTCGTTGGATTTTCATGGTAACAACTCGCAGCACCGAAAAAAGATGGATCTATTACGATGGGACTTGACACCAATCAGGAAACCATCTGGCGAACGATGGCGAACGGGGCCCTGAACGGCCCTTCCGAAGGCGGTGAGAACCGTATAAGATGAGAATGGCCCAAACATTGGGGACACAGGAACCAGATGGGCCCCACAACTTGGCGACGCAAGCGGAAAGCAGACCCCAGGCAGTTATTGGGGACCGAGGTGAATCAGGTAAGGCTTGAGACAAATTCAAATTGAGAACGACACCTGCGGACCAGCTTCCTAAATTAAAGCCCATGGTAAATGTTGGAAACGGGGAAGAAAACTCCAACCTAGAGATCAAATCGACTAGAAAGACAGACCACCGTGTCCAAGCCTCCACTGTTCGCAATGGCTGATGCTCATTTGGGCAAACTCAAATCGTATATGCCTCGTTCGTTCAACTGGTCTCGATTGCAGTTGATCCAGGAGGAGAAAATGGCATATCTTCGGAACACCCACCAACACTTCATAAATGGAGGAAAGACCGTTGAACATCCCCAATAGTATAAGTGCGGGAGCAAGATCCCCAGATGGTTTTTCTTTTCCAAAATAATCAAAAAATCTAGATGGTTGACAGCTGAATGTCTAGGAAGCCTTGAATTTGGTGTTCCCTATCAGCCATGAGGAAGCAAGGAGCTACAGTCAGAGACTCCCATCCACATGATAGATGGTTAATGTGATTAGTGTTTAATATATATATATACATATATATATTTGTTGGTTATGATCATTATCATATATACATTGCTATCACTATACTACAATCCGTCAATATTATTGTCACCATTATCATCCTTACATTGCAGTCCACCATTACCATTATTGTTGCCATCATTATCATGATCACCAACCCAGAATATTCACTACTACGTTGTTTTCAAGATCATGCCGTTCATATTGCATTTAGCAAAATTTGATATATCATAATCTTTCATTCTCCGTTCTAGTATCATCGATCACTATTGAACCCAAGATTGCATGGTTTGGGTCGGCGGTTGATCCTAGGATTAGGGAAGATTACGACCAGCTTTATCCTCAGGATCCAAACCAAGCGTAACAGCTACATGGGTTGACTTCTTCTTCTTCTTCTTATTTGATTTCAATCTGTGGTATTTGTGTATGCATATCTATGTAATGTAATCACAGATCATCATGTAATCACAGATCATCATCTCTATTTATATATATATATCTATATATCTATATATATATGGTATAGATATATGTGGTATGCATACACACATCATACACATATCTATGTAATGTATATGTCATGTAACATGTCGGTAACATCGTCGTCCAGGTGCCTGGCCCTGCTACTCGCAGCGCTGCAACGCGACCGACGCCTGGCGCCGGCGCGCAGCAGCTGCGAGCTGGCGACTTGGCGTTGATCGAGACGTGGTTTGGCGTTACTCTCTGGTAAACGTTTACATAGCTATTGAAAATAGCCATAGAAATAGTGGACTTATCCATTATTATGATTTTCCGTTATGTAAACGTTTACCAGAGGGTATTTCATTTGTCTACTAGTTGCTGCTACTTGAGCTTTTCTCGATCTATTTGTTGTTTCTTTTAATTTATCTTGTGTTTTAGTGATTTGAAGTGATTTGATGTGTTTTATGTTTTTGAAGGTTGGTTGGGATATGCGGTTTATCGATCAATGGAGGATGGAACCAACTATTTTATGGGTACCGGAATATAAAGCCAAGCGCATATAAGTAAGTAACTGTATATACTTTAACATTTCCTATATTTACATGTATGTATATACAGTGTTTTTTGTGAAGGTGCTATGTTACAGGGATATGGTTGGGGTATAACGAGGGATATAGTGTGTGGTATAATGGGGATGTAACCCAAGATATGATGACATTGGGGGATATTAATGGGAATATACCCTCTGGTTATTTAACATAGCCATGGAAAATCACCATTTTTAATAGGTAAACCATCTATAAATGGGCCATTTTCCATGGCTATGTTAAATAACCAGAGGGTAATAGGATTTAATCATCAAAAATCGGGATTTCTAGGATGCAATGGAACATCATCTGGATGAACTATATAAAACGACCTTTTTTATTTGATGTGATAATGGGTCAAACCTACAGTTGAATATGATTGGAAATGAACATCCATAGCTACAAATATTCTTGGGTTCAGGTGGTAGTTTTTTTCCTTTCCATTTGAGTGACTACAGTTTCATTTATTTTTTAAAAATGTTATCTATATCTATACATCCATCGCCAATTTTCATACACGAAAGACAGGTGTTTTATTTTGGGCTATATGGTGGTATACTAAAACTCCCAAAGGCGAAGCGGATTTTCACAACCACGGGAACAACACCAAACAGACAGTCGAAAAACTTACCCGCCATTTGCGTTTTGATAAATGTTAGTAAAGCAACAAAGAACCATCCCCCAATTTTACCATAAACGGGTGGTACTGTATAAGCCATCAAAATATGGTTGGTTGACATTCTTTTACTAACATCAATGATCATTCTCCACCATTAACAATCACCATGAACTATCGTGATTCACCACGATAATGAAATATAACTATCATACTTGACATTATGAAACTATGACATTAACCATCATTAACCATCATTAACCCCTCTGAATCCCCCAACTAAACCGACGGAGTGGCGTCTCCGGCATCGGATATTGGTCGTAGGTGGATGCCTCGTTGGTGCTGCTGACGGAGCTGGTGCCGCTGATCTTCGCGCTGCGCGGCTTCTTGCTGCGCCGGGGGTTCTGGCACGGCTACATGCAAGGCACGAAGCGAAGGGATGCGACGTTTTTGGACCAAAGGATTAAGAAAAAAAACGTGAGTTAATGGTGAATGATTCATGGTGATGAATATATCAAATCAAAATCAGCTGGATCCTGGTTGATGATCATGAGGTCAATTAGATTCAATTAGGTAATGATCATCCATTAAGGATGCTTAAACTGATAGGTTTACCCTCTGGAGATCTAACAGTTTGCTAAATTCCTAGGTCATGGTGGGAAGAAAGATGGGCTAGGCAGGCACGTTGTCAGAAAAACGTACATGATATAGATGTCTATAGATCTGATTCCGGTTTGATTTTGACTATCCGAACCTGAGGTAAACTAGAAGTGGCTTATCAGCAAGATGAAATGACTCATCGACATGTTGCCGGCATGGACAGATTCCCATGGCCAAGGGCCTGGAATCCCCAACGACGAATCAGTGCATGTTCATCCCCGATGGGTCGAATGGGTTGCTGTTATACTGTCAAGCTGAAATAAAATAATCAAGAAATAGGTCCACAAGATTCCCATAAGATGCCCCTTAGACACGACACATTTTTTTTTGGCATCGGTGACAATTACCCTTCGCTGAAATCAAACATGGCTGCCTCGGAAATTCGAGAACTAAATGTGCACCAAAACAAACGAAAATAATGGAACTATGTTTGGGGATTTTCCAGCAAAGCAGTGTTTTTTTATTTATCCAGAGTGCAATGACATTAACATACATTAACCGTTAACCTGTTACATGCACTACCATTGATCTCCCATAAATCACCATTCTAGTCACCAGCAACCAGCAAACCTTCCTGGCTTACAAGGGTGAAACCTGAAAACCATTCTGACCACACGTTTAGGGTGAAATACCACATTTTGACATATTTTGACAAACCATTCAAGAATTGGGAGTTTGAGCAACCCAACTGGGGGTATATCCTCTCATTCTTTCGGGACTGGGTCGCGCACGTCCAAGAAAGCGGGCAAACCTGAGGAACCACCTTGGATTCCCTTTCAGAAAATATACACACACATTCCTGACCCATGCGAATGCTAGTTTATATGGGTGTCTGATGGGGGATTGACCCTCAGAAACAGCAGTGAGAATCATGGTAAACCATTGGATTTGGTACGTTATTTTCAGACAAACTCATATATGCAGTATTTGATATTTCAGTAGCCATTGCAGTGCAATTTTTTAATGATAGTAATCCCTTTCCGCTATCTGTAACGAATTCGAATCATCTGTTTGATAGTTGATCCGCATATTTTGTCGGCTACCTCAGTTATGTGTATATCTCTATATACATATTGTGAAGTTTCCCTGATTATGTATATGGCTTATCTGTGGCAGTTCCCAAAATAAACCATCGCCCATGACTTTGCAGAAATACATCCTTATTGGAGGTGTATTATTCGGCTTACCACACCATATTATATCCAATATTGTCAAATTAATATACACTGTATATAGATAAATGTCCCATCAAATATTTCTCAATCATTATATAAACCCCATATTGGCAATCTTCTTCCTCCCATTCTCCCAGTCGTGGTTGCTTTTCGCAGGCGGCCTGGTCGCCGCCTTTCTGCTGACTCTGGCAGTGCTGTTGGCGGATCTGGCGATTGCCGTGCACGGGCTGCACGCGCAGCAGGCACCTTGGAGGTGTCTGAAAATATGATGCCAAGTAGCTCAAGATTCATCAGGATACCAGTATTTAATAACTGATTGGTGGTTTGGAACATGATTTGTATTTTTCCATATATTGGGAAGAATACTCCAACTTGACGAATATTTTTCAGAGGGGTTGAAACCACCAACCAGATAATATTGATATTCATGAGGTGCCTTGATAGAATGATAGACTATTCATGATATTCACTGAATCTTCGGCTTCCATAGGAATACTATTCCTGGCCCATTTTTCATGAGAATACCATAGATCAATCATATGGAGGGGCCTGTAAACCACTTATTAATACCCACAGTTGTACCGGTAGTTATAGCCATTAATCACCCATAAGCCAATTAGAAATTGAGGTACTGTGGCATATTTCTGGCCATATTTTGGAGCATATGCCCTTACATGGTAGGTAGCTCCATTTTAGGTAGTTGAAATGGCCATCGAATAGGGAATGTCATGGCCAACCAACAATGTGAGTTTGAGTGTGCCTGAAAACGGGGATATCGTGAGATAGTGGGATAGTCATGGTTTACATACATACACATATATATATAATATTATATATGTAATTGGAATATATAGTAATACCATTCATTGGCAATTTTATCCGGAATATAAAGGGACCATTCTGGGATATTTGGATATATGTTGTCCAAAAATTGGGGAAAAACCACTTGGAGGTGCCAGATGAAATTGGGATATTCCACATCTATCATATTGTATTTGATTGTATATTCTGTACATGTATACATACATATCTCTTGTACCTAAAAACCATATCCCAACCACTAACGTAAGTGATTACTGTGAGTAGTTGCCGAATGTGTACATGGGACAACGGGAATCGGGAACATACCACCATGGTTGACCAATGCCCACGACATCCCCAGTGGCTGACGTATTGTACTTGATGCATGGGTAGTTGTCTCAAAATAGGGGATGCCCCCAAAGTTGAATACGTGGTTGTTCGTGGTTAAAGCCATGATTACAATGTTAAACAACAATCCAATGCATGAGTTTAAAGCCTTATTTACCGGATTCTTGGTGGTTGTTCATAGTTAAAGATGAACTGCTGGTTCGGGGTTAAGTATAACGCTGTGCGGGGTTAAGAACGTGGAATTGGTACGGGGTTAGGCGCGTGTCCCTCCAACTGGCAATGTTTCGGGTATATCCTCCGTTTTCAACAAAGCCACATCATATTATTGGACACATATCCCCATTGCATCCTCCATGATATTCCCCGTAAATCTCATGAAAACACCTTTCTTCCAACAACCATCTCATAGAATGCCTGGTTTTATACCCACCCACCGGTCGCTAAACCCCCAAACCCGCAGGCCTTACGACATATCTATCACGTCCTGGACAAACATAAGATCTTTCCGGGCATCCTTTCGGTGCGCTATGAAGCTTGGTCTATGGCTGGGGGAGGCGAAATTTGCCTTCGGGATATTTGATGGAAGATTAACCACGATTATTAACCATTATGAATCACTGTTAACGATTGTAAACCATTATTAACGATTGTTAACCATCATTAACCATTGAAATGAGATATTTGATGGGGATACAACCATTTATTGTATCAAAGGCTTGTCAACCATATCATTGATTTCCAGCAATAGACAGGGGGGGCCAAATTTTGCTTCAGAATCATGCAAAATCAGCCAGTCGCCAGTACCACACCTTAGGAACTGTCTCTGTGCCACGGTCCTTCACATACATGCAATTGCAGTCGGACCAATGGGCACTCAATAGTTGCGGTCCGGTCAGCAGTGGTTGAGGGACAACATGAAACGTCCCCAAAGTTGGGTCAACACATATTCCAGCATCATCCATTTATCCATTTGAATCTCGCCAGCATTTTAGCAATATTTTCCAGCAGGTTAGCGTGATTTTTGACCCATGCCCAAGCGCTTGTAGTTGTTGCGGTTCCCAATGATGCTGACGTCAGCTCATTCCTTATGCTCCCGACAATCGATCAGCGGAGATCTTATGGCAGTCAGTGATCAGCACGGATATTGTTGACTCGCCGGATAGTTGTAGCTTCCAACCCAGATATTTATGGATTTGTCGGTGAGCTACTTTATATACTATGGATTTATATACTATGGATTTGATTTATATCCAAAGTATCTCCATTCTTTGAGACTGTTTATCTACTTTTTCTTTTCAGGCGACCGGACTATTTATCACCAACGACATGTGTTCATCCCAAGTCGTGCTGGCTTGCCGGTAGGCCCAAAGATCACCTTATTTATCATCTTGCTTAATGGCTCAACCCTGGTGACAACTCAACCCCGGTGACGCCTCAGGAAACCTTTCGATCTCATTTCGAGGTGGTTTCCACCGTTGAAACGGACAGAAACTGCAACCGTTTCTGGGCTTGTGATCCTAGGAATAATTATGGATCATCCCAGTAACTGGTTGCGAGACGGGCAGCCCGCGGGCTGCCCAGTTGGAAAGAACGGAAGACCAGGGGGTCACCAACTTTAACGAGATGATCCTCCAAGTCGATCGACCAAAATCATGGGTTGATGTACTTAGATAGACTTAGATTATATATTTACAGTATATATTATCTAAGTACATCAACCCATGATTATTGATTATCTGGTTGAATTATCAATTCAATCAACTTATAGATAAACATCATATTATCTTCTATTACTGGTGGAATTGATGTTTATCACCAAACCATGAGCTGGGCAAAGATATTGATGTTGCAAGTGATCCTGACTAAGTCAGGATCTCAGTGGGGTATCCAAGGATGGGGTCCCCACCAAAACCCTGGGAAACTGCTAATAGATGACATGACTAAGTACTCAGGTATAGTTAAGTTGTGGGTTTTCATGATTTAGGATTCCAAATGATCATCATTCATCATCATTTGGGATGATTGGAGCCCCAATTCACAGGCCCCCGCATAAATGATGGAACTAAAGTTGGCACCGGCTGGGTTGATCTGGTTCCCTTTTTACACTGCGTGGTCCCCAGCAATTTTGCATCCAGATGTTCATTCGCATAAATAATTTTCCTGAAACTTTTTTTGGCCAAAATATCATCACTCTTCAATGTCTTCATTTTCTCGCGTCGCTTTTCAAAAGGCCCAGGCCCGGCATCCACGGCCGTCGTTGCCATCCACGGCCGTCGGGTCTCGCGAACGCCTCAGGTCTCGCGACTCTGCTGTACTGGTCGGGTCGGCGGCTGGCCACTGTGCTGCTCCCTGGCCTTGATGGGGGGTTTGGACCGATGTTTACGGTCCCAGCCACGGGTCCCAGCCATGGGTTTGATAACATTGCACTGGAAACCATGGTTTAGACGGTTTAGTTATGTTTAGTTTGCTGAACATCATAGATAAACCAGCTTTGGGAAAGCATTTAGAGATTTCAACTCTTTATAATCTGCAAGAATGCTTACCATGGTTAACCATGTCACCATGATTTCAAGATGTTTACCATCATGGTGTTTACCATCTTTGGGTTTTACCACCATTTTGATGTTAAACCAACATTTGGAACCATCATTTCATTGGAACCTTAATTGGAAAATTGTTGAAGCCAACAATGGTCATTGGATTCTTGGGGTTTCAAAGTTTCCACAACATTTTTTCCATGATCAAATTGTTCGAAGCGATTGAACCAATGATTGATATGGGATGATATGAGTTTTGTCTCAAAAGGTTGTCTCTCCTAAAATTTGAGACCCCACAACCATCCAAAATTGGGATACCTTTTATAGGTCAATCCACACTTCTCCCTGTCAAAACATTTTTTTTGGATAGATTCCTCATTTCTTACCCTTTGAGCCCAATCCTTTCGCTGTTTTGTTGTTGAATCCGTGAAACTTCATCCGTTTTGGGTCAGAATATGGTGTTAATTATTTATCTCACCTGTTTAAAAAACAATCCTTCCTGGTTTCATTCCTGCTTTCATTCCTTGTTCATGTTGCTTAACGCCAATGGTGCTTACATCATCTATACCGATACATTCCCAGTTTTTTCCTCGATTTTGACTCCGTTTCTCAAGGGCGTTTTCCACAGGTCGGATGGCTGGACGGTGGTGACGGCGGGACAGCACCTGGGGGTTCCCACCGTGCTGGCTGGATGGACCATCATCTCTGCCCTGGCCATGCAGGCGCCATATGTGGGGAGGATTTTCAAGGTTTTGCCAACAATACAGGTACATGCCTACATATATATATATATACATATGTAGGTACATACATATATACATATATATATATATATCTTACGGGACGTAGGCATCGAATAGGGGAGTTTAAGCAACAACCATTGGGACTTTTAAGCATATAAAATATGGGTTGAACCACCATTGTGCAAATCAGACAGCATTACATTCTCTGATCTTCTCACTGGGAGGTGCGGGCCGCAGGGGCTAAGTGGGTCATAAAAATATCATCACCAAGTCATACATGGGATGTACATGTATATATATATATACACAAGTTATATATACACATAGTATATATATACACACACACACCCAGCAATATTTGATTCATAACCACTTACGAACTGGGATATAGCCACAAGCAATCGTCCCAAACGACCCCTCGAGAAACATTCTTTCTCCTACCTTCACTGTCCTGCCAAGGATCGGCAAAAATCGTGGACCTGCCAACACTGTGTGTCCCAACGGGGCCAGTTTGGGCTACTAAAAGCTATAGTGTGTTGGTATATGCAAAAAGTATCAGTGCTGATTAGCCCGGCATTGGTTGATATTTGACCCCATGATTGTTGGTAAAATGCCCCAAAAAGACTGGCTCAGAGTGCGGTAAGTTTGGCTCAAATCCCCACAGGTTCCTACTTTGGTTAGACCCGCAGTTGCGCCGACAACAGATCCTTTTCCAGTGATGGCCCCTGGGATCCCCCTGGGATCCCCCTGGGATCCCCCTGGGATCCCCTGGGATCCCCCTGGGTAGGAAGTGATTGACTTTCCTGTGTCCATCAGCGCCATCATGAGTCACGGCTGCAGACCAGCTCTGTTTTTGCTGGTGTTGTGTCAAAACATGTATGATGTATGGCAGCATGCTGCGTATATTCATGTGCATATATATATATATACACGTACACATTTACATACACACTGTATAAGTCTACATGCAATGATAATAGTAACAAAAAAATAGTAACGATACCTATCAATAATAAGTAACAATAATACTTTTATTTATAATAATGTTGATAATAACAACAATAGTAACAATAATAATAACAGTGGTAACAGCAATACTACTACTACTACTACTAGTACTACTACTACTACTAATAATAATAGTGATAATATTAAAATATGTATATATATATATGTATACATACACATTATACCCTCAGGATATGCGACTGAAGATATTGGTTGCTAAGCCATAGAAGTCGGACACCTGCTGATTCGGATGGTGATAGCCGCTATGGCGCACAATTATGGATCTCCAAATGAAATGGCCAATGCCAAACGTGCTAAGGTATATATTCATACGGGTATCACACACACACACACGCGCGCACACTCGCACACGTCCTCTGAAGCGGAACAGAAAAGTTTAAAAGAGCCATTTTGGCTGCAGGTATTTGTCCCAGATCTGGGGTGATTTCTCGCAAGAACATGCTGAAACCACTATTATTGAGATTTGTTTAAGATAATCTTCCTACACAAGTAGATGTTTACATCATTCTTTATCTATATGTATGTACTGAATATAGATATACATATATAGATATATGCACATTATATATACATATGTATGATGTATGTATACAATATGTGTAATATATATATATACATATATATATATACATATATATATATAAGTTGTATCAGCTTAGATCATGAAACATGGCATCCACGACATTGCGGGTCTTGGTCAAGGCTTGATGACTTGTTCCATGTCAGGATGGTGGTCACCGTGACCACTTTGTCCATTAAGATGGCATGGACCTTCCCGGACATTGCAGGCCGCAGCGCAGTCCCAGGCGTCCCAAAATTCCAAGTGTTTTCCAAGCTTCCACCGGCTCCGGTGGATCCTCCAGGCCCCTTCTACACGGTGATCCTCATCTTCTTCATCTCAGCAGCCCTGGGATTGCAGGCGGCCAGCCATGGCCATGGCACACCTGGGAACTGGAGCTGCTGCTGCTGTTGCTGCTGATGATAATAAGAAATTATTGTCATTAGTTTGACTAATATATATATATAACTATCATTGTTAATGATGATGATGATGGTGAGATGGTGATGGTGTTCCGAATTCTTTGTGGCAGTTGCTTGTTGCAGTTCAGTTTATCTAAGAGCCGATGCAAGGATTCTGAAGATTTTCTTGGCAAGAAGTTGCATGCAGCTTGGGATTGCCTTCCAGGATAATCCAGATATATCCTCGTCTTCAATTGGCTACATACCCAGTATTGCTGGAAATATTCGGTGTATTTCTGCATGTCAGTGATTGTATTCCCGTGCTTATTGGGTCATGCCAGATTGTTCTTAGGAATTCTACAGTTTCCTCAATTATGGCAAAGAACATGCAAGATGACAAAGAACATGCACGAAACACTAAGATGCTTGTGAAGCAATAGCAACATCACCAACATAATCTCTGCGGCACAAGATGTTTTTTTTGCTCGATCCTTGCCCTGTTCCTCGGTGCACCAAGCTATTGGTTGTTCGCGGAAATCCCCATCCGCACAGGTAAAACCCAATGTTCCTATGTTTTAAGTCCCAACTTTCCGTGGCTTAGCTCACAACTTGCATCGCACTTCTGTTCTAGTTGGGTAAAATCACCAAGTCGACCCCCTTCCAATGATGCTTCCTCCCATGTTTTTTTCCCACTGGCTTAATATAAACAAAGAACAACCCCCATCTGTCACATGATGGTGTCTATGTATGGATGCAACTTGCATCCCAGGCTGGCTCTATTTGTAGATGATCTTCACATCGGTTGGGATCGCTATGTTAAAGCGTGGCATTTTTCCTATTGAACAGAATTGTCCATTGATAAATTATGATTTATGATAAATTCAGTTTTTTCCTTCATGTTTCTGCCTTCAAAACAGTGTGAAGATGAGCTTCCCCCGCCATTATCTCTTGCACTGTCCCCGTGAAATGCACATAAACATACTGTAGACGTGTTTTTTCCCCATGAAAAACAATATCCGCCAGTTGCATATGCTACAAGGTGGGGCCCCCAAGTGATGTTCGTTGGTTTATAACCACACCTATAGATATACACCACAATTCCAACACTTAGCCTAGCTAGTTTAGACTACTGTAACTACTTTGTGTTGCAGTTCCACTACTAAATCCTTTTTCAAAACCATGCGTGAAAAAGAACCCCCTATCCCAACAAACATAGAATCTGAGAAAAAAACATGGTTATGGGTTATATCCCAACTTAGGAGCTTATCATAATTATTTCCACTTATTACCTCGATGCTCCACACCCATGGACCGACAAGGCGGGAGGAGCTTTTTCTTTGGGTCCAAAGAACGTGCAGCCCTTAATGACGGCCAGATTTGCAGCGCCAGGCCGGCGACACGAACTCAAAAAGTGTCAGTGTTTTGGTTGCTGATTTCCCATGTTTTAAAACGGGTCAACCCACCGTTTTTGGTTGGTTCACATTCGCATTTGCGCATGGTTTTGATTGGTTATTTGGTAGATCATGGTATATCCTATCTCTTTTTGGAGGTTTGTTGGCAATTTTTTTTGGGGGTGGCCTTCAGTAAACGAATATAGCTATGGAAATCCATGGGTATCCATGGTGGATTTTCCATCTCTTTTTGTATGTTTACTGGAGGCTAAAGCCCGCCTATTTGTTGGCGCTTGTTGGCTCCCATTGTTTTGAAGGTGATTTGCCTCCGTGGCGCGGGCAGCCTGGCTTTTATTATGGGAACCATCGATGTTTCTGACATTTTCAGATGTTTGATTTCTTGATTTGTAGCAGGAACCATTATTTCAATGGCCTTATGGTACAGTACCTCCATTTCAGGATCCTGAATTTCCCATGGATTATTTCAAGCATTCTGATTCTTGGGTCATTTGATATGGTCAGAGTCCAATTATATAAAGATCAGGAAAAACATTGTAAAAGGGGCCTCATTGATCGCCGGGATCATGAACAGTCCTTGCATGCATACGTTTCTTATCTATACATATTCATACATACTCAGAGCTCAAGCTCCCCAAAAGAGTGCCAATAGAGGAGAGATGCTTGGAGCGCAGTACCAAACCATAAACATATGGATGCTTACTCCATCACTGCGAATTGATATGTAGTTTATATACTCACAAAAAGAAACTGGGAAAGTGTCGCTGAAATTCTGCCTTGCGGAGCCATCAGTTAGGGATGGACATTCATTGCTTGCTACTTTTTGTACTAAGGGTCACGCTGACTATGAAGAATGCTAGTGGGACGTGGCCACCCAATGGCTGGGTAGCCCACTAGTCTCCAGTGATTTAAGGCATTGAAACTGGAAATCCCGGCTACGGGTCAAAGCCCTGGTGCCATTTTGAACAAGACGTGAAAATGGATGTGTACCCCCATGTACTCCCCAAACTTTTGGAACATCATTGGAACATCATAGGTTTTAACCCATTCCCATTTGACTCCCCTTACCAGTAATACGGCCTTTGCAGACAAGTCCATCAAGTCGGTTTAGGCTTTAAAACGTTTAGGTCTACGACTGACAGTGATATTGCTGCTTGGATTGGTAGCTCTGCAGCGCGCCAGACCCGAAGCTTTTTCCAGATTAAACGCAAGATAGAATGTCAGCATACATGTCAGATAGAGTGCCAAGTGAATACGAGATAAAATGTCAGAGTACATACTGTATATATATATAATCATATATATATATATACACGTATATATATATATACATATACATATATATATATACACATATATATACATATATATATATATACATATATATACATATATATATATACATGTCAGAATAGATGTTGGAGAAAATGCTAGATCAACTGTCAGAACATATGTCAGATAGACTGTCAGAATATGTGCCAAAATACGTATATGTCAGAATATGTGTCAGAATATATCTCAGAAGATATCTCAGATAAGATATCAGATAGAATGCCAGAGTCATACAGAACAGTGTGGGGATTGCTCGAAGAAAGTGATTTAGTATTAGAGGGTCATCGGCCCCATTAAGCCTCTAAATATACATTTGATATTTGATATTTGATATACTAGGTCGATCAAGGCGAAAGGTTTCTAAACACTACTGTATCAGCACATTTTTTTTTTGGGTGTCATCAAAAAGGTTGATTCCAAAATTCTGCCATGGAAATGAACACATCCCCCGGATACCCCGGGCCCCAATCCCATTCTGGTGGGAAAATTCACTCGGCTCCCGAGGAACAATCTCCCACCCTACGCGGCCTGCCATATCACCTGGGGTTCTCCCGCTGCGCCGGTGACGTTACTGGAGCGGGGCAAAAACGTGTCGATGGCTTGATGTGGATATCATGGGGAGATTTCATGGGAAAATATGATGAGATACTGGTGGGATATAGTTCTAACCCGGATGGCCCCCCAGTTTTTGGTGGTTTTAAGTGGGCAATTCATTTAGTTTTTTACTTTTGGGGGGGTGCACTATTTTCAACAACCCCATCATTATTGTTTTCATTTTGTGGGATGGAAAAATAAGAACATCTTTAATTGTAATTTGATTTTGGTTGGCTTGATTTATCGCTTTTCGGTGAGAACATATTTCTATTGTGCTAAAGATTGCATTTCTTGGCGGGGGATAGGAACTGGGCTATTTGACGCCTTATGACTTGGATATGCGATCCCTCTCCATAAACCATCATGTTTGTTGGTTGACCAACCCTAATTATCATAGTTGTAACATGTTGTAACAACAGTTGCATCAGGACGTACTGGTATTTGGATAGTGACTGTGTGTAAAACTGCTAGGGCATCATCATCTAGGTGCAGTAAATCGCTGCGGAAATGCGGATCTAACCAGCCGGAGCGATTGATGCTGCAACGGAACATCCCTTTTCCAAAAGGTAAATCCCTAGAAATAGCGGATGTTCTATCGGCTTTAATGATTGAGTCAGTGTATCTCTTCAGCAAATTCGTGTTTTTTTTCCTACACCCAAGGGCAAACCGGAGGGTTTTACCAACAAAACATGGTCGTAGGGATTTCCGGTATGGGATGGATGATCCCCATGGGAGGTCTGCAGATCTAGCACCGCACTGTACCAACCATATTAGTGGGGATATTAGAAATATATTAAGACATTAGTGGGACCCTCAAAATTGTACACCAGACCGCTATAACATGGCCATGAATCCAATGGTCAAATTTTGATCCAAAATCCAAGGTGTTTTGGGGTTTCAGGTCAGGTTGTTTGTCATGGGCAGGACTTGGCAGCCCTGGCACTGATTGCCTACGAAGAAAACTGCGATGAAATGGGACGGTTGCTTCAGGACGACTAGCCGAAGCAGGCTGAATGGGATTCATATAGGCTATATACTTTTGCATATACGGGTATGTATAGGTATGCACATATGTATATATGTTATAAAGAGATTAATTTTAACATGAGGATAGATATGAGGTTACAACATGTAGTACATACATAATATGATATGTATGTGTTGTCATTTTTTTTCAATATATGTATAGCTTTGAAACTGTACCTTGTTCTGTCCCGTTCGGTCCGGTTCTTTCGCCAATCTTCTTCGGTTGCATTCCCATGGTTGTGCAAGACTGCTAACTATATTTTCATGATAGAGCCAGTTTTGATCAGTTTTGCATGTACCGCCACTTGTATGTATGCATGTATGTGATGTGATGCGATGCGATGTGATGTGGTGTGATATGATGCAATGCAATGTATGTTTGCATATATGATAGCATGTATGTTTGCATGTATGTTTGTATGTATCTCTCAATCTACCTAACTATCCATGCATATCACTATCTATCTATCTATCTGTCTGTCTGTCTGTCTACCTACCTACCTACCTATCTACCGACCTGCCGACCTACCGACCTACTGACCTACCGACCGACCTATGTTTGAAAATATACTTAAGTCATAATTATAGGCTTCATGATTAGTGGTGATTATACAATGAATTAATGTTAGTCACATATATATATGTATATATATATGTATATGTGTATGTGTATGTATATGTATATGTATATGTATATGTATATGTATATGTCAATGTCAATGTCAATGTCAACGTCAACTCACCGTTTTTCTTGTTTCAGATCACCAAACTTTGCCATTGCCTTCTCCAGGAGAGCTTTGGATCGCGCTCTCCGAGGTAGGGGAGGAATCACTGGGGGATGCACAGGAAGTTGGCTGAAGGCGAACTCTGGGATTTCATATGTAACAAAGAAAACTGGAGGGCCCCCGCAACAAGAATGCTATTCTTCCCAGGGATCAGAAGGGTCTTCGGACACAGTAACTCGCCCTGGGGAGTTACCACCTGTAGAAATGAGCCAAACTTGCCATTTCCTGGAGTCACCTTGATGCATGGTTGGTTCAAGGGTCGGCTTATAGAGGAATTCCCTCGGGTACAGTAATCAAACACGGCAAGGGACAATTCCCCATGTATGACATACATACATAATACTTATATATATATATACTCAGGTTGCACTTATATGGTGGTGTGGGTTGGTGGTTTGGAAGTCTGGGAAATCAGAGTTTTATGCAATATACACTATAAAATATGAATTATTGTTTGCGTTCTGTTTTGTAATATTAAATACCTATTTGTTTTGATTTGTTGGATCTTAGAACTATTTAATCTATTTTTATATTTTTCATTTGTTTTCACCTATGTTCATCTATGTTCATCTATTTTCTATTCTCATCTATGTTCATCTATTTTCATCTATTGTCATCTATATTCATCTATATTCATCTATATTCATCTACCTGTCAATCTATCTTTCTTTATTTTCTTTCTTTGTTTCTTTCTTTCTCTTGTTCTTTCTTTCTTTCTATCTATCGATCGATCTATCGATCCATCTATCTATCTATCTATCTGTCTATCTGTCTGTCTGTCTGTCTATCTAATTCTCTCTAAATCTGAAACATCCATGAAACCTACATCAAACCTCCATGTATCCTCCATGGAACCTCCATCAAAACTCCATCAGTTAGACTACATGAGAGAACCAACAAGTGTAGATACAGGGGCCTTCAAAACCTCAATGAAACCTACATCAATCCTCCATGTATCCTCCATGGAACCTCCATGAAAACTCCATCAGTTACACTACATGAGAGATCCAAAAAGTGTAGATACAGGGGCCTTCAAAACCTCCATGAAACCTACATCAAACCTCCATGTATCCTCCATGGAACCTCCATCAAACCTGCATCAGTCAGACTGTATGAGAGAGCCAACAAGTGTAGATACAGGGGCCTTCAAAACCTCCATGAAACCTACATCAAACCTCCATGTATCCTCCATGGAACGTCCATCAAACCTGCATCAGCTGGAACACACCACATGAGAAAAATGTTCAAAAGGTATTGATGCAAATCGATGTCAAATCGATCGCAAATTAATCGTAAACTGATCGTAAAATATGCACTAAAGAATGTAATAGCATGTGTGCATTTTGATGTCGTTTTTAGTGGGCAATCTCCTTTGATTGATGTTACTTTTGGTTTCTGCTCTGGAAAATTCAAACTCTTGCAGAACTATCATTTAGTTTAAGTGTTCTTTGCCTGGCGGTTTCGTTTTTTTTGGCAAGGCCAGGGTTTCAAGTGTCAAGTGTGGATTTTGCCTTGATGTCATTTTGATGTAGTTTTATGATTGGGTTGATATCAATTTGATGGAGGTTTTGAACTTAGGATATCGCAGCTCCAAAAACCCATGAAAAATATCCAAACCACCAACAGAAACGAACCCTAAGTGTGTATCTTGAACTCTTTGATCGTCAAACCATATGAATTGGCAAGCGTCGTTTTCTGCAAGCCTCATGCTCTGATCGATGTCGTATTGATGGCGTTTTGTGGCCTTAATATTCTTTTCTAGGCCGATGTCAAATCGATCGTAAAACCATCGCAAAATGATCGCAGAACATCGCCGAAACCTGAGCCTGCCTCTGCAGCCACGTCAGGCGGAAGAACGTAAAAACCAGGAAGTCCCACCCATTTGTGCTAATCTCTATCTAATTATATAATCCAATTAAGTCTATCTATCTATAAGAAAAAATATCTCTATGAATCTATTGCCCACTGAAAGCGACATCAAAATGCACACATGCTATTACATTTTTTGAATTTATTTTACGATCAGATAACGATCTATTTGCGATCGATTTGACATCCATTTGCATCACTACCTTTTGAACATGTTTGATGCAGTTTTGATGGAGGTTCCATGGAGGATACATGGAGGTTTGATGTAGGTTTCATGGAGGTTTTAAAGGCCCCTGTATCTACACTTGCTGGTTCTCTCATGCAGTCTAACTGCTGCAGGTTTGATGGAAGTTCCATGGAGGGTTGATGTTGGTTTCATGGAGGTTTTAAAGGCCCCTGTATCTACACTTGTTGGTTCTCTCATGTAGTCTAACTGATGGAGTTTTGATGGAGGTTCCATGGAGGACACATGGAGGTTTGATGTAGGTTTTATGGATACCCCATGTAATAATTAACCAAAATAATAAACAATTAAGTTAGAAAGGAAAGTATAAATTGGTAGCAATAAAGTAAACAACCAAGTGAAATAATAGTGAATTTGTTTTCTCAGGTACTATATATAAAGTTTCAAAAACCAGCAATAATAATATAATAGCAATTTGTGTTATTGTTATTTTAAATGTGCTGTTAAGCTTTTATTTACAGGGTTTGATAATATTAGATTGGTTCCAGTTGTACAAAATCATCAATTCCCAGACTTCCAAACCACCAACCCAAACCACCACGTAAGCACATGTTGATATACACATGTTTTTCCCACTATAACCTCCATTTATAAGGGATTTTCCAGCAAGTCATGTTTGATTACCGGAGAGGGTGTTTCATATCCCGCCGAAGGTCATTTATGGGGTTGATCCTCACAGGGCATGTGGCAACTGGATCATTGCATTTTGTACATCATTTTTCTGAGGTAAAGGGCCAAATGGTTCATGAAGGATGATTTCAACACCTATTGTAATATGGATATTACCCCCTGGTAAATTAACTTAGACCCTGAAAATCACCAATGTTGACTGGAAACTAGTCTTCCAACCCCGATGACTGCCAGGGTCTATGTTAATATACCAGAGGGTAGCAGTTGTATAGGATGATTTCACCCTTAAAATAGCAGAGATCCATCCTGGCAGGTTGGAACATTGCAGCACCTACGATGCTTTGCCGCGTTGGGTCTCGGTACGCTTCTCTCCCGCGCGGGGCATCGGACGTGGCTGGGCGAATCAGTTTGGATCCAAACGTCAAAGAAAGGTCATACTTAGGCACTTGGGGCCGTAAATGGGTACCCTCTGGTAAACTAACATAGCTATTGAAAATGGTCATTCATAGTGGATTTACCCATTAAATCTGGTGATTTTCCATAGTTATGTTAGTTTACCAGAGGGTAAACCAGGGCTACAATCACTGGTACGTCACTAATTGGTTTCGGCTGGGCTACAATCATTGTTAGTTCGGATATCACTCCTGTAGTTATATGATATTATATGCCCATTTATCAACTGGACCTCCCTAAGCATGTGCATAGATCAATGATCGAAGGACCCAACAACCATAGCCCAGGGTCGGGCGAGACATGGGGCTTGAATCAGCGGGTTCATGTCCCATGTCGCGTTGGCAATATCATCAATTGCGCACAAGTTAGCAAGAAAGCCATGGGCAGTCATGATCATTTATATGTATATAATTGTATATATATATATATATATACATAGCCACAGTTTTGAAAACATCCGTGAAAGTTGGCTGGATGGGTTCCAACCTATTTTTTTTGTGATTTTCACTATTCACCATCCAGAAATGGAGTTTGCTGTGCATCTAGTGCTACACGGTTGGGATGAGTCCTGCGGCCCCAAGGTGGCACCCGGGTCTTTGCCTTGAAGGGAACCAGCTCCTGGAGAGACGTCTATGCCGACATCAAGCTCTTCGCCACCATTGAGGTGGCGGATCAATCATCAATGGATAAGTTTTGGAAAAGGAGCAGATCATCCCTGGATCATCCCGTGAATCAGGTGTTGCAGGCCCTGTCAAAGATCGTGCCCATCTTGTCCCTGCTGCCAGTAGCCTTGGTTCAGAGCATAGTGGGATTCACAGGCACCGCGGCACCGCCTTTTGTGGTGATGGGAATGACATGGAATGCCCAAGATCTTCATGAATTGTCATGGCTTTTCGAGTTGGGTAGATGGAAAAGACTCACGAGGGAGGGTTAAATTATGTTCAATGATTTCATCACTTCTTTTTGAAGGAAATACGGTGTCATACGTTTGAAAAGAGTGTGGGGATATGCCAGACCCCTCGGCCCTGACCTCGACCTGACGGCAGGCAATGCAGATGTTAAACTTTGGAATGAACTGGAGGACTGGTTTTGGGGGCAGCTTATGAAGTGCCGGAAGCTGGAAAATAGCTGGTCCTTGACCTGGAGAATTCATAGATGCCTGATGGCCGACCAAAGTCATCACACATGGCCCAACAAATTAGGTTTGGGGAATTTGTTTAAAAACCATCGGAGGTTTCGGAAGAGAACCCCAAAATCGGCAGAGGTATGAATTGAAAAACATTGGCAGGAAAGCATTTGATTCACCAAACTTACTATAGAGGTTCCTGTACGGTCTGTACGTGCATTATCCCTTAAACCAACTCTGGGAAGGAACATGAGCACTCAAAACATGGATCTCATTTATCTCAAGAGAGTGGGGCAACATGGGGTGTTGAGGGTTGGGGCGAGCTTAGTATCCCAGCAGCTCACAGATTTCCGAAAATCTCATCTTCACTCCCCCAGTCAGACTGGAATGGAAGCCCCGAGAAAAGGCTTGCAAAATGATGTTACAATTGGACAATCAAGTGATCAGCCAGTGATCAAGCAAGTCAGATCATTTGAAATGCTTTGCATTAGTTGAAGTGATCAAGCCAGTCAACCTACTCAACTTACCAGTGTGTCCGAGAGAGAAAACAAGTTTGGTTTCCCTACATTTTGGGATCAGCTGGATTCCGTTTCCACTGTTGCTTTTACAAAGCAACTAGCTATAGCTTAAATGACGTACGCAAGCTCTGCATCGTTTCAAAAAAACAGCTCTAGATACCCAAGTTTGAGCCCTGCCCCAGTCTTCTCAAGGAAGTCTCCCTCGAGATCTGAAGTCATCCCCCACAAAAGTGACCAGCCGAATGACTAGTCTCAGGATAGCATCATGGCCGGTCAAAGCGATGGAGATGCGATGGTGGGCACTCCCAGAAAGCCCAGTACTTGGCGGTGCATTTTGGTGAGTGGATATATCCAATACGTAGCTAGGTTATAGACTACAAAGTTATAGATCATAGGTTGTAACATGGTTGTTACCCACTTTCCTGGGATGCACATCCAAGTAGTATGGGAAGCCCTAAAAATTCCACGAGAAGTCCCAAAGCCCCACAGACACAACGGCAATTTCTTGGCATCAAGTTTCTCTGTGGCTAACTATATCAACTCGAAGTCCAAAAAGAAACATCATTTCAAATAGTTCTCGTCTGGAAAAGAGGACCATCCACTTCGTTGCTAAAGCCAAGAATATGCCCCAACCCTGCAAAGTAATCTTACATTCTAAATACATCGTAAAACATCATCACCTACACATTTTCTGCCTGATTTCTTGCAATTTACCGAAGCCCCCGGAGACACCGTTCAGGTCTTGACGGGCCACTCCCTGGGCGGACTCATCGCTCAGATTGTCGCGGCCAGGTGCGAAGCGTTGGAGAACTTGATTCATATTTGCAACTCTGACCTATTTTTCCAATAGTAAAATCCGACAAAACAAGGGCGATTTGCTTTGTGTATCCTTTCTTGGATTCTTGGGCACTCCAAATCCCGCTGATTTTTGGTGGATCTTTCCCATAAACGACCAGCGAAGGCAACAATTGCCCGCATTGGTCTTCTCATCGCCAGGTTGGTGGCCGTGGCAAGGGCCATGTTCTGGGGGTCTGTTGTTGTTGTTGTTGTCGTTGTTGTCCTTGTTTTTTTTTTTAGGTTTTGCAAACGGCAATTTTAGGAGGGATGATAATATTAATAATGGTTATTGTTATTAGCTATGACTATACATACACTTATACATATACTTATACATATATATATATATTATAATTACTACCATTATCATTATCATTATTATTATTATATGATGATGATGATGATGATGATGATGATGATGATGATGATGATGATGATGATGATCCAGTGGATTCAGGGGTACCCAATTTTCAAACCCAGTTTTGGTGGGTCGTAAAATTCTTTGCCTTCCAATCCTTGGAAGATGGTTTTTTGTGGCTGGCAGCTCATGGTCAGCATACCACAAAGCCATAGATTCACCGGTCACTGATGGTCCTCATCGTAGTATTGGATCGAATACTGGGGACCAAACTACAAAAACACACTGGTTTTGAGTATGGTCCCCAGTATTTCTTAGTTTAGTATAGCACCTGGTCCCCAGATAGTATGGATTCACCGGTCACTTCTGATCCCTTAGGCATTGACCAAACAAAAACCTGCCAGGTGTGCTGTACTCTGCGCGGCGCTTCCAGATTTTGCCCGAAAGTGCCCCAGCGAAAAAGGAAGGAAAGGTTTGTTGCAGGGATGCACGCGACTGTAAGACTTCATTTAACCCATGTTTGTTGGTTATGCCTTGAAACCTGCGTTATAACTTATACCCAACTGACAAATCCCGTTTTTGTCTGGGAGTACCTGAGGTTAGACATGATTGGTGCCAATACCCTCCTGACATTTCGCCACTGTTTTGGTTTCAAGATCACTTGGCAGCTGGAACCCTGACTGCATGGTATCCTATGGTGAAGCAACTTACAGGTCCACGTGGGAGAACCTATGGAAACTGGGAGTTACAAGGAACCCATGGTTCTTTGCGACAAATACATACACATACTCCCACTATGTATATATATATATATGTATAACTATGTGATGTTTTGGTACAATACTATATAACTATGTTATACAAACTATTATGGTACAAATATATACTATGTGATGTTTTTTTTTTAATACTCGTTGGGCAACAGCACTTGCACCTGGCAATGGACAATCTTTTACAGTCTCTTATGAGACTCCGTGAGTGGGCGGTCGGAGTTCTTTTCGACCTCCCTTTTTGTTGTTTAATCCACTTTACACGCTTTTTTGAGGGAGTCACGCAATTCCTTAAACACATATAGCTCTTGTGAGTCTATAGCCCACATCCGAGCATTTGTTATTCATGTTTTGCAAAATCTCCCCCTACCTCTTTCATGATGATCCCGCTTGACATATGTTTTCCCGTGTGTGGAAACTCCCAACAGAAAGCAGCAAATCGTCGTTGGAAGCCTCTCAATTTTCGGGGATGTTTATACAGGACATGTCTTTGGAACCTTGAATCGGAAAGTTGTCATTCTGATTGGTGGAACATAAGTTGGTTTATAAACCCCATGAATACCATAGTTATCTATAGTTATATCTACCACAAACCATACTTACCCTCTGGTAAACTAACACAACTATGGAAAATCACCATTTTTAATGGGAAAACTCACTATGAATGGCCATTTTCAATAGCAAACTGTTAGTTTACCCGAGGGTAAGCCATGATTTTCGTTGATGAAACGACGGGCGTGCTGGTCAAATCGCCAGCCAAGGTGCTCGGCATGTGGTGGTCCTGGTGCCTGATGGTGACGTCATTAGCACCGTGGATGAGCAAGCAGGCGTCAGCATCGCTGCCATCAATGGGGGATTGAAGAAGCAACAATGAGGGTTTAACAGGGTCTAGAAAAAATAATGATTGGGATTTATGAGCAAAAAAAAAAGATCATCAATATTTGCATATATTTGCCATTCTTTGCTTGCATGACTGGGCGATTCTTCGGGCAGGTGTAGCAATATATATATATATGTATATATCTATATATATATAATATACATATATATATATACATAAATATATACATACATACATATATATATATATATACACGACCTGTATCTATTTGTATGGTACAGCAGCAAGGAAATAAAAATAGCCAAACAAAAATAAAGGAGGCTTGGATCTACATCCCAAGTTAACTGGCAATTCCCATGGCTATATGCCATTTACGGTATAAAGCCCGGTTCTACATACGTATGTATAATACATATATACATATATGCTGACAACATACAAATATATATATATACATAATTATAATATCATATATATATGAATATATATATATGTAGATAGATACATACATATCTACACAGGTTGTTCATCACTTACTAATTGGGCAACTTTTTTGTGAGTTTGGCATGGTCTGTGGACTCCTTGCAGAGAGTGATCCCCATAGTTTCACCAGCATTTGCCGGTGAATTAGCGCATCATTCCAGTCTTATCACCATTTGGATACATTAAACATGACAGAAAAGATTGAAACGATATGAAAAAACATGATCAGATTGAACCATAGATAAATTGATATAAATTAGTTTCCCATAGTTTCCCACTGATATCCAGTGCTTAAAAAAAAGCGTTGCTAGGAGTGGTGCAGCGGATCGCCTGTTTGGAGAAGAATGGCCAGGCGGTTGAAAAGTTTGGGGTGACGGTGACAACTATGCTACAACACGATGGTACAACAATAAGCACCATAAGTTGGGATAAGTTGGGGATAATTTTGGGATATACTCCATCTATAACATCTATAACTATGACACACTTTATATCAAACTTTTTTTTTTACTCATTGGTCAAACTGCACATCCAGGTATTGCCCTTTAAAAGGATTGGGAAGACACTTAATTCATGATTCAACCGATTTGAGTTCACACAATCCGTTCACTGTTGCTGTGCAGGGTGTATACGGGTTTTGATCCATACCCATATAGTCAGACATTTTAGATTAGAAATTGCGGTGAACTGGGATCTAGTAATTGGTGCGTAACTGCATTACAACTGAGGTGGTGACATGTCTGGGAACTGGGGTACAGTGGACCCAGAAACAACTTCAACATGGAGCTTGAGCCATGTTTTTATCAGAGATGCACCAAAACCTGGGACTTCCCATGGCTACAAATGTGTCAAGGTAAACCACCATTTTTGGAGGGTTTTTCCTACAATAAATGGCAGCTGGCCGGTTTCATTTGACCCACGACCAACAAATACAAACACTACAAATGGATCATAGAAATATCAGGTTTCCCATGGTCAGGAGATTAATGCCAATTCCTCTGTATGTCTAACAGTTCTTCGGGTTCAACATTCTGTGGCATTATGGTGAACCGTTGGCCCCCCAATTCACACGACCTATGACGTGGCCAAGGAAGTGGAATACCACCATTTTCATCCATTTTCAACAAGAAAGAACATATCTGTATATCCCCATATATCCCCTAACAGTGTCTTGGAATCCGAAAAAGGCACACATGAAAATTCACGTCCTGTTGCTTATATTCTCCTATACTACAGTCTCATAAAATTGCATCGCTGAAACATGTTCTGCATTCCCTGCGCCTGCATGTCATGTGTTTTGGGAGTGCCAATTACTATATAAGATATATAATACATTTCTATATTTTGTTCACGCAAATTATATATATACACATACATATGTATACAGTATATAGTACACCACCTAAAATCCCCTAAATAAATGGTGAATTCAAGTTTTGTTGCTCATATTTCCTCGGTACAACATTATGTCCCTTCTACACATGGTCAAATCAAATCCCCATTTTGTTTGGTATATCTAAGGTAAGTAATATAAGTGACATACCATTATTATAATTATATGCCAGTTATTCATCACATTATGTCCCACTTGAGATAATTCATTGTTATTATACATAAATCTAATTATGTTAAAACACATTTTTTTGATAGTTAAACCACGTCGAATTCCAATTTTTGCTGGTTCAACCACCATTTGTGCTAGTTCAAGCACCATTCTTGGTTAAACCACTTTTTTTTGCACTGTTTTTGTTGGAGAACTCCAGGGTCAACGGCCGCAACGGCACCCGTTTCCGGTGTGGCAACGGCACCCGTTGTTCCAGGCCGCCTCCGCCGCCAAATGTCACCGCTTGCGTAAGACGGCCTGTGAGGTCTGGCGAGCCTGTGGCCCGGCGGGACTCTTGGGGGTGTGATGACAACATCATCCAATGATATGGTATATCACATATAATATACCACATATATATATATATATACATATACATGGACACTCCTGCCGATACACCGTGGCCGGTGGATAGCAGCGATTGGGAGTCAATAGGGCCGTGCCGCGATCAGCAGCTGGGAGGCTCCTGTAGGTGGAGGAATCCGGGATCTGTTACCAGTTCACAGTACATGTATATATACATATATATATATGGGGATGATGAATATCAACCATGTAGGTTCATAAAAGCCATATAATAAACCAATGGTATATGATCAATGGTATATATCAACCAACGGTATAAAATCCTGGGATGGTGAAATATGGACTTGAACGGACTTGGTATATTTTGGGTAAATTATAACGGCCTCACTGTGACTCACTGCGAGGTCATTGGAATGATGGTTACAGTAGTAAGGGTAATAGCCTTATTTCAGGTCAGTGAATTATTACAATTTATCCAGACATAATGGCATCGTATACAATGATATGGTATGCAATGAATATTGTCCTCCGGCAATGAAACATGGCAATAGAACAAATACACCATTTACGGGTGATTTTCATTGTGCAAAAGCTCCATATACAGGGGATTTCCCATTGATATGTCGTGGATACCATTAATGAGATAACATATTTGGGATACACAAAATGATCAATTGTCATAATAGTTACAATCAATAACATAGATGATGAAATACCAGTAGTCATCGTATTGCACTAGTACTTTTTTCTACTATGATGGGATCATGTCGGGCTAGTCTATATTGGGATAACTCAGATAACACAATCTATATTGCGATAATGATGGGATAATGAATAAAATAATTGTGATAATCATGAGATAATAATGAATTTAGGCTGGGATTGAATCATGTAATTGGGATTATCATAATGATTACCCTCTGGTTATTTAACAGTCCGCGGAAAATCCCCATTTTTAATAGGTAAACCATCTATTTCGATTAGGGCCATTTTCCAATATATGGAGAAATGAATATGGATGCCTAGTTGGTGGTATACCTACCCCTCTGAAAAATAATTATTAGTCAGTTGTGAATACCCTCTGGTAATTTAACGTAGCTGTTGAAAATGGCCATTAATAGTGAGTTTTCCCATTAAAAGTGGTGATTTTCCATAGTTATGTTAGTTTACCAGAGGGTATTCTTCCCTATTATATGGAGAAATAAAAGATGTTAGTCATAACCAGTTCTCGGCAGTTCTCGGCCGCACCTCAGGTGGGGATCCCTGGGCCCGGGACTTCTCAAACACATGCGGAAGCTACGTCTCGGCAGTGCGGACACCCGATGCTGAGATGCTGATGGTGGAATTCACTTCAAAATAGCTGATAGATGTTACCATACGTATATATATATATATATATATATCACATATATGTATACGTATCAGTATCACACACACACATATATATATATAATACTATAATATAATATAATATAATATAATATAATGTAATGTAATATAATATAATATAATATAATATAATAATATATATATATATATCACTCACACACACATATATATATATACACAAGGCATATCCCTCAAACTATGATGGGTTTTGATCCATAGCCATTTTGCTGGTCATCCCAGTTTCGGAAGGGCTTGGTCTTCCCATTGGTTGGCATCGCCACTTACAATTGGATTGACCCTGGGATGACCATTGGGAGTCCGAATTTCTGTTTCTTTGAAAGTCCATTCTTGGGTTGGTTACCATGCCAACTTCAGCATTCCTAAAGGTCCTAAATCCTTCCCCGATAGTAAATACCCCCAGATGGGCTCGAAAATGAATGCAGTGGATCCACTGCTAAACCAGGATTCCTTGGGCAAGCCTTTGGTTGAACCTGTGGCCGACCCGTGGCAGGTGCGGGGATATCAATCATGGATCATGGTGAAAATGAGATTGGACACCATTGGATTTTCGGGCATCCGACTTTTGGACAGACCTATCTGACGATATGACATGATATCATGATTTGGAGAGATCTGGGCCGCAGTTCATTTTGTTAGTTGGAACATCCTTGGATTTCGGGCCTTTTTTGGTACCCAAGGTTGACCCATACTGTAGCCACTGACAATGATTATTGCCATCCATGGGCCATCAAACTTGGCTCGACAACGCCAGGTGGCCCAAAGTGAGATGGGGATCAACCCGCTCGCCCAGGAAGTTGAGTGAGTTGACTATGTGCCGGAAAAAAAACGAACGACTGCCATGGGGTTTTGTCAGGTCGCAATGAAATTATTTCGATTGATCATTTTTCCATGGTCAAAATATGACAATTTATGAGGGTAGACAAATCGAGGGTGCCAGAGAGTGTAAAGAGTCAGGTTTGGCAGCTTTTGGCAGCAAAGTGATCACCGAAAGGTAGTTCATTGCAAGCATCAAACGAAAATGAACATGAGATTTTGACCATGTTCGCCGTTCGCGATTCGGGGACATCGACCTGAGGGTTAAGCTCCAGCGGATCAAGAAACCGCATCCAATAGCCAGCTTTGCGCTGGAGAAGATAGTTTGTACCGGTGGAACCTATAAACCATATACTCAAGTTTGCCAAGTGGGCAAGGGTTATGATAAACAATACTAACAATACCCAACTTTGGTATCTTTGGCTTGGTAAAGTTTCTTACTGCGTTTGGCTGCTGGCTTTGTCCACACCATATCAAGCATGATTCCAGTGCGCAGATGCATCGCTGGTCCGAGAACTTCTGGAGCATCACGCCCAGGTTGGGGGGTTCTGGGATGGCTGACCGAAGAAAAGGGGGGTTCAACAGAGAAACATGGTGATAGATGATATGAGCGAGACTTGGAATATCTTGGAATGAACAAAGACTGAATGCGGCTTGGAAGCAACCGAAATCTGAAGATTTACATAGATTTACCATGAAAACAGGGAGGCCCGTCCCAAAAATCACATAACAAATGTGTCCGGTCCCAGGGGCTTGATACCAGACATCGATGTGTCGATGTGGGTTCAAGATCCAATCAAGAAATCATGGGATCAGCCATCCACTGAGTTTGAGGGTCACCAGAAATCATGGAGCAAGCAGTTATGGTTTGCACTCAACACAGGGGTATAAAAAACCAGCTGCTATTATTGTGGTTTTTATGATGTTTTATGTGGTTTTGCAAGTCCGAAAGTATGACGTCATCAGAACAAATCAAGCAATTTTTGGGGACTGGCCAGGGGCGCCCTGCTGTGTAGATCAGCCTTTTCTGTCCGACTTTCCTGCTGGTTGATTCATGGAGGAGTCAGCCTGGTCAGCCATGATCATACTAATATATTGACATCCCCCATCACACGGATTTTGATGCTGTTTCAACCAAGAAGGTGGATTGAACCAACCAATTATGGTTTAATTACGATATGTTTAATTTGGCATGCCCCTTGCGCATGTTAAGTTAAATAAGAATGACCCAACAAAATGATGATTTCTTATATTGTTTAGCACAACAATTCATGAAGAGAACTCAGGTAGACCCACTGGGACGACAGGGCGAAACACCTGTTGGAGTGCCCAGGGGGGGGTTCTCTCCAGGAAAAGAGTGAAATGGTGGGCGAAGATGTACTATAGGTAACTGATTTGAATATAAGCTATATCTGTCGTTATACATATGTACTCTAGAGATTAGTATGATAAATGAATGTGAATTACGACTATGGTATATCAACAGTATGTGATTCATAAACTATAAACATAGACACAGAAGCTAGGTTTCTGCAAGTCTGCGGGTCAGTCCCATTGAGTGGTCCCTGAACTGTCACTCTGCCGGGAAGGCCCTCTGGTGACCAAAAATGGGAAAATCCATGGCTTATAGGATTCACCAATTCAAGAAAACATGGTCAGCCATGTTACATAACCCCGAAACAGCAAGTTTCATGGGGAAATGATATTCTAGTCCCTTGGAATAATCAGATTGTTGTCAACATTTTCAATGCCTATATCATATCTTTGTCAAATCTCCGGTGATATAAATGGCCATCAACCATGTTTTGCTCATGGTTTTCATGGTCTAAACTTTCCAGACCATGATTTTATTAGTGAGTTTCCAACCCGCGGATCCCAAAACGCGTCTTTCAGGTCCACCTCGCAAGCTTGATGGGTGCGGTTTCCAAGCTGAAAAAATCATCACCAGGCGAACATGATCACCCCCCAATAGCTGGATTGTTTTTTTGATGACCACTACATTCATCATCGACCCTTAGCCATCTGTATGTGTGTATAATATATATATATATATAGTAATCATATCATGTATATATATATATATATTTATGAGGCTCGTAGAGACTGTATAGTCGCGGCCTAATCATTGAATTCTACCACTGCTGACAGCTACTTTGCATAATCCGGTCCAATGAACTCACCGTATATATATATATATGTATATGTATATAGATATGTATGTATATACATAGATAATCTTAGATATACCGTTGGAGCTGTTTATTTAGGGGTTCCACACACCGCAGATTTGATATTAGGGGGATGGGATTAACATTGATTTGGTGGCTTGTCAGCAGAACTGATGAGTGTTTATCTCATGCACGGAACCCCCAAAATTGTCAAGGGGATGTTCCTATTGGACACGTTTTTCTTGGTTTCCATCATGTGAGTTTTGAGGATGGCAAGTGGCGACTGCGTGATTTCGATCAATCCTTGTAGACCACCGAAACCGCTATAGCGACCGCAATGTTTCACGAAGAAATCGACATGTTTAGCTGGTCTACGGTCGCAGAGGTCATCACGAGGTGTTGGAGCTTCTTCTTGAGGTGATTGGAATGGGGAATGGGGTACACCAGGTACTGTTTTGGACGGTTATGAAGCATTATGAAGCCATCTATTGGCGAATTTGGTGATGACAATCACAAACTGGGACTTCTGTTCTTAACCAACCAGTCCAGAGAAATCGCAACAACCGGATTTCACCCAAAAATGGGCACCAGGGATGAGGTGAACATCCGTGAACTGACCAGAAAAAATGCCAAAAAATGGTGCTATAGGTTTGATTTCTGGATGTAGTATAGTACTCTATATCTACAGAGATAATATGGAGCTGCCTTTAGAACTGGGGATGCCTCCGTTGCATGTTTCTTGTCCGCAAAGGCCGGGTAGACCTACCACACAAACCAAAGAGGCCTCAACAACCTACCTGATGGATACTGTAGTTTTTTTTGCAGGTTTTGAATGCGACCATTTCACATTGAAGCTATCGCAGGTTCCAATAGGGAAGTCATGCTCCAAGCATAGTATGTTGGTTATGTTGCAGCTGGAGACAGCATGGGCGAGTGTGCCGCAGTACGCCTACTTGGTGACATGATCGTTTTGCTTTGTTACATTCTTGGACCAGATCCTGTGTTTATCAGCTGAACCCGGTTTATTTCCCCATTCTCATTCCTTAAAATCCCAATTCTTCTGGCTTGAAAGCCAATTTTTTCTCGGTTCGATCCCTGTTTTCGATGGTCAAATCATTATGTTTGGCCGTTCAATCACCATTTTCGTTGCCCAAATCCTAAGCAATGGTGGTTATATGGGGAAAAAGACCCTGGCAGGCACAAGCCTCCCCAAATCTGCTGGCCTTGGATGGCAAAGGGGTCTGGGTGCCAGTGGTGCCAATTGGGATCTGATGTGGCGAAAAATCCATGGGTAAACCATGGTAAATATGCCAGATGAAATTTACGGGTCACGTAAAATCATTGATTTACCTGATATTATTACATCAACCTTTGATTTTAAATGAACATACAATGTTTTTTTGAGACAGAAACTTATGGTAAACCATTGATATTTAGCAATGAACGTATAACCGTATAATCCAATGGTTTTCAAACCGAGCCTGATGATCATCTATTGAGGTTCAAACGCTGCTGAAACACTTCCTCTAGAAAGGTTGGGTGACGGTGAGCTCCCTGGTCACTGCGTTTTCCAGCTCTGACCTAGCGTTTTTTTGTAGCTGAACTGGCTGAAATGGCTCAGATTTTGGTGCATGGAAGCAACCGATCTTGGGGATTCAGCTGGTTATGGACTTCTTGAACAGTGCTTTTGTGTACAGACACAGATAACATATGTAACATACCTCCAGGAAATTTTGGAATCCTCCGATCTTGGCTCAGGCAGTTTGCTATCACACCATGACAGGAGTTGATAGGATGCACCCAGCCGCGCGCTTGTCAGAAACGGGCAGCACCTGTCTCCATTTCGATGGATCAATTGGATTCAATTGGATCAATGGCATGTAAAAACTTGGCTTGTTCTGGCTTCTGCCAACAAAAAGTACAGCCAAGTCCTGTTCAAAGCCATTTTTCTACCGTTGAAGTCACACTTTTCACTTACGACTTGTCATGGCAGCAGCCATGGATACTTGGTGGTAAAAGGGCAACTTGCGGGGCAGGTTCCAATGCATGGAAAGGTGACAGCTAAGAACTCGTGCGTTCTGGGAGTGACGGCTTTTGGGATTGAAACATATTGAAACTGCTGTAGAAACCATCAACAGATGGTATGTGGGGATTTATGGAACCTGCAAAAAATAGGGTCTGTGGGGATTTCAACTCAGCAATGGTGGAAAGATGGAACCAGAAACGACACCGGGCAGGAGAAACATTGCCACCGACTCCACCACTGGGCCTAAGAACAAAAAGAGGAATCGCCAAGACGAATTTGGATATAGAGGGCAAACCAAGTTTGCGTTGTATGGGTGTTTCTGAAAATGACCTTGAGACATGCCAAATCCCCAAGTTCGTGGCCAACTCCCGGTGTGGAAAGGTGTAGAGACTCTACTCTTCTCCTTGAGGCTCCTCATTTTTTTTCGTCCGATCCCATCAGGGAATCATCAGGGAATCATTAACCTGCCGCAACCGAGGACTGGCAATCCTTTGTCTTTCACGATCTCATTTTCCAAGGTGAATCCACCTTACAGTCGATGTACGTGCCTTCAGCTGCAGTTTGCCCCCGAGATTTTTTACTCGCCAGGAACCCCAAAAGATTGGGGACAGCGGGACGACCCTCCTGCTACGAAGGGTGCGAACGTTACGAAGGTTACGACATGTTACGAAAGTCATCGACGCCTTGCGGAGTACTGTATTTCACTTTGTGGTTCGATGATAAACTGGATTTGTCCAAAACAATGGGGTATATATGGCACCCCAAAATGGTCAGCAAACAAGAGGAACATGACGATTAGCTATAAAACTGTTGGATGGGGACCTTTTTTTCAGACAAACCTATATACACATATTATGATGTTGATCGAAGTGTCCACTGTTAACATCGCCAATGTTTATTCATTTTTGCTTTGCCGGACAAATCTCGAACCTACTGGTGATATCCATAATTTTTTCATGACATTTGACACCCTCAAAATAATGTTTCTGCATTCCTGGTAAGAATTCCTTGATTTATCCTGCCCAGACTTAGCTTAAAGTTTGGAGGAACATGGATGGATGGATGGATGGATGGATGGATAGATGGATGGATGGACGGACGGACGGATGGATGGTCAGAACAGATACCCCCCCAAGCCAAGTCACAAAGTTGTTGCGGTTTGATGATTTTGGCTTTGTACCATGCTGTGTTGCATTTGGAAGAAGTCGTTGGGAAACAGGTGTGCCATGCAGTTCTGCATCTTGAAGTATGTAAAAACATCGAAGTAATCGTGTAAAATAGAATTTATTGAACTTCGAGCAAATAGTCAAATAGATTCAAATAGTCAGTCACTGGAAGATAGACAAATCTTGATAAACCTGGAACCTTGATTCGGTGGGTTCGTGGGCGTGGTTCCTTCCTTTTTGCAAAATTTTGAGGACCTGCAGATCCCACCGAAGCATCCGAGGTGGTTACTTACAGCAAAGCTACGCCCTATGCTGCCTTCTTCCTTGGGCTTTGGGCCCGGTGACCCTGGGCATTTTGGGATGGGGCATGACTGGAGGGTGCACCCTGAAGTTGGGAACCATTGGGAACCATTGGGAACCATTGGGAACCATTGGGAACCATTGGGAACCATTGGGAACCATTTCAGCTTATGTTTCCTTCAACCACTCCGGCATTTTTCCTCAAAAACCTCAGAAAAAGATTTCAACAAAATCCCAAAGCTCACCATCTACAACTTATCATAACTTATCTACAATTTTCCTTCACTTGGCTTTGACCTCCCCTTGACATTGGCGCCCAGGCGCTGTATGCTGCGTGCCTCTGGTGGAAGTTGGGCCGTTTCATCCGCGACATCTCCAGTGGCACCTGGGCTCTGAAGTTGATGATGCTCACGCACCATGCGCCTGGGACCGAACCTGCTGGCGACCTGCTGGCGACCTGCTGGCGACCTGCATGACCTCAAGGGCGGGTCGGAAGCATTTTGTGGGGAGAATTTTTGATCATAGGTTAATGTCATGCAACGCATTTATGTTGATTTTATGTTTTTTTAAAAATGGGATGGTGGTTGATGGTGAAAATGATGTTTCTGACACTTTTAACTGTAGGGATGGGATGATAATTCCAACGAAGATGTCTCAGGGGATTGGTGGTTGAAACTAGGGGAATATTGACTGGGCACCTCTCGCACGCCGAACATCGCATCAACTACAACAAAGGGTCCCACGGATACCCCAAAAGCATTGTGTTTTTTGTTTTGTGCACGATTATATAGACCCAAGGAACTGCCTCACAGAATGGTCTTTGTCAAATCTATGCCGGTTAGATCCGGTTAGTGGTTTGATGTCCCCAAAGTTGCGACGATTTCAGTCCACTTGGTCGGATTGTCATGGAGGTATGGCTCCAGGTTGAGATGGATGTTACCCCAGGGTGTCAGAAAATGACGAAGATCTTACCCTTCAAAGTTGCCCTAGCCACTAGAGGGGTGGAGGATGGTTGAATATGGTTGAGGGGTCACACTCCAGTGTGATTTGAGCCAGGATGGGGAGGGAATGACTTGGAATGGGTCGTATTTTCCGAGCAAAGTGTTTGCGCTGAAGCCGCTGAAGCCCAATTGATTTCCCTGTGGTGGCTCTCAGGGCACCCAGCAAGTACATTTTCTTCACTTCCAATGATTGAAAGGAAGCTTGACAGGAACGCTTACTGGTAAATCCGTGGTTTCCGGTTCATCACTAGATATGGACAGATCTTCTACGCCTAATCCCATATGTTTTATGGACAAAACCACCATTTTGTGATGGTAAAACAAGCATTTTTCCCGATCCTCAGGGCGTGATCACACCTTTGGCGCTCTGGAGCATGTGGCAAGACCCGGTGATTCGACAGCCGCTTGGTGAACCCCAACCGTTTTTTCATAGGCACATCATCTATAAAGCCATGGAAAATAGCCATGGTTATTTAACATAGCCATGGAAAATCCCTCATAAATGGAGGTTTCTAGCTGGGAAAATCATCTATAAATGGCTCATTTTCCATGGCTATGTTAAACCAGAGGGTACTAGTACTTGTAACACCTTGTAAGAAAAACAGTCGCGAACAAAAAACCTGTCGGATGATATTTTTAGAGATCCGAGGAGAGAAGCTCTTTAGAAGCCTCGTAGAACAAGGGGACTCAGGAGAAGACTGGAATACAACAAGTTGTATAACCGGTATAACCCTTTGGGAAATGAAGAAACATGAAAAAAAACACCCCAAAAAATCCCATAAAGTCCATCATAATTTTGCCTCAGGGTGAAACTCCCCAAGGACTTCCCTGACAGGGGATCAGAAATCTCGCTGTTCCATAGAAAACCCGGCTTTGCAGTGATTTTCTGATATTTTCTGACTGGGGAATCTATGGGTTAGTTATGTATCAGGAATCTATGGGCCCCTTATGTATCAGTTTCATCTCTGAAGATTAACGTGGGAGAACCTCCTGGAAATGACCAACAGGTAAACCAATGGATGAAGATGTTGAGGTCTTAGTTTACTGTAGCTGTTATTTTCGTTTGTTTTGATCAGGAGTGACACTCGTTTTGCTGGTTTTTGTTGCTTAATGATGCGCAGCGGCAGAAATATATATATATATATTGACTGCATGGAATCACATAATATAATATAATACATATATATATAGAGTCAATCAGTCAATCATTAGAGCCCTATTTACTAGAATCTCGTTGGTCATAGGAAATTCCCAGAGACCCTTTCAGAAAGTTATCCGTACGTACTCTGAAATCATCCGCCCCTCTTGTATCTCGATTCTTTCCCATTTCATCAGATTCGTAACTTGGGTTTGAAGGCATTTGGAACCACTGCAAGCACTGGCAAACCAATTCACAAGGGCTGTAGTTGTTTTCCGGATAGGCGATGGACAAATTCGTGCAGAATTTAGCAGGCTTCGAACAACATCAAGCCATCTATAAATGGGGCAAGCTATGGAAAATCTCCATTTTCTTAATAGGTAAATCGTGGTAAATCATAATATTTTCTCTCTCTCTCTCTCTATGTATGTATGAATATTTACATATGATAATATGTATATATATATATAATCATATTCTGGGCTTCTCCCATTCGATACACAGAAAAAGCCATCGTGGTAAATGGTGGTAAATCTCCCCTTCTCCGAGGCTTTACAGCTGCATTGGGTGCAAGGAGGCCTTTTTTGGGAAAGGGAAACCTGAAAGGGAAACCGACCCGGCCCGGTAAACATAGAAACAGGGATTGAAAATGACCCAATGACCCATAGAAATAGTTGATTTACTAAAAGCTATAACATGGTGGATCTTTCCATAGTTGTGTAAACGTTTACCAGAGGGTATCAACTAAGTACATAATGAGATGGGATATGGCTATTTCTGCTCCAAATGGGTTTGTCTAAAAATGTGAATATACTGTATACCATCGTACATATACCCCGTAAAAGGGAAACTCATCATTCACCAGTTCCATCGGTAAAGTCATCGACAGATTGGAGGTTTTTCTCAGCTGCTAGGAACATGATTAGCCTCTGAGAATCAAACATGTCACTGGGTGTCTGTAAAGAAAAAATACATCAGCCATATTTTGATGGTTTATACTGTTTATACATCCATTTGTGGTAAAATTGGGGATGGTTTATTAGTGCTTTACCAACATTATGGATGTCCAGTGCCAGGCAATCCATGGTGAAATCGAAGGTTACACTGTTACACACTGGGATTATTCACCCGCTGGTCGTGGATGCACCGAATAGGTCTCCAAGATTTATACATACTATACATACTTCTGTGTTTCAATTGTGTTTGGCTCACTAATTTTAATTTGTTCAAACTAAATAAATATTATGTATTTCATCCGAGGTATCTCTAGATAATATATCGATGTGTCTCAAAATGGATAGTATATGTTTAACATGGCTGGTACTACCCCAAATAGTGGTGTACCCATTCTAAGTTCAACTTGGGAATGGTTTACTATTGGGTTGACCACATTACGCATACGCATCAATGGAAATATAGTACCCAAACTTTAGTTGGCAAAATGGTTCTTTACATTTCTTTACCGTATAACATGATCAAAAATATGACATTAATCGAACTTCGGAACCCAACCGCTGCATATCCAGGGAAATCATCTCACTGGACCACATCAAGCTCCAAGGAGGGTATCCTGGAGAATATAGTTGTCTGAGAATAGGCTATGTTGATCCAAAACTCGATCTTGACCATTATATGACTAGAATATGACCAGCCAGTTGTTGAAAAGTCTTAAGGTACCCCTGCAGTTTGGGATTGTTGAACCAATGTAGATGTGTGCACATTATACAACGTTTGGAATATTCAGATGTGTTTGGCGTCGTCACATATTATATATATAATATATATGTATATATATATGTGTTATTAAGCAATAGACTTATATCTGGGACCCAAAAAGGTATCCACTATTGATTTCATCTGATACCTATTTTTAGGGTATGCCAAACAACATACATTGTTCCATTAGTATCGTTACCCCAGGTACCCAGACAAACTCCCATCGCCACTTTGGATTCAGGGTAGTTCTTGTGTCTGGCTTACTATTGCGTTTAGCGCGTTAGTATCTACATATTACATGAACACCACCACATATTTAAAAAAACATAGTATATTGAATCCCCGATGACCAAGTATATATCCGCTATCTAAATGTGTATCCACATATTGTTAAACACTTTAACTAGATGATATATATATATACAAATACACATGATGATATTGATTTAATATAGCACATCATATATATGTATATATATACACATCTATGTAAACACACACATGCACACACACACACATATATATATATACATACATACCAAGCAACGATCCAGGCAGCGCAGCTGATGAACCGCGCCGTCGAGGCGCCTTTGGCGGTGCGCGCCCTGACGCCGGTGACGTGACGTGGCAGCCGGCCGAGCGGCCGCTCGCAGCGGCCGCTCGCGGCCGAGCCATGTGGGTCATGTGGGGTGTCCCATTAACCAATGGGATATTAAGGGATATTAATGGTTAATGATGGTTAATAGTGGTTAATAATTGGAATAACAATATATTACTGTGGATGATGGGTTAATAGTGGTTAATAGTCACTATAGTGGTCAATAGTGATGGTTAATAGTAGTGGGTAATAGGCTATAAACCAACAACAATGGGAATATGATGATATATGTCTGGTTGGTGGTGACTGGAACATGGTTTTTATGACTTTCCATATATTGGGAATGTCATCATCCCAACCGACGAGCATATTTTTCAGAGGGGTTGAAACCACCAACCAGTATATATACGGTACATGGGTACACCCAACCACGGTACGTTATATAAAAAAAACAATGAAACATGAGAAAACCGTTGAACATGCACAGTATGTGGGTTTTTTGAAAGTTATCAACGGTCTTTTTTTTGAAACACTATTTTTTTTGATATGCACATCTGGTGATTATTGGAGATTGAGAGCCTTGTAAGTGGGATGTAACCTGAAATTAAATGGAGGTTTTAATGAGAAAATCATCTATGAATATCGATGCATCAGGGATTTTCCAACCAACTTCGACCCTTACCCTGGGGTAGACATAGATGACTTAGATGTGGCCCATGTTTTCTCGGACAGATGATATGTTTGGAGGATGGTGCAGCTTCATCCATGGCCAGGCTTTGGTATGTTTTAGTGGGGAAAATGATGATTACCCTCTGGTAATTTGTTACGGTTTGCTATTGAAAATGGCCATAGAAATAGTTGATTTACCCACTAAAAATGGTGATTTTCAACAGCTATGTTAGTTTACCAGAGGGTATTTCATATGATTTTTTGGTGTTAACAAGCTACAGGTAGGAATAGTATCACCTTTCAACCTGGATTTTAATGGAAACAACATATACCAGTGTTGATGGGTTATGAAATAGGTGGATATATTTATACTAGCTGGTTCAATATGATACTGTAATGTGACCCACAACACGACAAGTGTATACATTTACCAAACAGTATTTCATGGGATAGGATGGGGAGATTTTCTGTGGCTATGGCAGCTCCCCAGATGTTTTTTCTCCACATGGAGGGTTTGGGAGCGAATACTTACAACGTACCCTCTGGTAATGACTAACAGTTTGCTATTGAACGTGACCCAGTCGAAATAGTGGATTTACCCAGCTAGAACATGGTGGATCTTTCCATGGTTTTTTGTAAACGTTTACCAGAGGGTATTTATATTGTGGTTTGTACTTGGCCTTGCATCCCAAGTTGGGGAACTGGCTATCCTCCAATCGAAACGCACCAGAGAATTGCCCAGTTTACAAGTCAATGTCCCACTGGAAATTGCGATTGTCCAACTTGAATTCCAGCGCTGTTTTCATCATAAAAGATGGCACATCTTTTTATACTTGGAAGATGCCCGAACTTGGTAATGCATTGGTTGAACTCGGGTATATCTCAGTGAAGTTTGTGTCACAAGGAACTATATATATATAGGCGATGTATATCTACTGTTTTTTTAAAATATATTTATGATTTATGTACTAATCCACTTGGATACGGATACTTTTTGTTAACTTCAAGCATCATTTCAGTGTTCACAATTTGGACAGGTCCCAAATTGCACCTGCAGAAGCACTTGCCCACAAACCACTCATTTCCAGTGGCCCATCCGGTAATTTACTTTATATACAAACTGGAGTCTGTGGGAGGTTGACCAATATTCAGATATACTGGGAATTTAATGGGGATGTATTTCAACATTGAGAACTGGTATAGATTACCTATGATTTAGGTCGATGATTTACCCGCTGACCACGCCGGGGCTGATTGAAGCATTGTGGATTGTCACAACTAAAAGAGACATCACCGGAGTACTGTACTTTATCAATATGTACATCATGTATCATATGTAGTTATATGTACATATGTAGATATCGCGCATATATATATATACACATAATTTCATTTATTTACTTATTCATTCATTTATTTGTTTATTTATTTATTTACTTATTCATTACATACACGTACAAACATAAATATACATATTTGTGCTAGCTTTAGGACCTCCAACATACTTGCAATAGGTATTGATGGGTGATCAGACCCATTCACCAGGCACCTTGTGACGTCGTGGGGGTCGCAGCCAAAGGTTGGGTTACTTTGTGGCGGATCTCGTTTTACTCAGTCAGTCTGGCTCTCGGAGCGGTCCTGGAGTCCTGGGTAAGGATTTAATGATACGATTCTCTCCGGCCCAAATGACTTTCGAGCCACCAGGGCCCCTACGTTTTCTAGATTCGCTGCGATACTGGATGACAACAAGGTGGTAGTAGGATTGATCACACAATCAGTAGATTTCTGGAGGGGCTCACTACGCCACATTTTTTGTGCACGAATTGAATGGGAACTGGCCAAGAATCCCTTTTGGGCTGAAATCAAACTCCAGTTTTCATATGTTTTCATGGAACACGACGAATAGTCACTAATTATATCTATATAAATAATGATGTCTCTCTGCTTGTGAGGGTTAAATCCCTATTCGGGTCTCATCAGATGGCTGCTTGTGACTCATAAATCTTGATTGGGTGCGGCCTGTTGACCCAGTTCCAAAGCCCATGTTATTTGCCCTGGGTTTGTGTGAAAACTTGGGAGAACTCCAAACTCTCAGAGTCGAGGAAACGATTTTCCCCCACCAGGATGGCAGTTTTGTTTTCCATGCCATGCGGCTCTGTTTGTGAATTGATCCGAACAAAAAAAATCTCAGCCCTTTTCGGCTCATGCTGAAGTGAGCCCATGGATTCACCGAGCCCAACTCCTTCACTGCCTTCAGATGTTTTCACTTTTTTTTTTGTCTTCCAGAATTCTCGGCTTCACACCATCAACTGTCCAACCCTTTTTTTTTGGGGACTGTTTCGACATCAAATTGAAGACCTCCCCAGCCCCCCAATGGTGCTGCCGTCGCGGCGAGACGGGCGGAGCTGGCGGAATTTCTTGGGCCAATGAAGCGCGTGGAATTTGGCATCTGTGGGCTGGATGTGACCGTGCCCCGGGAGGCGCTGAAAGACCTCTTTCAGGCGAAGGGCAGGGCCGGAGAAATGTCTTGTTGCTGGATGTTGCTGGATTTTAGGATGATTGGATATGATTGGTGGTATAAAAATGGGGATTTACGAGGTTGTATGTTTTAATTGTTTTTAATTCATCAAAAAGGGGGCTTAGCTACTGTATCAGAAATTGAGGTTTAACCATCAACACTAGGTTTTTTACATTGACTGTTTAAGCATGATGGGTTAGTTGGTCGGCTTTTGATATCAGCTCTTGTAGTCGGCCATCAATTTCATGAGGGTTTCAACCCAGAAAGATCGGTTGCCAACATCCAGCCGGTGGGTTTGAAGATGCTTGGAAGAGGTGAATGACTCTGGATGGCTGACGCTCTGTTCTCATTGAAAAGCACCAGCTTCATATCATTGCATTGGTTCACTGGTTTAAGCTTCCATAAGGGAAACCATGGGAAACCACTAAGAAACCATGGGAAACCACTAAGATCTCAAGGTCGTGCTTACCATGTCAGGGTCTCTCAGTTGGTGTATTTTGAGGCGCCAGCTGGCTGCGCCTTGGAAGCGGTGGCAGCATTTCAGTTGGCGTACCAGGGATATCCATGGAATCCAGCCAAGGGCTATGAGAAACTTGTCATGAAGCCAGGCTAGTTGGGCTGCGAACGATGCTACTGTTGGATCCATAGGGTTTTGGTTGGGTTAAACTACCCGACATCCTGGGGATGATCATCGGCAGATGGGTTGCCGGTTGAGTCACCCATCCAGTCGTCTGACCAAGGAGCCGATCGGACACCAAACACCGGCGCTATGAGAACGGAGAAACCTATCCTGCATCTCGGAGTGAAGCCCAAGATTACCATACATTATTGGGCCATTTTTGCGGTGAATGTTGGGGAACAGCCTGCAGCGGCACAGAATCCAAGCATTGGACTAGGCTTCTGTGTGGTTGTGCAACCCCAAAAAATGAATGGTTTCAGCATATATCCAAATGACTATAACAGTTGTTTGTTCCCTTAGGGCTAAACTTTTTGTGGTCATCCCAGATGTTTGTCCGGCGAGGCATGGTATGAGATTGAGGAAATCATCGCGGCACTTCCGCACGGGACGAAACTTTCCTTCCACTTCAATGACTCCTCCGAGTGCAGATTCTCGTTTTTGTTGATTTGAAAAGCCCTAGGTAGCTTTGGATGGTCACAATTTGCCGTTTCTATTGTCCCTAAAAAAGATCAAGGCAGTCAGCTATCCGTTTTTTTCGCCAAGACATGCATTGATGATGTGCAAAAATCCCGGACCTGGATGAGTCGGGTGAAGACCTCAATGCTGGGTGTTTAATCCAGGGCTAACGGGCTAAGAGTATTGTAACCCACTATGGTGCACTATGGGAACCCCTATCAACCAACTAGTAGAAGAGGGGGACAGCATCCACCTTTGCATATATGTATATATAAATATATATATATCATACACATACGCACTGACACATTTACACTCACTCACTCCCAATTTGAACGCTGGAAACTAGTGTGGATGGTTGTTTTGGTCCTCCAGCTGGGAATGTGACTATCTTTATTTCTTCAGATCCCCCAAGTGGTCTATGTCCCATGGGAAATCTGATTTGTATAGTGGTCTATTTGGTCTATTTTCCAATATACCCAAGTTTTTCTAGGAACCATCGGAAGATGTATCCCATTTGGTTTTTATGGCCTCGCCAATCTGCTGGTAGACTGGCACCGACCAGGATACGTCTCCTCGTTGCTTCAAGGAGAACCTGAGGCACTGCGATTGGTTCAGCTGTTGTGCCAAAGATACAAGGCCTGCAACAGTGAAAGCAACATCGGGTTTGTCAAAAGTGGGGGAGAGTGACAGCCATATCATTTGTGTTTTCAACATGTAAATTTCTTAAAGCTGGATGTTTGGGAACAACTGTTTTGGACAAACCTAGATTGGGACAATTCCTTCAAGCATGGGTTGGTGAAATGGTGAACATCCCATCTATTCTGGCATCTATTCTGGCCTCATGTGTGAGATATGTCAAGTGATCCACGCTCGGGCAAGTTTGCCTCCAACTGAGTCTCCGGTGGCAGAATTTGGGGTGGACTCTCAGTGAAGTCTTCCAAGTGGCTTATGTTATGATCACCCTGCAATCTTGACGATTTCCCTCAATGCCAAGCCAGACATATTGTTATATAGAAGCCAATATAATATATATATGTATAATACAATTATATGCGACCAGAAATGAAGGAAGTATACATTCGATGAAATCAGCAAAAAACCATGGATGGTTTTTGGGCTAAAGCTTTTGCGCGAAGCATTGGCAGCTCCCAGGCACGGCACATCCAAGTGAACATTTCGTCCCGCGGCGTGGCCCCTGACCTCTTCATGCCATCTCCTCGTGGAAGCTGGGAGAAGAGTGCATCCTGCTTGGTGCAGCTGGCCGAGATGTATCCAGAGACGCTGTTTCTGGTTCCTGTCTTCCAGCCCTTTGGCGATGTTTTTGGCGATTTTCACCGAATTTGGGAAACAGATTAGTAGATTAAGGCTCAAGCACGAGGACAAAGTGATCGTGGCGTGTCACTGTTACATCGACTGGAAATTCTTCAGCCAAACATTTGGTGACTGGTTAAAAACGGCCTGTTGCGGGCCCCAGTTGAATCATTTTGAAACCCTCATCGCGAATTATATTCCATGATATTCTCATCATATATATTGTTGATTTTATACCCGCAATCACATTCTTCCCAATTGGATGCGTAAACTCTCCAATGTTCGCCAGCAGTATCCCGATTTTGGCACTGCCCAGGAGAGGCGACATCGACTCGCTTCCATTTCTGCAGCTGGTCCTTGACATGTCGAAGCGCACCATGTCCAATCTCCTGGCCTTTTTCGACAACAGCGCTGGTGAGGGCGTGGAACCTTCTAGAATTCCAGACATCCCACCGGGCTATCCCGCAGGGGGTCCCATTGGATTTGCGGGTGGCATCCGGGCTGAAAACGTGAAGGAATGGCTCAGCAAATACCATAGCAAGGCAGCGGCAGCTGGTTGCTGGGCGATCTGCGATGCACAGAGTGGCTTTCGAAAGAAGGGGAACCGAGGGGAACCAATTGATTTGGAGGAGCTGACAAAATTGCTGCAACAGGCCTTTGAGTGGGGCTCCCTACTGGCCGGTGCTTGATTCAGGCGGCCAGGTCCCACGTTACAAGTTGTCGGGATCTGGCTGGTCAGATGTCTGGTTGGTGGTTTCGGATATTCTAAGAGACTCGTATTACATCCTAATGAATCCATGTAAATCCCAATCAACCACCAACCAACTGTAGATTAACATCACTTTGCTGATGTCCCAGATTTGGTTGAGGGGACAATCTGCAGGACCCCCTACATTTTATAAAGGGCAAAAACATGGACAAACAATGACATGTATTTCCTCAAATCAATGGAAACGGTAAAAAATTGGACACAAAAACGCGCATGGTTTCCTGATGTTTCCTGCAACAATTCCCTCAAATCAGTTGATGATTCAACGCGCTCCAATGTTGAGCAAGATGTGACTGCCTTCGCCCTGCAGCTCCATGCAAGACCCCAAAGCTCGAACACGTGTCCCGACACTTCTGCTTCCAAGTGGGATTAGGATTGATGCCCCCCTAATAAAAGTCATTAAAAGTCCATTGCTAAGGGTTTTAAGTATCTTTTAAGTATCTTTTAAGTATCTTTTAAGTATCTTTTAAGTATCTTTTACAGTAAGTATCTTTAAGTTCTTTTGAGATCTTTTGAAGGTTATACAGCCACGTTGAGCTGAGGGTTGGGCTTGGGGTTTCACCAGGATTCCTGCGTGGGATCGCACTAGCTCAGCGGCACCAGATTGAAAAGCTGCGCGATACTCCGCGATCGAAGAAACAGGAATTTCTGGTTTGCAAAGAACTACGCATGAATTCTGAATATTTACGATGTTGATTGATGTTGATTGATGTTGTTTCACCTTGGTAGTAAGAATCGCCGCAAAAAAATACACAGGAATCTGTCGTTACAGAAAAAAAACATCACTAGTGGATTAGATCCATCCCAGGAATGTCCAAAGCCCAAGGCCTCCACTCAATTCTTTAATGTGATCCAAATTCAACATGCCTTGTCAAACAATAGGAGCTATCCCAATTTTATGGCTATTTCAATGCTATTTCAATGCTATTTCAATGGACATACATGATGTTTTGGTTTTCTCCCCTTTAAATTTTAGGTTCTTTGACGAAGCCGTATGGCCTCCCATACCAATCCGGGCAGACTCTCCGGTGGCCCAGGTGGCAGCTAACCAAAGGTTCACAGGTGGAGCGCTATTTGATGCTGGTGCATCATGTCAGGGACACCCGGTGAAGTGCTGATGCCTAGGAAAAACAAGACCAAAGAATTTAAAGAATGTCTTCCTTGGAATACCATATTTAGGAAAACTGTTTTTTTTAATGGTTACAATTGATATTGCACATTTTTCCGCATGTTCTGACGATGATTGTCAAATATTGTCTTGGCATCCAAACCCGATTGCTCTTGTAGTCTTTGGATGCGTCTGGATGTTTCATGATGTTTCTAGATTATTCAGGAACGTTTCAAAACGGCATGAATATAAATTGACACAATCCAAAGAATGCGGACGAGACCGACGCCGACGATGCCGACGCCGACAACGACACTCCCACCCGAACCCCCAGCCCCATCACCACCACCACCACCACCACCACCACCACCAGCAACAGCAGCAACAGCAGCAACAGCAGCAACAGCAGCAACAGCAGCAACAGCAGCAACAGCAGCAACAGCAGCAACAGCAGCAACAGCAGCAACAGCAACAGCAACAGCAGCAACAGCAACAGCAACAGCAGCAACAGCAACGACGACTTCGACGACGACGACGACAACGACAACAACGACAACAACGACAACAACGACAACAACGACAACAACGACAACAACGACAACAACGACAACAACGACAACAACGACAACAGCAACAGCAGCAAGAGCAATAGCAACAACAGCAACAAGAGCAACAGCAACAAGAGCAACAGCAACAGGAGCAGCAGCAGCAACAACAACAACAACAACAACACCACCAACAACAACAACAAAAACACCGGGAACAGCAGCAACAGCAACAAGAGCAACAAGAGCAACAAGAGCAACAAGAGCAACAAGAGCAACAAGAGCAACAAGAGCAACAAGAGCAACAAGAGCAACAAGAGCAACAAGAGCAACAAGAGCAACAACAAGAGCAACAAGAGCAACAAGAGCAACAAGAGCAACAAGAGCAACAAGAGCAACAAGAGCAACAACAACAGCAAAAAACAGCAACAAGAGCAACAAGAGCAACAAGAGCAACAACAACAGCAAATAAACAGCAACAAGAGCAACAAGAGCAACAAGAGCAACAAGAGCAACAACAACAGCAAAAAAACAGCAACAAGAGCAACAAGAGCAACAAGAGCAACAAGAGCAACAACAACAGCAAAAAAACAGCAACAAGAACAACAAGAGCAACAAGAGCAACAACAACAGCAAAAAAACAGCAACAAGAGCAACAAGAGCAACAAGAGCAACAACAACAGCAAAAAAACAGCAACAAGAGCAACAAGAGCAACAAGAGCAACAAGAGCAACAACAACAGCAAAAAAACAGCAACAACAACAAGATAAGGATTGCTGTCCATGGATTGTCCACCCTGGACCACACAACGGAAGGCACGTTTTTAATATGTGCCCACTAAGATCCAGGATTGTAAAGGGGAATGCGATGCTCAACAAACATGCTGATCTCTTCACCACAACCATATTATCTGGAAAACCATCCACAACCTAAGGTAGTGTCATTCACATCATCTTTGCTATCATACTAGGATGATGTTGATGATGTTGATGATGATGGTGGTGGCGGCAATGACGACCTTTTGATGCTATGCCTTGTCTCCACCTGGGTCCACCGCATCCCAGATCGCTTCAATGGGCGTTTGGCCGGCGGCCATCTACTTCGACTGGGTGGCGCGGTATGTGCCCTGGCGCTGGCGTGGAGTTGCAACAGACTTTGGGGAGGGGCAATCTGCTCTGCCCGCAGATGGGGGGCTGTGGCAATCTGATTTTTGATAAAACAAAAAACCAGTTTTGGAAATCTTATTCCACGTGTTTTGCCATGTTTTTTTCTTTTGATTTTACACCCCCTTTGACCGGATGCTATGGGATGATGCACGCACTACCGGATGAGGATCCTGCATCCCATGACTGTAGAATTTGTACCCTGGGTTGATGAATCGGTTTCGCCCTATTTTTCTCATGGAAGAATAGACAATTTGAAAATCCCAATGATGAACATTTTTGGTTGGCTGCTTTATCTGATATTTATCTTAGGCATTCGACCACACTTCATTTGGGGTATTTGGGGTTTCCAGCTCGTGCGGCCAACCAAACCCCAAGCATCTCTCAGATGATTATGTATGGATTCAAATTATTTGACCTGCCAATTAGATACCAAATTTATTAGCGCTATATGCATGTGTCTGAGAATGGAAACACCCCATTTTACGGTAAAAATTTGGATCCCAATGAGTTGATGGGCAAGGTGATCATCATGCTCTCCTATGAAAGCACCAGTTTTCTGCTCACTCTTCTGTGGGTCCTCAACGCTGCGGGCTATAAGAAGTGCCTGGTCGTTTTTTTTTTTTTCGGCACAGAGCCAGCTGTTGAGAGGAAGCGAAACAAGCGACGTTTCAAGCATCCACAAATGATGGTTAGAAAGGGGCTTATCCACAAATGTAGTTTGTTTTCAATTTTTTCTAAGTGTGGAACTATCTTAATTTGCCCAGAAATTCGATTCTCGGTGTGTCAAGTTGGGATCCTTCGAGTCTTGCACAAATTGCCCATTTGAAAACGAATACACAAGTTTCAATCTCTGGTTGGTAGTTTCAAACATGAATTTTATTTCCTGTTTCATATATGGGATGTCATCCTTCCCATTGACGAACTCATATTTTTCAAGATGGTTAAAACCACCAACCAGATCTGATAATCACAGGGGATTTGGAAAGCTCATGATCTTCACCGCAAATTCCCGGACAAAACTGGGTGTCTTTTTTTAGGGGGTAAAACGGTTGCTTTTATGGTGGTTCTGGGGTGGTTCAAGGCCCTTTTGCAAGTTTGTTTTTTTGGTGTTTTTAAACAAAGGGATTGATAAAGAAACTGATGCATTCAGTTTTTTTTTGTTTTTTCTTGATTTAGATTTAGATTAAGAATTTCGGAAGCGTTTAGCCTAGAAACTTTTCAATATAATTTACCACAAACTCACCTAAAAAAACGTCTCTCTAAAAAATATGGAATGGTTGGTGCACTTTGGGGCAGGGATAGGCAGGGAGTTAGTCGGTCCAAGGATATGGTATGATATGGCCGATAGTTTGGGAGTTTTTGTGAGTCCTCCCGCAAAAGATAAGCTTGGGTTGGCCAAAGCTTCAACCAATATAATCGAGGTTCGATAGGTTCCTACGCTCGAGCCTAGCACGTTTAGCATGTTACATGTCTGGGTATCACCTGGAACCCAAACAGAAATAGCCATGGTGGTTTCCCCCAAAAAACACGGTAGGCGGTTGATTCGGCCCCCCTGTGAGCGGTTGCCGATTTCATTTTCATTGTTTTTTCCATGAACAGACAAAAACGTGGTATTCGTGGGACTTTGTAAAATAGAGAGCAAAGTTCATGTTCATTTTTCGATGGCAGTTGCATGACTCAAGAGGGAAAATTGGCATTTCGCCACAGCGAAATACTAATTTTGTCATTGAGGGACTAAAAAAACATTAGGAATTTCATGTTTTCAGGTTGTGAGATCAGCAGCCGCATCAGCAAGTTCTTTTTCAACATCAGCGCCACCGAATGTTGCTCAAGTTCCTTCACGTCAAATTGTTTTCACATTTACAGCAGAATTTCCATGTGTAGCATGCCAAGTGTTCCGTAAGCGTACATGAACGTTATTAGCCCCACCCCACCCCACCCCACTCACCCCACCCCCATGTTACGCAAGTGTATACGAACGTAGCACAGCGTAGCATGACATGTGCTACGCAAGCGCCCATGAACGTTTTTAGCCCCACCCCACCCCACCCCCCACACCATAGGGCAGGCAGTTGATACGACTCCAGGACCAACCAAAAAATGAGATATCAAAATTCGACACACCCTCACAGGGCGCCGTATCAACCGCCTGCCAAAAACAACTATTCTGAGGATTTGAGCTACGACTTGACCCAGTTGCTGGGGAAACGCATGCGAATTAGAAGCAATACAAGATCTTCCGGGCAGACATGTTTTTGCTTGGTGGTTTTCTGACATGTAGGTCTCTTTGAAAAACCCTGGGGGTATGATACGCCACCACCAGCCACAGCTGCCCCATTCCTTCCCTTGGGGATTTGCGTCCACCGCAGCTGAGGAGCTTGGCGTACGTGGTGACCGGATTTCTTTTCACAATTCTCTTCATTCTGCTGAGGTGGGAACATGCACCGCTGTCGACCAGCCATTTTCGGGACATGTTCCACAGTGGTGTTCCTGGCAAGTTGGGACGTCAACCCTGGCGTCCTTCACCTTTAGCAACTTCATCCCCAGGTATCCACCAGAAATATCAAGAAATCATCCCCACAATCCCCAAGTAATGGTGGATTTAACATGATTTATCTGGGATATGGGCCATACATGGGCCATATATGGGCCATATAGAGGCTATATATAGGCCATATATAGGCCATATATAGGACATACATGGGCCATATAGAGGCTATATGGCTTCTATTCTTCCTGTGGGTCCCACATATTTTGGCGAAAAAGTTCTGACCTCCGCAGGTTGGTGGGCGCCATTCCGCAGCTCATTGCCATGTATTGGGCGCCCCCCTGGAGCGACTCACTGATGCAGGAGGCGACGATCGCTGATTTTCGATCCGTGAAATGTCCTGAGGGTATAAGTTACTGTATTTTTTCAGGAAATCATTGGCACATATTGATAATACGTATATATATATATATATAATATAATATATATATATATATATATAATATATATATAATATACAGTAAGAGTATATAATATATTTGTGTATAACTTAGTATAACCAACAATATTTATTTTGTGTTTGAAAGTGGCGATATGCCCTCAAAATGACAAGAGACTAGGAAATATGATGATCAATCAGCGGACTTAGGAGTACCCTAAGCCCCTCTATCTGGGAATATAATGAGATAGTGGGGATCATAATGAGGATATCCTGAGAACTTATTTGGTCGATACACGGGTACATCTGGGTATATCTGGGTATAATGGGGATTTAACCAACAAAAATGGTATATAATGGTATATAATAGTATATATACATACAATAATTAATAATAAGTAAGAATGATAATAATAATAACGATAATAAATAGCACTAACAATAATATATAATAAGAATAATAAGTAACAATAATAACAATAACAATAATGATAAGAAAAACAAGAGCAATAATAATAATAGTAATCATAATAATGATAATAATAATAATAATAGTAATATTCATATATATAAATTATAATATCACTACAATGAGACCTCACTGCGATGGTCGAACTTGCATGGTTGGTGAAATATTTCATTTCAAGCAGATACGATTGCGGGAATCATCAGATGGTGGAGATATCTTGGATGTGGTGTCAGCAGAGGTGTTATGCCCCGATTCTTGGGATTTACCATACCATCCCCACATTGCTTAGTGGGGATACAGCATCAAATTTTTGAACAGAATCTTCCCAAAATTTTCTTCCCATCCCCCCCAAAAAAATTCAAGCAGGCACAGCCTGGCGGAATCCATTGGCTTGCGTGGCTCTTTTCCCAATCTCTCATTTTGCCGCACGTGATGAACCTCTTCTGGGGAGCTGCTTGGGCGGAGGGAGGCGGTGGAGGCTATGGAGACGGTGCTTTCAAAGATCTAACATATTCTAAACTGGGCGACACCTGAGGCCTCTGGGGCGGGGCACAACTCGTGGTTGTGATATTGAATTGTATATGATATATATATATATCCAAGTGGAGTGCCGTTTCACTTGTATCATCGTCTTCGAAAATGGGGTATACCCCCCAAAATAGCCGGAACATTCACGATCGACATGGGATTTCGGAGTAGTCTTTTTCAGACAAAACCAAATCGGATATGTCATTGGTTCAAGTTGTCATGTACCCCAAGCAAGTTGAAACAAATCAGTTGACAAGAAAGGTACCACAGTTTTTAAAAGCAGTTTCTCTCCGAAACGGTGACATTTCTCCAATTTTCATCAATTTTCCAAAGCTCATCTGGTCGAGTCAATGGTCCGTTCCTGAGGCCAAGGTGGTCGAAGGACGGGGGGCCGGCAAGCCATGGGTTCAGGTGTGGCGGCATCCAGTGGCCTAGCAGTGGTCAGGGTTAGTGCATGTTGACAGCCAAATATACTGATCACATTGATCACTAGCAAACTCCTATGCAGCTGTCTTTCAGCCATCACTACAACTAGCTAGCAGCTTTCATGTACAGCAAACATCTTCAGCAGTTTTTCTCCAACCCTGGCCTCAGTTGACATTCAACGTGTTCCTACAACGAGACACATCAACCACCAAGTATCATCAGGTCCCAATGATCTCCAAAGCTCCGGCCAGGAGCATTCAACACTTTCAGTGGGCTCTTGAAGAACAACTGAGAGCAACAGTTAGAGCAATTGGCTGGGTTGAGCCAGCGAAAAATCGAACAGGAAAAGTGCTTTGGTGCATATACAAGAGATGACCACAATAGATTCTGTGGATATCTCCACATCTGGTCTCGACCTGCAACCATGAGCCGACCAAATGTGTCAGAAGCAAATGGCTTAAACCCTGCACAGATGTGTTGAGGCAACGTGCAGATAAGAAGTCCTGCCCCACGGGAAGGTTCCCATGCTCCAAAGTAAGCCATCTCGCGGAGTTTTCCTGGGTGCTGTTGGCATATTGTCATAGGAAGTTTGTTCCAATCCACTACCTTCCACCTGCAGGATCTGTGGAAAGTCAAATCATTTGACAGTTGCAGAGGAGTTTTTTTTTACAAAGAATGGGGTCAAGGCGCACAATTTCCTGCAACTATTATTGGTGCCAATTGTAGAATTGATACCAAGTACAGCAAGGTTATAATAAAATGCCTGCGGGTCTGTAGTAGATTCTACTAGATTGGCAAACGCAATGCCGTACATCCTTCCGCAGTCTAGTGCTGGGCGTCGGAACGCCCAACTTTACCTAATTGGTCAATAGAAGCGAAAACCACTGCCACCGAAAATTCAATCAACTTGCAGACTAGTGTACATTAGTTTTTGATATTTATGCCCACTGTACCATAATTTATTTCATACTGACCATAAGAACGGGTCAAGCTTGGTTGGGTATCTCCAAATTCAAATACGCCAGGCTTTGGCGTGTTTATCCCATAATTGGTAATGCTTCCAAGCTGAACTTCACTTTGTTACATTGTATCTAGGATTGGTCATGGATAAGTCTAATAAGTGTTACATCCTCAGGGAGCCTTGCCACAGAGTTTCACCCTGGGGATCCGGCGGCGGATCGAAGAAACTCAGCGGAATCACATCAAAACAGGTTTATTTTTTAAACATAATGATTTAAACTAATAATGAACCATAATGATTGAACCATAATGAACCATAATGAACCATAATTTGAAATATGTTTGAACCAAATTGATTCCCCAACATGAAATAAGATCATTTTGGGAGGGTTGCCCGGCAACTACCATCGTGCACGGTCATGTCGTGGTGAGCTCGTTATAATTCACCCACGATTCATGTTGGATCTTCGGTCAGAAGAAACGGTTTGTGCATTCTTGAAAAACCAAGCAACCACACAGTCAAAGTTGAGATAGAATGTTATTTTTTCCGGAGGATATCACGGCCGATGTCATGAAATCAAACTTGGGCACGGAATTTGCCCGGTGATGTATATATGATTATATATGTATAATATATATATATGATATACCCTCCAGTAATCAAACATGGCAATTGAAAATCCAATCTAGATGGAGGTTTAGATGGATAAATCATCTATACATGTGTGATTTTCCATTGCCATATTTACCAGGGTAACTTTTCCACTGTGATCAACCGCTGTTGAACGAAGCTGGAGTGGATCGGCGTTGGCTGACGGTGCACATCCGTGCTTTTAAACATGTTTTCAAGGATCTGGGCATGTGGATATCCCAAGATTAGCCTGAAAAATGGCAGATCATTGATGGTCATTGGAGTTTTTCGCATTTTTTTTTGTGGTCCCAGACTTGTAATGCACCTGCAGCACACACGGTGTTACATCGGCAATGACGAAATCTGGAGAAAGCATCGGTTCGACCTGCCTTGGTCAATCTGCTGCGGGAGGGAAAGGGTGTGACCCAGAGCGAAAACATGCAAAACACTACAGATGTTGGATGATTAGACTATGATTTGTAGTCTGACCCATGGGTGATAGCTATCCTTGTGCCTTTGCCAAATTCTGCCCCAGCTATCAAACTGTCAGCAGTTGGGATGATGCCAGTATTGGTTTGCCCACTGAATTTGAACATGGGGTACCCCAATTTCAAAGTATTTTTTCCCCATTAAGTGGGGGCAACGAGTTGGTCCCAGGGTAAACAATGGCATGGACAATGGACATGGTAAGTCAGCAGTCCCGAAGAAAAAGGAGTTTCAGATCGTCCATGTGTCAGGCCGGTCATGCCGCATTTCCAGGTTTGGTATTGCAACTAGCGGCGCCAAGTTTCGCACGGTCACTTGCCCCAATTTGCCCAGGCGTTGTCACACGCTTGTCTGGGGGCCCCAGGTTTCCCAGATGTGGGAGCGGCTGTCAGAATGCTGCTCTGGAAATCTTTCTATAATATAATCATATATATATATATATACACATATTCTGAACATATCTTGCCCTTGAACATCCCTTGTTTGTAGACATAGAATATTTTCGCGTGAACTATTTGCCAGAGGCATCTTCCCCCATTGAGATGAAGATGATCCATCCCGACATGTCCATGGTGCTCCAAATTTGGCTCTTTGGTGGTTTACTACAATCACTTTCCCCTAATATGAGATACTGTACCCCCCAGGAAACCCCTGGTTTATCCTGGTTTTGTGTATTTAAGATTCGGGGGATGTGAGTTGGCCTTGTGGAGAGCACAATCAAATTTAGGATTTGGACCTCTGGCGGGGGCATGGTACATGGAAATCTTAGGTCCGCAAATATATCCATTGACTTTGAATTGCTAACCCCTTCCACTACCAGCAGATATATGGTCAAAATGGTCAAAGCTTCCTTCCAGCATAAGGAACAGCCCCGGTTGAAGCGGTGGAATGGATTGAATCTGTTTGGCATGCAACGGGGGTCCCTTTGCCAGAAAAAATCGGTGGATCCCGACGTTTGATGGTTGGAGCTCTCATAAATTGACGTTCACTTCCCAGCTGGACGTTCGTGGTTCAACGGTTGAGGCTACCGGGGTCATCAAGAAGTGGCCAGATGCATCTTGCACCGCAACGTGTTTTCTGGATTTTTCTGGTGGTTCAAGGTGAACCATCTACTGCTGCACTGTTTTTTTTTCCATGGTTTTTGATTGTTTTTTGATGGTCTTTAGCTACTGCTGCACTGTTTTTTTTGATGGATGATTCAGACTCCAATGACCTGACCAAGACTTGAGCGAGTTGAGCCCTGTGGATGAGTAACGAGTTTGGGTTTTTGCGAAGTGCTTCAGGAGAATCCCTAACCGACCAGTGGAAAGGGGGTACAGGACGCTTTGGGCATAGCTTGCGATGTGGGAACACACCACAGAAGGGGTCATCCGGTAGTGGACAAGACACATTGTAGAGCACTGTGCTGCACAACAGGATTTTGATGGATTTTGGAATTAGCAGCTTAGATTATTTGAGAAGGTACGAGTAGTACCCATGATTCTGAACATAAATAATCTATAGTGACCACAAATTCAAACGACCTCACCATCCAGCACCGGTGTCTCCATGGTTTTTCCAAGGTTTGGTGCGCTACAAGGCTAGGTGCTCAATGGAGGGTCATATATATATAATATATATATACATACATATTACTGTGTAAGGAATCCTATAATCATTAACTTTGCTTCCTTGTTGGAATGGCTGGGCAAAGATATGCAACATGTAACCTCCTCTATGCTACTACCTATCATGCTAAAGTTGGTTGTTGCAACAAGTGGGGATTGCAGGGGCAAACAAACAATCACGGTGCAAACTCACAACATGAGAGACATGTTATGACCAGTCTAGTAGACGGTGGGTGTTTTGTATCATTTTGCATCATGATGGTAAATCCTTGAATTGCACATTCTACTAGGATCCCCCGTAGAATCGTGGGAGGTCCAAGGCAATCCTCTGGAAGTTTTCGGTTTTCCCATCTGCTGCAGGCCCGTGCCGAGACGGATGCGCAGGGGCGACGACCATTACATTGGGCCGCCGAGCAGGGATGCGAGGTGAGCGGAGGGTGATCACTGAGCAGTTTCTTGGATTTGCCGATGTTGTTTATTTTGTCAAGAGTAAACCCGCCCTGACTGGGGAATCTAGAGCTAATACTTGACCTTTCAGGCAATCTTAAGCAAATCCATGATTCTATTGCAAGGGAAAATGACCGTTGAATGGGGGTTCAACGATCATGTACGGTACGGGCGTTTAGTTTTAGCCATCACAATTTATGAATGATGGTTGGTTGATGATTTGCTGTGAATTTATTAATTGGTTACCCTTTGGTCGTCAAACATGGCAATGGAAATATCCACAATGTGGGATTTCCGAGCTATCCATGTTTGATGACGCCGGAAGGCTGTCGTTTTTGTTTTTTTGAACATCTTATTGACATATTATTGACATGTTATTGACATAATATGGACATATTATAACCATGTAAATATTGATATATTAAATTATAACCATCTATAGATGTTTCCGTGAAAATCTACCATTTATCGAAGGCTGTCCTGGACGTGCTGCTGCCTGATGCATCCATCAATACCCAGGACGCCGCCCTGGTGCTTTTGTGGCAGATGGGTCAGGGTTCATCATGAAAACAAGTTGATTTCGTATGAATTCATGATGACCAAAATGGGATTTGACATGATTTAACCATATTTAACCATAAATTTACAGGAGATTTGACGTGATTTGATCATTAAAACCATGGCAATTTGGATGAATTCGGCCTGATTTGACCGTACCTCAAATGCGGATTTTGATCAAGAAATGGGGATTTGATCAACATATGACATATGACATAACCATTGGGAATTTCGCCACCAAGCCCAGAATGGCTGGATTTGGGGATTGCCGTCCAAAAATCATGACTGCAAACTAAGTGGTGAAGGGTCAGTTTATGGTGGTTAATCATGGTTAATCCTGACATAAACATCAACTTCTGGCCATATTTTTGGAGGAAGAAACGTTCTTAATATCATTACTTGCTATCTTGTTTTGCTTCAAAATGGGGTCCAACCGGAGTTGGCTCGAGGCGCTCTCACGGGTTTTTTCCCCCATTTTGAAGCATCTTATAGAATCTTAGTAGGGAAAAGGATGATGAACCAGTGGATTTTGGGATCCCATATTTATCCGGCTGGGCCCCTCTAACATCCCCTGGCAAAAAAACGTCACTCTGTCAGTGACGATTTTCATGGGAAATCAGATTGGCGAAGATTTCAGATTGATGAGTTTTCTCTACTCTAAACATCTGTCAATCGAATTCAATCAATCTACTGTATTTACTTTAATTTTTATTCTTTACTTTGTTGGATATGATATAATTACTAATCTACGGTACACAGTGCCCAGAAGCATGTTGGGGATCTTCTGATTTTCCTCCTTCTATTCTCCTGGCTCAAACGGGAGGGCTTTTTTGGATGTCCTGGAGAAGCATAGAAAGGCAGTGGGTTCGACCTCGCTCAGCTGATAACTGCTCCAAAGCTCTTCACAAAGTGAACGTCTGGCCCGAATGTGATGTCATTCCTTTATTCAATCTTAAAGCACTCCTGACTGTGGCTACACATTTCTTTCTTCGACTGCCACTTCATCAAGTGTTGGCCGGCAGAGTCTGACTGCAGGATTTGCTTCAAATCAATGAGCCTTTGGACACATGTCTTGGAAGGTTTCTATCACACCATGGCTGCCATCATAGTTATGCCCCAGAATGCGCCGGACAATGAAATTCGGAATTGGAGACCTCTGGGTGGATCACATTTGGGTACCCCAAATGAGATCGTGATGGATTGTGCCACTGAAAAATGATGAACTGTCAAGCCATGGTCCCCTGCGCAGCTTTTTGTTGGACACATCCGAACCTATGTCTATGTTTAGCCATCAGAAAATGGACTCGCTGAAGCTTTGTTTCTTCAGTCAACCTCATCTCGTCCCAAATAATCTCAAAGTTCTCTAGATGTCTTGTATTTGTGTTTTAATATTCTCTATCGCAGATACTTTTATGATCATGGTTTACGTCTTCTCTCTATCTCTGTTGTCTATCTTGGCTCGTCTTGTGCTAGCATTGTTCATTTTTTTAAAAATCTTTTTAAAATCTTATCTCATATAGTGTTACGCAATGACATTCCACCTTTCCATTCATTCTGTGAATCCGACGCAAACACCACATACGACCCCCTGACATTAACCACTGAATCAACCCTCGCAGATCGCAACATATTCTTTTCTTGCCCATATTCAATGTTGTAATGTCTTCATATTCCCTGAGACAGTCTTTGGATGATCGCGTTTGGAGAATTCGATCCAATTCGAGGCTTTTTTACCTCAGTCTTTGATCCTAAAAGGTTTCTATCTTTTGATCCCCAACAATGAGCCATCTGTGGGAATTGGTGGTTGCTATAAGCACTAGATATTGTGGGTTGGTGTTGTGACGATATTTCGATTTTCTCCGTCTTTTTGTGCCGTTCTCCCAACAGTTGCTGGAAAAAATCCGCATGTTGACCGGATCTTTTCTCGCTTCTGTGGATGAAATCTGTATGTCATTTGTGGGTTACGAAGTAATTTTTGTTTTATCTAATGCCTTCTTTCATGGCTTAAAACTGTCGATCTGAATGCTTCTGAACATCTGAGGAAAAAGGGGCAATTTTCGCACTTTCAGTGGTCTATCACCATCTCTTCTTCAATATGCTTGCAGAAAGTTAGATCCACCATGATCCATCTTTCCTTTCCGCGTCGATTCAGAAGTCATTTTTAGCCATTTTCGCCCAAGCATCCCAGATTTCATGATTTCGTCCAATGGAGTCCAATGGTTGGCTTACCCTCTGGTAAACCTACAAAAAACTATGGTTTTATCACCATTTTCAATGGGTTTCCATCCACTATTTCTATGGCCATTTTCAATAGTTATGTAAACGTTTACCAGAGGGTATATCCCATGAATATCCCATTGAATCACTATAAGATCCCATTTTTTATAACTATAAATCCAGATGTTAAATGTCCATAATGTCCATTGAGTTCCAGATGTTAAATGTCCATTTTCAATAACTATAAATCCCATGAATATCCCGTTAAATCACTATAAGATCCCATTAAATCACTATTTTCAATAGAGGGTAAACTAAAAAACCATCCTGAAACCTGCCTAAACCAACGGGACGTCAGGACTCCAGTGGCGCCTCGGCCCTGCATCTGGCTGCGCAGCGGGGACATGTGCCGCTGCTACAGAGACTTCTGGAGGAGCCAAGGGAGACATCGCCAAGGGCCGGCGGCTTTGAATGATGGGGCAACGGGGAGAACTGGAGAACCAGGGTTTTATATGGTTTTAATATGTTTTTCATATGTGTTTAATATGTAGTTTTAATATGTTTCAATGATCATGGTGGTAAAGCCTATTGAACGAGCCATCCCGAAGTCATCAACATAAATGGCTGGTATTTCTAGCATCCCTGAATGATAGGTTTAACATTTACATTGTGCAGCTGGGGTAATGGGGATAACCGGGAAAACCATGGGATAACAACTCCCATAAGTTGAGATATAACCCCAATAAGTGTGGTTATATCATGTTATATCATGTTATATAACCATTTAGTAGGATACCCTCCAGTAATCTTTAATGATACCCTTCGAGATAGTTTCATAGCTATGTTACAGCGGTTACATGTCCATCAAACATTATACCCCGTAGGTGGGACATATTCCTAGATGTTTTAATGGTACCCTCTCTAGTAATTTAGCATAGCTACGGAGCATGACATTTTTATAGGTAAACCAAAATAAATGGGCCATGGCTTTCATAGCTATGTTAAATTACCAGATGGTAATTTATGGGGGGGAACCCATCAAACATCTAGGAAAGTACAGCGGGGTGGGTTTTCATTGGTGTTCTTTCTTTCTTTCTTTTGGGGGGATCTACAGCCATTCAGAAATACTGGCGAATGCAGTATCACAATCGATGAGCGCTTGGAATCGTCATGAGCCAACCATTAGCCAAGGATTTAGCAGCGGGATTTTCCACAAGGTTTTTGTCACTGCGATCAAACATGGCCATTGGACATTCTCTATAAATGGAGGTTTCCTAAAATGGGGTTACTGTATCCCAAATCATCTATTTTAGGTAGGATTTTCCACTAGAAACCATCCATCTTAGAGGGTACCACCATTTTAGGACACCCCCAAATGGAGGTTTTGATGGAAAAATTAAAATAATCCAAAAGCGCTCGACTTTCAAGGGCAGTGTTTTTTAATTGATCCCTCAGCCAGGCACGTGCAGCCTTGGACCTTCAAGGGCATCAAGGAGTAACTTGGATCGTCCCGTTAGGAAGTATTGGGTGCATATATTTATATATATATATATATACATGTATATATATATATGATATGGTTATATATATATAATATACATACATACATATATATATATTAATATGGTATATATATATATGGTATATTATATGGTATACATATGGTATATATGGTATATATATACACTGTATATATGATATGGTTATATATTAACGTGGGGAAACCAATGCCATAAACAACTACCATTTGGAGATAGTGTAATTTGCACCATTTTTTTTTTTAATGTGATCTGAGGGATGGTTTATTATTGAGTTCACCACATTATAATGATATTTGATGCTCAGTTGTTTGATATAAGTCATCATTGGGATACGGCAGACAACTGATTGATAATAACTGTATTGAGAATGATTGACATACAATACATACATTATATATATATATGTATGTATACATACACATACAACACTATACAAAACAACATGTTTACACATGCACGTGATATGCAACAAAGCCATTGCAACGGTTTGAACTGTTGTGAGATATGTTGATATCATTTTATCATGTGTATATATATATATACTGTATATACATATATAATATATATATATACAATATGTACTGTGTAGTAGGGTACAACAGTTGGGGCTGATGATTGCCGGGGTCACCACCAGTTGCCAACTTCACCAGTTAGGCCGTTGGCTACTTCAATGACTTGGGGATTGACTCCTTGGGGACTCCTTTTCACCATGAGTTTCTCCAAAAAAAAACAGGACCACTTGGATGATACCTGGTTTTTTCCTCATAGGAAAGCCTCTAATATGTGAAGCAACCGTCGCTACGTAACTCATTGAAGCTGATCCAACATGGCCTCGAGAAAGTTGAGGAAACGGCCCTGATGCTTGCGGCTCTCAACGGGCAGGTGGAGGCGAGCCTGCATTTTGTCCTGTAGGATTAGAGGTTTACCCTTCCGATAAACATGGCTAGCTGGACAATTCCCCATAAATGGAGGGTTTAGAGCTTGGGGAAATTCAACTATAGATGACCGATTTCCTAGAAAACTATGTTTGCTGGAGATAATTGGATTCTTAGAACAGCATTTGAAGTCAATTATTTTGCACCTCTCAACATGTTCAAAAAACACCATCACCTATTTTCTTGGGTCCCTGAACCATACCTTGAACCGGGAGTCATGACTGGACTGGTTCTGCCTCATCTTCAACTCAAAGGTGGGGGGTTTCTCTGAAATAGAAATCCATGATCGTTGGTGATTTACTGTACCGTTTGTACTTTAGGTATGTCTATACATACACAAACTATGCACTCATGTACATAGGAGTGTATAGGCCCAAAATGGATCAAAATGGCATTGTTTCGGAAGCAGCCTCACTTCAGGCAGGTATGACGGAGTTCTGGGCGTCAGTGCCAGGCTTTGCAGTGCTTAGCACAAGCGCGTGCCAACTTGAACATTGTGGCGCACGATGGATTTGATGCGCATGGGAGCCTAAAGCCAGAAGCCGAAGAGGAGTGTTGGTGACGGGGACTTGGTGACTGCTGTTATACTCGATCTGATTTATTCATGTGACACTATGTCTTCACAAGAAGTCCGAGATAGCATTTTTCATGCCCCAAATCACATGCTCGGTCCATCGTTCATGGATTCTCCCCATTTTCGTGGTGAGAGTTCAATGGCTTACATCCACTTGCAACACCAACTGAGCAGGTGGTTGTACCCTGAATTCCAATTTCCAACCATCCAACAGCCGATGTTCCATGGGAAAGCCTTGGACCGTTAACCACTGGGCATAGGTTTGAACCTGGTTTGGAAAGTGAATGGGTACATGTTTGCCGATACATCGGGATACATTATACATACACTACCCAGACACACACACACAATATATATATATATGCATATTATATGTACAAGTCGTGTATCTACATGATGTATGTACGCAAGACAATGTTCATATCAGGTCAATAATCCCCACCATTGTAAAGTACGCCAAATCCATCCAAATCCTGGTACAGATTAGAACCCCCCCCCGCCCGCCACAATGCAGTTTACCTCCTGCTTGGGAGTTTTTTTTTGCTTCATTATATTTTTTTTTCTCCTTGTTTTTTTCCTCCTGTTGATGTTTTTGAGTCTGAACTCCAAAAGAATCCTGGTCCTTGAATCAAAAGTGCTTACCAACAAACTCCCAAAGGGGGTAAGTAAACAACATTATTTGACCCCCCGAACAAAGTGCTCCATCAATTGAGAGCTTCCCCAGAATCCAAAGACACATCAAGTGTAAGTCAACCCCACAAAGTAAGTAGGTTGGATTCCATTTCAATTTCAGGTGAAAGCGCTTAGAGCCGAATCTCATTCAATTTCGATTCAAATTCGATTCAACTTGAAATTCAAATCAAATTCAATTCACTTTCAATTCAAATTTGAATTGTATTCAATTTCAGTTCAGATTCAAATCAAATCAATCAAAGTTGAAGTCAACTTAGAACCAATTCAAATTTTAAAACAATAGCCATCTCCATTCCCAGACAGCTTTCCATGAATCATACATTTCTCAATTAGCAAGAAAATGCAAGAAAGCTTTACCTGACTCCATGTCCCTGGTCTCAAGAAGTCTGTTTGGCCTCAACTTAATTTGGATTGTCACTATGTTTTGGGGGGCTATATATATATATTTATATCATGTGGACATTACACGTATAGTCACGTATTATATATATAATATATACACACCCATATATATATACACATACACCCTTTGGTTATCTAACGTTGCTATGTTTTTTTCCCCAAACAGTGTGTCCACAATGAGGGTTCTACGGTAGGTGATAATAGCAGGGGGTAGATCAGGGTGCTCCATCTGGTCCCCGGCTTTTTCACTGTAAATTCTCGCATAAAAATTCCCTTGCGAGATGTCCGTGTGCATTTCCACTGCGCAGGCTCACACAAAATGTGGGTAACGGTTTTGTCTGTTTCGGAGGTGTCGTTTTAGGCTATCAGCTGACTCGCCGCCCCAGAAGGGTTGTTATTTTTTGCGGTCGTATACTTCGATATTGTGCAAGGTATGATTCCGTCTTGGTACTGTGGGGTGGGGTGGGGCGGGGCTAAAAACGTGCCGTGGCATTTGCACCCCAACATGATGCTACGTTAGAGATGGGATGGGGTGGGGCTAATAACGTCCTTTGGCATGCTCCTGTAAAAAGGAATATGTTGCTACGCTTGCACTTGTTGTTAACGCGCGCGAACACAAGTTTGATGTTATGTTCATAGAATGTGTTGCTAGGCTTGCACATGTTGGTAACGTGCGCAAACATAAGTTTGATGTTGCGTTGATAGAATATGTTGCTACTCTTGCACATACCAAAAAGGTTGATAAGATGGAAGCCAATCGCTTTCGCCCAAAAAGACAAACCCCATGGAGGAACCAATGAAAATCGTTGGAAGTGTGCGCGAAGCTTCCAGTGGAGGCATAATGCTTCCATCACAAGTTCCATCATGGAAGAGCCTCCCAAATGCTTGAGGCAGAGTTGAGAAAAGATGCTTCTAAGCCGTTTGGGCATGGGATTTCTTAAATCAACAAGCATTTCCAAACTTTTTCCTGACGTGGTCCAAAAACGATCGTTTCGCCTGCACGAGATACCATTTTCTTCGTTTTGAACTGGCCCACGCAGTACAAAATGATACTTTCTAAATGCCTTCCAAAGATGAAAAATGTAAAAGCACACTGGGTTTTCAGCATTTCATTTTGAGAATGAATAAAAAATGAAGTCGACAGTTGCGGGGCGGCGAGTCAGCCGATTCCCTCGTTTTACTAGCGCGCCGTGATCGCTTTTTGAGCTGTGTTCATTTCCTGTTGCAGGCGTGGCACTTTCGGGACACTTTGAGGTCTAAAGCGTCGTTTTGCGTGACAGTTGCAGGACATCGGACACTTTTTCATCCACGTGGCAGGCGTGTCAGTTTCTGGACGTTGCTAAAACGTTGGCAGGCGTGAGTCAAAATGAGAGGTGGTTTTGGAGGTCATTTTTCATGGCAGGGAAGGTATTGGTGAACTTGGACCACGTTTTCACAGGGTCGACAGTCTTGTTTTGTAAACCTGTCGCCATTTGTGATTTTGGACATGATGATGATTCTGTGTGGCAGGTGCAGCACTATGATCTTACAAGACCTTCTTACAAGAATTTGCGAGCATCCCAGAAGAACTTTCATACAACCACGCGAAATGCAGACCACCTTCAAGATCTTAATGCGAGGACCTCTGAGGGAGGATTTGAACAGAATCTCCACAAGATCTTGTCACAAGGACCTGTACAAGTCATGCACAGACACCCAGAAGATTTCACCCGGACCTCTTCAAGATCTTCTCACAGTCTCACAGGGGCCTGTACAAGATCATGCAAGGACCTCCCAGGATTTCGCCCGGATCTCGACAAGATCTTCTCATAAGGAGCTAGGCAGCTAGGCAGCTAGGCAAGATCATGCAAGGACCTCTTAGCAAGGATTTCGCCAGGATCTCCACAAGATCTCCTCACAAGGACCTGTGCAAGAGATGATTCACCAGGATCTCCACAAGACCACAAGACCTCTTAGAGGATTTCATCCGGATCTTCACAACACCTTACCCACAAGGACCTCTACAAGACCTTGGTCAAGATCTTCATACAGCACATGAAAGACGTTCATGAAACTCTTTGCAAGATCGTCGTAATAGGACCTTCCAAAGAGCTTCTAAGATCTCTTTGCCAAGATCTCAAAGCATCTGCTAAAATCATCGCCGCACCACAACCACAGCGACCACAGCGATCCGACACGCACAGTGCGCAAGCGATATCAAAAGCCGCACCGCGCCGCAACCAGAGCGATCTGACACGCCCAAAGTCACTAGAGGGTTTTTCGAGCGATATCAAAAGTCGCACCGCGCCACAACGAGAGCGGTCTGACACGCCCAAAGTCACAACAGGGTTGCGCGAGCACATGTTAGATTTTCACAAACCATTCCGTGCACCACAGAAAATGAACAGAACATGAACACGCAAAATGTCAAAAACATTTTTTTTACCTAGCTTTCGGGCACTTTTTTGTCGAGGTCTACAAAGTACAGCACCTGCCACGAAAAATGAGCCCGCGATGTCCTGGTATGAGGTTCTGGTATGAGGTCCTACGCATAGAGTGGCTTGTATTTAAAGCATTGACTTCCTACCCCTCACACTGTTTGGGGTCTCTTGCCAGCGCATTTTTTCAATAAATCATGATTTTTATCATCGAATTAAATGTGCTATTTTTCACGGCTATGCTATGTTAAATAGCCAGGGGGGTCATGAATACTTATATCCCCCACAAACCTTGGTTAACCAATGTCGTAAGAGCATTGTAAGAGTCAACTTAGCTGTTTGGGGGCCCCCACTTTGTATATGCACATGTATGATATATATATAAATAAACATAATATGTTTGCAAGATATTTGGGAATTCGCCATGAACTTTGGTTCCAATCCCATCCCAGAAACCCAGGCTGCACCTGGCCTCGGAAGCTCAACACTTCGAGGACTGAATGGGTTTGTCCGTTGTCCGTTGAAATGGGTAAATCATACTGGGGTCATTTAAGGAAAACCACTTTATGGAGATATTGATGATTTTTCATGGGATAATAATGTATAATTCATGTTTTGATTTCACAAGACATATAACGGACTTGTCCATTTTTACGGGGGATTCACCCTCGATTTCGAGCAATAAAATCAGCATGGGACACATAACCACAGGATTTTGGGGTGCTCCATTCTTATGGAAACAATCATAAATGGAGATGAGAGGTGGATGGGATTCAGCATGAACCAAAATTCTGGGTTCAGAATCGTTGGATTCTCACGATTCGGACTGGGAGATTCACCCGCATTTCCACACAAATGGCATTGCCAAAAATGATCAATTGGTGCATTACTATAGGGGTTGTACTATATATCTCGTTTTGAAGGGATTGCAGACCGTCCAGTTGAAAGATTGAAGATCACCCTCCCAGTTCCAGGCCACAGAAGTGTTACTGGCACTCGGGGCAGAGGCGGGTGACGCATAAAAAATGGGGAACAACAAGGCAAAACTACAGGTGACTGGCGATTTTACATGATTTTGTGTGATTTTTTGACGTTCGATATCAATTTAGAATTCAACCCTTCACATTTTGGGGGATCGGAGCTGACCTGATTTTATTCTTAGGAACAGGGCTTCATTTGGGCCAAGAATTCGCCATACCCTTAGCAGTCCTTTTCCCACCATAAGTTCAATTGATATAGGGTCCCCCCATCAAATGGCACACCAAGTCGTCCATTTTCCCAAACGGACACCATTGAGGCCGACGGCCTGTTTTCAGCCAGTTCTTGTGGAGTTTTTGTTGTGGTCTCCGCGGGAAAAATTGAACACTTTCGCAAGGTATCTAAGGTTTGCAATGTTAAGAGGCTGTTGGGAACCCGAAACCAAGGCTGTTCGCATCTTTCAAGTTTTGGTCGCTTTAGACTCTCGTTTCTTTGGGGGGCGTTGGGTTGATCACGAACTCATCCAATCCCTTGGATGAAGGGTGGAGTGCCAACCCGAGGTCAAGCTTGTGATCCAAGGGATCCCACCTGCCGTCATGGAAAGGGAATCCACGCAGAACGCAACTTGAGACATCTTAGTATCATCTTAGATCATCTTAGTAGCTAAGTAGCCATCTTCAAGGTCACATGAATTATCATGAATTGCACTTCACTGCATGAACATGAAACATCATGAAACGTCATGAAACATCAATAGTTCACATCGCCCCCCCATCTCGCCAACGTGTCGCAGGTTCCACCGGAGGGCCTGGTGTTGCCCCTCTCGGACCGGGGGGAATCCATGTGTCGGGTTGTGGAGTATTGATCCGTTGAGGTGAGAACAGAAAATTCCATGGCACTCTCCAGAACGGTTGGTTGGTTAATAGGGGGGTTGAAGGTATACCCCCTTAACAGGTAAATGATGATAGATGGTATACCAAAAATGATGAGACTTTCAACCTTGGGGAGTCTAACTCGTTTGGGACCCAGCCATACCCAGCCTTCCACTCTTCAGGACTCCCTCAAGGGTCCAGAAAAGGACGAACTGGTGCTGACCAAGAGGCAAGTGAATGCAAGTGATATTTTCTCGATGCTCAGCCGTGATCACACGTGGGAACTGTTCAGCATCAATATATAACTTTCGTCTAATCTTGTCCCTGATGTTCGGTGCAGCAACTCCCCTAGGATACTTGAAAGCTCAAGCAGGTCTTGTCTTCCCCATGATGCTCATGGGGCTGACAGCAGTTGATTTTGTTGTTCCTGGATGTTCCTGGATTCCTGGCCATTTCTTGGGTTCCAGCTACACCATAGATATCGCAATGCTGATCAAACCAGCACCAGTTTTCTCCTCGGACCAGTTTGGCGAAGCAGTTGCTCCTGGAGACGCAAGTCACAAGCCATGCTCAGGTCGCCAGGCAGGGAACCCTAAATCAGCTGGATCTGTATCATATTCCCTTATTCCACTATGAATTGGCCATAACAGGGGGGGATATAAATTGCCTGTTTTCAGACACACCCAAATTCCTAAATCATCCCAGCAGGTGGGTGGATTCTAAGCAGCATATTTGCGTTGGGTCTTCCACTCTAAATTAGTCAACTGAAGGGAATTGACTCTGAATGGTTACTCCAAGGCATATTGATCTTGAAGGAAATTGACTACGAATGGTCAAAATATGTCTGCAAACTCTAGGTGTGCTAGCCCCCTATTGGCTGAACGTGTCGACATATGGATGTTGGGGCCTTTTTATGCGCTGGCAAATTGCCTTTTTGGGCGCAGGGTTTTCCGGGACCTTGGTAGGGTGTCCCATCCAGTGGATCACCATCTTCCCAGGCAGTGGGGCTTCGGAGATGGACAAGGATTGCTGCTCGGCGTGGAGGTGTTGGTTTTTTTTTGAACCCCACATTAATGTATACTGCACAAAGAAGCGTGCATGTAGAAACACAATATATGACATTATATAACTATATAGAAATAAACATACATGCACATACATGCATTACATGACATGACATGACATGACATGACATTACATATGTTCTGTAAATCTGTAATTTGGTACACGACTTTTGTGCCTGTGTCCCTTGTTTTGAAGCTGAACCAGTATACATCCGTGTTTGAAGAAAACACTTTATTTGGCTTCGAACATAGATAGATTATGATAGATGCAGGTATGCAGAGTGGTAAAGGCATATAAATTCATTCACAGGTGTGACTAGATTGCCGTAGATTGGAACATTATCGACAACTACAGATAGTTGGATATATGAATAGAACAAAACTTATTTCAGCTTGAGGCTTACATAATAGAAATTCAATAGATAATTTTCGTCGAACAGGTGGAGCTGTGAGGTGCCAAAAACGTGGGTCTGAACAGGGAATTGATCCCGAGAACATGACGGGATTTTTCACATTGGGAACATGACGATCTTAACCAGTGGATGGAATATGATGGAAGGGTGCTGTCATTTTTCCATTAACTTGTTCTTCAAGAAATATCCAGCCAGGTCAACATATCCAAGGAATCCTTGCTGGATTCGTATCTGGCGAACATTATGGAGAGATCCCTTGCTTCTATTCAGCAGAAATCCTGACTAACGATCTGAAAATTGGTTCAAACGACTTTATTGAAGAATCCCAGAATTGGTTGAAGTGTTTTTTTTTGAAGATCCATATAAAGGCCCCATACTTGATGGGGAAATCCATAGTTTCCAGTCCAATTTCCCTTTCAACTGGTGGGTGCTGAAGCACATGAAGCACGATAATATCGAGGTTAGAGGCAATCGCCAATGCTGGATGCCCTGTGCCGGAGGCTCGAATTTTCCGGGCGTCTTAATCAGAACTTAAAGGTTGGAAAGCTGATGCTGGAACCATTCGAGGATGATCGAAAAAAAATTGTGGCCTTACGGGTGAGAGCCCCTCTGGCCCCATGGCTTCAATGGCTAAAATGATGAGATTTAACTTCAAACAAATCGCATCACATTACCATTTTTCTGGGTCTCAAATCCAATCTTTTGTCAATGGCGTGAATTGAATAGTTTCTATGTGTTTCCCCAAACTCAATGAATGGCGATCTCAGACCCCGGAACTCGAGGATCAACAATCATATATCGGTGTTCTGCCTAGATGTGAGGTCATGAAAAAGACCACTGGTAAATCGGTTGAACACGAATCAAACTTAAGGTATCTTGAATTATCAATGTCTAAAATTTCATCGCCTCAGCCGCCGCCCACTTTGCCGTGGAAGGAGCTGCAAACACAGGAGGTGGGCACAGATGTGATGGGCTGGGGCTAAGAACCAAAGAAAACCAGAATTCTGTTTGCACATTTTGATGCTTGAGGCAACAAATCCGCAGATTCAAGCCATGCAGACTTTACCTTTTGCAAACATGTGCGGTTCGACCAAGAAAATGGTTGTAACATGTTGTAACGTTGGAGATCCTCGAAAAGAAGGTACATCACCAACAAAGATCGAAGCTTTAACGTGTTGGAGCAGCAAAATAGTGATGACAAGTGTTTGACAAACCTGTTTAACTGTTTAACCTTTTGATTACCCTCCGGCAATCAATCGTGGCAGTGGGATTTTCCATTGATCAGTTTCATGGCCGGAGGGCAGTTATCAAGCATTTGCGATCCCTGGCTCCAAGTATATCCCTGTTCGATTGGGAAGACAGGAGCCCGGGGGGCTCTTCGACTGGGACGCTCTTTGAGCGGAGCCGTGCGGAAGAGAATGCGGAGAACAAGCAGATCAGATGGGGATGAAGCCCACCAGAATTGGGGAACGTATAGTTGAGGGATATAGTGCAATTTGAATTCTACAACAAAGAACTCTGGAGATGCTGGTTTTGACGAAAATTGTCCCAACACCAACCAATTGATTTGTTCTCATCAGAGCACCTCAGAAAAGAGGCAGGCCGCCCCTGTAACCCAGTCATGACAATGTCAGAGCCCAATTGCCACGAAACGCACTTTTTGAGATGATTCTCCCGACCAATATTTGTTGGATGGGTTGAAACCACACCAGACTACACCAGAATTTCTTTTCAGCCCTGTAATGAAGGTCCAGTTGGCCGTGGTGTTGACCACCAGAAAAATGCCACCAAGAAACGGTGAGATGAACATCCCCATCGTGGTATGTTCTAGTGCTTCTGAGCTGATTTTGCAGGATTTGGTGTCAAAATCAGGATAATCATGATCCTAAATGGGTGGCTTGCTACAAGAATATGACCAAGTCTGTGCAATCGGAGCCAAAGTGCTCCGACCGGCGTGTCCCGGCGTCGTTTGGAAATGGCGTTCCGGCACGGACGGGGGGAGTGGTCAGCCCGAAGTTCAAATTGGTACACAGAGATTTGTTGTAGTGGCTACTACATTATCTACAGAGGTTTCCAAAAAACCACTGTTTTCCCCCAAAAAACATTATCTACCCAGAGGTTTCCAAAAATATGACTAAAAAAAACACTTAAAAACCATTGGTTTCCCCATTGATAATCACCGATGGATGATTTCAGCCCCCTGAGGCTCCACCGAAACCAGCCGAGAAGACTGCAGGCACCAGTCGGCAGGGTGGAAACATGGGGCCCTGTCCTCGTGAAGAAGGGGAGATCTCAGTGACACAAAACCAAAGAAACATGGCGATTTTGACAGTTGATGTGAAGTTCTATTTGAAGTCGGGGATTTCAATGACAAACTTAGAGATTTCAACCACTAAGTGTGGAAGTTCAACAGTAGAAATGGGGAGAGGACAAAGCATTGTTTTTTAGATGAGGCTTTGAACGCAAATGACCCCATAGGTCGCCATAGGATTCCATAGGTCAGACCAGCAACGATTCACAGGATATAACTGATATAACCTCCAACCACCGATAGAAGGTGGATTTCACTGGTGAATCTCCGGCAGAAAGTTCGGCACAAATGGATAGTCGCCAAGTCCCAGGGTCCCAGGGTACCGAAAAATGACACTCTATTCTGGGTTAAAAAATGACCATTATATAACCATTTTGACATATTTTGATAACCCCATATTTTGGGGCTATTTTGATGTATTTTGGGGGTATAATCACTATGGTCGTTTGGTTGTCCCACTTATTAGTGGAACTGCGCCCCCAAGTTGCGACCATTTGAGGCGCTTACAGTGTAAGTTGTTTGACTTCCCCTGGGCCATCCACTGACATTCCGGACCCAGAAATGGCTTGTATATTTTTTTGGGGGTTTTCATAAATGGGGGTACCCCAAAATCATGGGTTTCAATATGTTTCAATAGCAATTTTTGGCCTAATTTTGGATGATTTGGGGTACCTGGGTACCTATATTCCCTGGCGTCACCGATTTCGTGCCGCAGTCGTAGAGTCAAAGACCAGAGAGGCGGGTTTCCGGTCAGCTGGGTGCTTGAAGAAAGGGTCGAAGGCGGAGGGAAATTCAATTTGTGATTTTTTTTGTTTCAAGCATCGACTTTAGAGACCCAAGTTTGACCTGACCCATACCCGAAATGCGGGACCCCAAGATTCCAAGAAAAACTGCCGATGCCATCACCATGTGAAACTGAGTCGAAAGGACCTCACCAAATCTGAGGCGCTGGTATGTTCAAGACAGCCAAGTTCCTCAAGGAAAGACTCAGGAAGGGGTTCTCAAACGATAGGTAAGTTTATGCATGTTACATATATATATATATATACAGCTAGATACTAGTAAGGCTAACCAGGATTTCTGGATCTAGAGTTAGATGGGGCAAGCCAAAGCAGAAAACACAACTGTGGAGGGCCCTTCCTTTCTATGCAGGTCTGATTTGAAAGGAATCGGTAGGATGCAATGCCAGAGAGAGGAAGAACTGAACTCTACTAGGTGACAATCCCAACTGAAATTGTTCACGGGACCAGAGCAATACTGTAACCTCAACCACAGATGAGATATCCTGAGATATCTTGAGATATGACTCATCTACCCCCAGCCCCAGTTGGTCGCACTCGCTTCCGCCAGGGAGAAAACCCGTGGACCCTGGTGTGGATTTCAGATCAGGACAGCGAACAATGGGTTATAACTCGGTGAATCCTATGGTTTATAGAGGATACAAAGATTGTGGGGGTTATCAACCAACTTATAACTGGGAATTGTAGGTTTTGGGCTCCTACCATCTCCTATAATACTTAAGATTAAGTGTCTCAAGGGCTATGTGTATGTATGTACAGTACATATACTGTATGTATATATATATAAATTGTATATATATATATATATACATATATATACATATACATATATATACATATATATATATACATACATATATATATATATATATGTGCGTGTGTGTGTATAACACAAGGTTAAACAGTCATGTCCTTCAATCATGGTGCGTTTGGGTTTCAGGATTTCTGCCGCTTTTGCAGCTCGTGCACCTCGCAGGCCTTCAAGCCCACGGCCGTGTCCCTGAAGACCCAACTCGAGAGCTTGGGTTGCCAGGCGGATCCCGCGGATCGTCATCTTACCCGGCCTGGTAAACATCGAAAAAGCTATTAAACATGGTCATAGAAATAGTGGATTTACCCATTAAAAATGGTGATTTTCCATAGTTATGTAAACGTTTACCAGAGGGTCTGATGTTTATGATGGTCAGTCACGACGAATCTACTGGTAGCATGATCAATGATCACATTAATGATATATTGTCGCTTCGACTGTTTGGATGAGGTTGCAATGAAACTTGAATGCTTTTATGGGCAGCTTTTAGGCTCAGGTGATGTCTGTCAGGTGCAATAAGTGCCACCAGACAGAGCCGCATTTAGGTGATTCCTGGTGCATTGCCTGCACTGGGTGTGAGGCCTTGGTGGGTGAGCTGCGCGCAGCGTGGGGGCTGGCTGGTACCCGTGCCCTAGCTCACGAGGCCATCGTGAGCACTGTGCGTCAAGTGCGCGCTTTGCGGAGGCTGGGTATTGCTGGCGCCGGGCGTGTCCGCGCGTCATCGCCTCCGGCTGGCCCTGGCCGTGCCGAGAGTGCTCACCCACCTCCTGAGCGAGGGGCCTCATCTGCCAAAGCCCCGGTGCCGGCTGTGGCCGCGGAACCGGAGGTAAAGAAGGAAGAAGAGGAAGGCAGCTCCGACTATAGTGGGTCTGAACAGGAGACCGACGGAGACGGAGTTGACGAAGAAGCTAACGATAAGAAGGAGACTTTGGACAAGGGAGCAGAGGATAAGAAGGAGAAGCGCCTTCCGGAAGAGGAGGACAAGAACCTGGGCCTGGTTGCAGTCCCTAAATCCGTGCCGCCTTCACGCGAGGCCAGGCTGGATACGCGAGAAGACCTTCCCAGACGTCGAACTTCCGACAGGGAGCCCAGGGACAGAGAGGCTGAGAACACTCGTGCCTCCTCCCGGGACCGACGAAGGGAGCCTCGCTCTCGACGAGCAGGGGAAAGATCAGGACGTGATAGAGCACGATCCAGGTCTAGACATCATCACAGGCACTCTGACCGAGGAGAACATCAAGACGGACGTCGCAAACGTCGAAAGACTCATCGTGCAGGAGCCAAACATCCTCGTCTTTATAGGGCGGCAGAGGAGCCTTTCCGCCGCTATCATCAGAAACCGCCAGATTCCTTTTGGGATCACCCTGCTACCCTGTAAGAGTAGCAATGGCGCCAAAGAAGAAAGGAGTGACCATACCCACTTTGCAAAATGGGTTTGGTGTGGAAGAAGGGGCAGAAATCACAATTGTTCTCCCAGAGTGGGGCCGGCTGTCATTGATTGCCGGGGGCATCATGGAAGTTGCACTTCATGGAAGCTCTTTGGGAGTAGGAACAGAAGAATGGTTTGCTATGTCCATCGACAGTGTCAAGGGAACCGCAGCCACAGGGTTTTGCGTGGCTGGCACTCTGATGGGTTGCGAGGCCGAAAATCTTATGGGCGAAGTTGCTTCTATTCTCGAAGATGGGGCAGTCCATTTGTGCCCAATGGACCCTTGTGGAGAAACACTTCACGCAATTCATGCTACTCGCATAAGGTTGTGGAAGCCTTCAAGCTTCGACGCAGCGTATTTGTCTGGAGAAGGTCAAAGGCTTCTGAAAAGACTACAAGAGACAGAGAGGAAGGAGGCAGCTGCTTTGAGTGGACCTACCCAGCCTCGAAAGAGGCCGGCAGCAAGCCGTGGGGGGACCGCTCCGGCAAGAAGAAGAAAGAGGGCACCGGAGGATACCGAGACCGGAGCAATACCTGTGACTTCTGGAGAGGAAGAGGAAGGAGACACAGAGGATGTGGACGACCCCTCGGCTGGTGCAAGCCGTGCCGGGTTGCGGGAACTTCTCAAGAAAACCAAGGAGAGGATTTTAGGAGGAAACAGGCCTGTCAGAAAGACGGGAGCAGAAGAGGATGTGAGTGGTGGACGGCCACCCGGTCGTACCAGACCTGCAGCGGGAAGATCGGGGCCAGTCAGTGGAACGGCCCTCAAACCTGGGAAGACAACGCCTTTTGGCCTGATGCCACTGGAGGATACAAACGAAGATGGTACGCCCATTTTGAAGAAGAAGAGGAGGAGCTCTGCAGGGGCCGCTACAAGCTTGCTGGCACAGGCCCTGCAAGCGTCAGCAGCCGATGCCCAGGCGAGAAAGGAAAAGAAGCGGGCGAAGGACAAGGAGAACCCCATCAAACAGTTGGTGGCGCTCTTGAAAGGAAAGAGCAAAAAGAAAAAGAGCAAGAAGGATGGCAAGTCGCGAAAGACCCGACAGAGGGCCAAGGCCTTGACCGCCCTGAAACCCGATCCAGGAGATCCAGACCCCGACGACTCGTCCAGCAGTACCGGAGAGACCAGCTCGGGCGAGGAAGGGGAGCGATCCGAGGCCGAGTCAGACCTCAGCTTCGAACCACCCTTGCGCAAGAAAGCGCTGAGGGATCCGGGCTCGGTCATGGAAATGTTGGTAAGGCACGCTCAGCAGCAGTTAGACCGCGGCTCTCTGATGGACACCGAGGCCGAAGGAGGAGCTCTTACCTCGGGGGTGAAAATAGCGACCTATTTTGCGCTGCTCATAAGGCCATACCATCAGCCGGGATCACCGCTGCTGAGGGAGCTTTACTCGCTCGCTCAGAGCATCGACCTTCTTCGAGCTGGAAGGCTGCCGGAGACAGCGGACGCTCTTGCGTCGCGTTTTGTGGCCGTGCACACGGCATTGACAGACGGGGGGTGGGGCACAGCTTCACAGCTGGAGCTTCACCCGCTCGAACCCGTCCAATCAGCCAGCACGGCCACTATGCTGGAGGCTCAGAAGCATCGAAGGCTGGTGCTGAAGAGTCAGGGCCTGGGAACGACCTCATGGTGGAGCGCCAGCGGCAAAGGCAAGGGGGGCTTCCCTTACCGCGAGAAGGGCAAGAAAGGAGATGGCAAAGTGAAAGGTCGCGGAAAAGGACGACGCTCTGGCAAGGATGCTGGCTGGAGCGGGTCAAAAGGAGAAAACAATCCGTGGAGAGAAAACAAAGAGGACGCCCCCAAGAAATAGAGCTGCAGGATGGTGATGGTGACAAAAATTCAATGCAAGATGCTTTACAGGTTGGGCTGGCGCAAGCCATGCCTCTTCCGATCGGGCTTGAACGGGGAACGACAATTTTTAAGCTTTTGGCCGCCAAGTGCAGCAGTTTCAGATGCCTTGGAAGGGCCATGCTGTGGATGTTTTTACGATTCCCCGGGCTGGAACGTGAGAGGTCCGTGCCTGCTACGGTTCGGCATATGTTTTTGGGCAAGTCCAAGATGGATCCTGCCATGCACCGGAGTGCACTTACGCGGTGTCGCTCCTTGTTTCCCCTTCCGGTGGGAGATGTTTCAAAGATGAAGGCTGCTGCCGAAGCGCTAGCGCTGGATGATTTTTGTGCGTCGCATTTTGCGATTTTGGATGATGTCGAGGTGTGGACCATGCTGACGGTGTTAGGACTCAACGGTTTGGCTGGCTTCGGCCGTGCCACTGGTCATGGACGTCCTTCAGAGCCGCAGCGACGTGCTTTGGAGTGCCTGCGGCAGAGCACAGCAAGGGTGCTCTCACCGACGCTTCGACTAGATCGCACAGCTGAGGAAGCTGAAAAAGAGCTGGCAGGGCGGTTTGTCACCTACACAGGGGAGGAAGTGCCAAAAATGCAGACTATTAGGTTTGATGCTGCTGTAGCTGCCCTGCCCCCTCAATCTCATGGAGGTTCTATTGATGTTTTGAAGTTGGTTTCGGATGGCACTAGGTCGTTTCTGGAGAACCCCGAGAAATCCCTTTTGAGCCAACCAAAGACTGGTGTGAAGCTACAGGCAAAGGTTCACATTAAACCTGAGGAAGCACTGCCCTTTTGTCAAGAGCTTGTTTCAAGGAATATTTGTACGTGGGTATCTCATGATGATGTTCTTCGAGTCAATGGGGAATGCGTGTTAAATGGTATGTTTGCCGTGGGAAAGAACAGCTTTTTGGACTCTGGAGTTGAAGTGCAACGAACAATCATGAATTTGATTCCCTGTAACTCATGTTTCAGACAAGCTGAGGGTGCGACTCATGAACTTCCTTCTATTTGTCAGTATCTTTCTCTGGTTTTGGATGGTGCCTCAAAACTGGCTTTCTTTCAGAGCGACATGTCCAGTGCGTTTTATCTGTTTAGAATCCCAAAGAAGTGGTCTCGGATGCTCAGCTTCAATATCGACTTCGATGGGGAGTGCCTTGGGCTCAAGAAGGGCGTGCGGTATCATCCAGCATGCTCGGTGATACCAATGGGTTGGCATTCAGCGGTCTCGATAATGCAAGAAGTTGCTGACAAGTTGACCGCCTTGGGACAGCTTCCAAAGGAGAGCATGGTGCGCCGCAACATCCCTTTGCCACCCTGGCTGACCGACGTGTTGACCGAGGGATCACAAAAGCAGAAACCTTGGTATCATGTTTATTTGGACAATTTCTGCGCAATGCAGAGGACCGCAGATAGAGGCGAGCCTGAAGAGGCGCGTGTGCTTCATGAAGAATTGGAGCAAGCGTGGAATGATGCTGGAGTATTATCGTCGGCAAAGAAACGAGTCAGTGGTGCGATTAAGGTCGATGAGCTGGGGGCGCGGTTAGAAGGAGAGGCTGGCACCATTGGGCCGAGCCCCGAGCGCCTATTGAAGCTCCTTCAAACTACGCTGGTGATCATCAGCAAGACTCGGCTGCGCCGGAAATGGGTCCAGGTCGTAGCCGGAAGATGGGTGCATTGCATGTCATTCAGGCGGCCTACGATGGTACTGCTGGACCGCACCTGGCAGTATATCTCTGAACAATCGAATGGACCCAATGTAGAGGCCTGGGTTCGAACTGAATTGTTTGGGTGCTGCATGGTGGCGCTGATGATGCACACCAACCTGAGAGCGGTGATCAGTGAAACGACCACTGCAAGTGATGCTTCTAGCACTGGAGGAGCTGTGGGAAAGAGTACAGAACTCTCTGGTTGTGGTACTGAATTTGCGGACATGGATGCATCTGGCTTGGGAACTGGCAAGGTCATACCTGTGCTGGCTTTCGGGCTTACGATTTATGTGGAGTTTTGCCTCAAGTCGCAATTGCTTACGAGCTGTCCAGCAAACAGGGTCACCAGCAGGAGATGGCCCCATGTGCAGATCGAGAAGGATGTGAGGGATATCAATGAAGAAACCATACGTCAGTGGCGATATCGCTACCCTGGCTTGGAGGAACTGCATCTTTGGGGTGGCTTCCCTTGCGTAGACCTCAGCCGGGTCAAGGCAGGGCGCAGGAATCTGGAGGGAGCTGAGAGCGGCCTTTTCTATGAGATCCCGAGGATCCTGAAAGAGATAAGGAAAGTCTTTGGATACCATTTCAAGGTTCGCTACTGTGTAGAGAACGTGGCCAGCATGGATGAAGCTGCCGAGGCTGAGATTTCTCGCGCCTTGGGGGTTAAGCCCTTCTTGCTGGACCCTTGGGGCGTTGTCCCACTTCACCGGCCGCGCTACTGCTGGTCGAACACAGAGATTGTCCCAATGGAGGGCGTGTGGCTGGAGGAAAAAGATCGGTGGGTGGAAGTGAACATCAGCCATACCTATCCCTCTCTGGATCAATGGCTGGAACCTGGAGCAGTATGGCCGGGATACAATAGTGGGGCAACCCTTCCAACATGCATGAAATGCATAAAGCGTTCAAAGCCACCTCCAAGACCAGCGGGAATCAACAGGGTTGACATGAATGGAAAACTGCGTTGGGAAGCTGACAATTATAAGTTCCCTCCTTACCAATACCATGAGAAATTCATCATATGGGTTGGTGAAAAATGGCGCCTGATTTCTGCACAAGAGCGGGAGCTTCTTCATGGTTTGGGATACAACCACACGGTTTTGTGCATGAATGCCAACGATATAAAGCGGTCACCCCAAGAATTTGAAGACCTCAGGAAAACGCTCATAGGTGACAGTTTTAGCTGCTATTCCTTCTCTTACATGGCTGCCATGCTTTGCAGTAAGTGGGTTTCCATTCCTGATTACACCATTTTGTTCAATCGGATGGGGATGGCTCCTGGGTACAACTGTGATATCAATGTTCGGATCCCATTGCAACGAGGGCTTTCATATGGAGCTACTGACCTGAAGCTGCCTATCTCTGCTTTGCATGCCTCACTGCTTCGCCGTGTCAACCACACGGGATCTGATGTTCGTATCTCTAGCGGAGCTGTTTTGAACCCAAGGGCCTCCCCCCGTCAAAGTGCAGCAGCAGATTGGTGGGTCTGGCAGAAGGTATTTGGCTATAGATGGAGTAAAGGAGAACATATCAATTCCCTTGAACTGCGTTCAATTATACATTCGGTAGAATGGAGGATCAGGCATCTTAAAGAAGTTCATGCCCGAATATTTCATTTGACTGATTCGTATATTTGCATGAGCATTGTTTCCAAGGGTCGATCGTCCTCTAAGATGCTCAAGCCTTTGCTGCGCCGACTCACCTCTGAGCTGCTGGCGTGGGATATCTACTTGATTGTATCCCACGTCGAATCAAGTGAGAATCCGACTGACGATGCCAGTCGCGCCTGAGTGCTGGCCAGGACAAGCGAGTCAGGCTGATAGGCGTCGTGCCAGACGTAGCATTGTCCTTGAAGACATCGGTGTCACCACCGCCACTTTGGAGCGGTATCAATTAGCAGTTTCACGGCTCACGCCTGTCCTTGAGCTGGTTTCGACCGAGCTCGAATTGGACGAATACATTGCTGACTGGGTGCAATCAGAATTTGAAGATGGCTGCCCGTTGCACCTGGTGGGAGATGCACTTTCAGGACTTCATCATTTTGAACCATGGACCAAGAAGAAGTTGACAAAGTCCTGGAAACTATATGCCATTTGGCGAAAATATGAAATTCCTTGCAGGGCGCCGCCTATCACCCAAGACTTGGTACTAGCAATGGCTGGCTGGTGCATACATCAGTGTGAATTAGTGATGGCCGCTCTGTTATTGCTGGGTTTCCACTGTCTGATGAGGACTGGAGAACTTATGCAGGTGAGGCCTTGTGACTTCATAATAAATAAAGAAGTGGGATTAGTCAGTATCCCGAGCAGCAAGAGCGGGGTGCGTAACAACTCCAGAGAAAGTGTTACCATCAGGGACGCTTCAACGCTGGAAACTACGTTGGCAATGCTGGAATTGCGCAAAGCGCAAGGGCTGGATAAAGTCCCGTGCTGGGATCGCAGTGGCTCTTCATTCCGAGCCCTCTTTAAACGAGCAAGTGATGCTCTGGAGCTCACGGTTTTGAATTTCAGGCCTTATAGCCTCCGTAGAGGAGGAGCAACATATGAAATGCAGAGCCATGGACTTATGGAGCGGACGCTCATACGTGGGCGCTGGCGCAACAGCAATGTTGCACGCATTTACATTGCTGATGGGCTGGCAATGCTGCCGCGCCTCAAGCTCAGCCTACGCGCCAAGTTCCTAGTGGCGAAATTTTCGTCGACATTTGTCAACGAGCACCACACGTTCGTGGCTGGGAAACGTGGAAAGAAACGAAAATCCAATGAAACTGGCTGATGAAAGTCCTGCCATGGACATTGGATAGTCCTGCCATGGACTTTTGGAACATCCCCGTCAGGGGTTTTTGCTTGTGGTTTGATAAGGCCCTGCCATGGGCTTAACAAAGTCCTGCCATGGACTGTGCATGTTGCATGTTGGCTTGTAAAAATTTCTACAAGTCCTTTCAGGATACCTTGAGACTACTCAAGGTGACACGTCCTTCGTGCATGGCAGAAAAGTTGAGTGCAGCCCGAATCCAATATTGTCGCTTCGACTGTTTGGATGAGGTTGCAATGAAACTTGAATGCTTTTATGGGCAGCTTTTAGGCTCCCTACCTCTCCCACCCTGGGGAAAGAAACGAAAATCCAATGAAACTGGCTGATGAAAGTCCTGCCATGGACATTGGATAGTCCTGCCATGGACTTTTGGAACATCCCCGTCAGGGGTTTTTGCTTGTGGTTTGATAAGGCCCTGCCATGGGCTTAACAAAGTCCTGCCATGGACTGTGCATGTTGCATGTTGGCTTGTAAAAATTTCTACAAGTCCTTTCAGGATACCTTGAGACTACTCAAGGTGACACGTCCTTCGTGCATGGCAGAAAAGTTGAGTGCAGCCCGAATCCAAACCATAGGACCATAGGACCATTTGAGTCTGGATCAAGATTTCATCATACTACGAGACAAAACTTTTTAAAGTTTGCAAGCCGCCTGCATTTCCGTATTTTTCGTACCCATCCTCTATTTTATGTTTCAACCAATCGACATGGGCTATCTATCGATATCATGGGATACCTATCATTGGCTTGCTTACACACATTTATGGGATTTTATGGGTTCGTCTGAAAATTATAGGAACAAAACTTTGGCTTAAATCATCATTTTTTTGGTGAAACAAAAGTTTCAAATACTATTTGAGAGATGAATCTCCCATGTTCGGACAAAACGTGGGAGACATAAGTTGATGACCCTCAGCCCCTTCCCCACGTGTGTGGTCTCAGCATAGGTGAAGGGTTACAAGACCCACAAGAACGCAGCCAGGTCGGGTGCTCACGCCGGATGCTGTGATTATGTGGATTCAACCAGAAATGATGGAATACTGGGATTTAACCACACAAACATGGGGATTGATAGGTGAGTGTGTTCTAAGTTTACCCAAACTGATCTTTCTGGTGTCAAAAAAAACATGGCTGGCTGAGAAATCCCCGCACTAAATGGAGGTTTATTAAAATTATAGCTGGGAAAACATCATGCATAAATTTGGTTATTTTCCAGCAAACCATGTTTACCAGAGGGTAAGCAATCCCCAAGACTTTCCTGTGCGAGGGAGCGATTGCCATGTGTATCCATCCCAACATTTCCCAACAAGAAATGGGGAGCCAAGGAGCCACTAAGAGTTTCCGAACCATTCTTAACCACTACAATATATATATATATATCATTATGTACATATCATATTATGTGTACCTATAGATGTATTATATATAATATAATATATATATATATGATAGTTGACGCAACAATCTGATTTTTTTCGCTATGATTCATACATTTTGATTGCCTGGGAATGTGAGCGACCTGGATCACATCCGTAGCCACTGGAAATGTCTGTCGCAGCCCCTTGAAACGATTTGGAAGACATGATATCTTGGCGGAACCCTGAACCATAGCCGAGCGCAACAGATTGTGGAGTGAATCGTAAATGATCCAGATGTGAGACCCAAAGGTATCCGACATGTTGCGGAACATGAGCGACCTTTCAGTACTGGATTTGGGGTCGGCAACTCTTGGATGTACCTGGAGTGGGTGCTATGTGCCATGTGAAAACATCCTTCAGCCGAACTAAGAACACTGCTGATGGGGTGTTCAGTGTCCTTTCTGTGGCTAATGAAGCGCATCTCCTACTCACAAGTTATGATAAGGATTGGCATGTCCATCTTGGTTTTTGCCGCTTGGGTCACGTAGAATCCATGTGCGTGGCCAGTTTCATGTCATGGCCCCAATTGCTGTGGCCTTCAACGCGTCCCCCATTTTTTCACCCCGCTTGGGTTTGTTCGAAAATCCGCCCCCCGCCAAATCATCCCAAGTTCTATCGTTCAAAAATGAAGACTTCATTAACCCATATTTTCTTTTATTTTCCAATAATTTCTTATATTTTCCCTTTAGAAATTCTATAGAATTGCCATAGATGGGGACCATCCCCCATTCTCCGGACTTGTCGGAGGGCTTTGGACAAGAAGAGAGGCCTTGTTCGCACCGTCGCCTCAGACTCAGTGGAAGCTGATGGTTTCATGGAAAGGCGATTCAGAAATGGATGATTTAGGGGTAATTGAACTGGAAGGGCCCATGGATTTCGATGATTTACCAAACATTACCAAACAAAAACCTGTGATTTTCCACAATTATTTTAAATTACAGGGCATAGCAAGTTCGCAAACAATGATAAACCATGATTTGTATGTCCCCCAACTGGGTTTGTCTGAAAATACACTCCATTTCATGAATTGTTTTTTTTCGGTAATTATCCTCCAATTTTGGGCAAAGCCAACTCGTGTCCACGCCATTTGGGTGATCACGGACCACGCGGTTTGTTGAGGTGATGGTCACCGCAGCCGAAGCATTGCCTTTCTTGCAGTGCCGATGGTGGGTGGGCAAAACAAAGATTTCAACTACCCCACTGAGGAACTGATGGTGATGCTGGCGGGGAATTCTTTGGGATCCGAGATTTCAACTAACCCGGACTTTACATGAGGATAGAAGCAACTAATGATGGTTGAAGCACACATGGGGATAGAACAGCAGACATTGGGAATAGAAGTTGCTGGTTGCTGGTTTCATTTTGTGTATATGATTGTCCAGCCTCTGGATCATCCCCGTGACTCGAAAAATCAATCTGGGCAATTGAAAGCCATCACTCCTTGGAACATCGAACCTGGCGAATTTTGGATGATCTTGGGGTCCCCCTTGGTGGGAAAGCGCCGGAAAGCGCCATGTTTTGGCAGAGCATTCCACATCCCGAATGAAGTCGACTGTGTGAAGGGCTTGGTTCTCTGGTGGCTGAAAATGAAAGAGTGATTGAGCCCCAAAAATGGATGATTCACAATACATCACAATACTCTATAAAAACATGACCAACTCTTTTGTGGTCCATTAGTTCCCCTAAGTTTTCACCAATTTCCCATTTCCCATGCAGAAACTCCAAGAAAGATCGGTTGCCGTCGTGAGCCGGCAGGTACTTGCAGTCCCGACCCGAACTCTTGTCAACCCCGGTGGTCGTGGAGGCTAGCCTTGGTAGCAGGATCCACAACGTACCACCCCAGATAGATGGAAAGATATGAAAGAGTTTTTGGGCAAGTTATAGTTACATCATGTTACATCATGTTACATGTATTTGTCGGATAAAGATCATCTATTACATCCTAAAACTTTTCTAGTTCTATTCGGGTCTGATAATCATCAAGCCCCTTTCTCCAGGTGGGAGTGACTGGATGATTTCACATCTTGTACAGTTCGGAAAAAAGAACACAGGGAGTAACCACCGTCCTGTTTGTTGATTTTCAACATCATTTCTTTAAAAACAAATTTGAGGTGTTCCCCCTATGATTGCTTTGCTACTGTATGTTCAAATCTGACATTTAGCGGTGTTCCACGCGAATCCATAAGGCCTTATTCGGCACTGGAGTGCTTTTCAGTTTCTGTGCCACTTCTGATATGTCCGTTAAATTACTGGTTGGTGGTTTGGAACATGAATTTTATTTTTCCAGGGAATGACATCATCCCAACTGACGAAGCCATATTTTTTAATGGGGTGGCTCAACCACCAACCAGATTAACATAACAGTACCTCGAAATGAGAAGGTCTCGTGTGGTCATAGATTTCAAGCCATTCCAGACCCAAATTTCCGGAAAGTGATCAACATGTGGCTATGGTTTTTCGGGTTGGCCTTCTGACAAAGCGGAAGATAGATGAGTCGTGTTCCCAGTCCCAAGGACAAGGAGGACCATGTCCCCCCTAAATCTGTGTGATATCTCCAAGGGCATATCCTTGTTTGACCAACAAAAATGAAGATTCAACATCAACAATGTGCATTCAACCAGCAAAACTGGTGATATAATGGGATACAATGGGGACACAATGGAAATGAATCAGGATAAACGTGATAAACTATAACGACTTCACATCGCGACGTCATTGGACTGATGGTTGGTAAAGTTTTGCATTGCGTTTCTGGACAATGTGCATTACAGTGAGAATCCGGGAAGACTTTCTTGAACAGGCGGAAAGATATCTCGCTGAAGCCCAGTCGGCGTATGGACGTGTTTCTGATCTTCAAGGACTTTGACCACCAAGGGCGCCCTCGCTTCGTCCGCTGATGCCGACGCTGCCAGACAGTTCAAAAAGGTGTGTCAAAAAGGTGATGGTTGGTAAGGGGAATCATCCCAAATGATCCCAGGGATAAAAACGGATAACATGTACAGTATATATATATATACAATTATATACATACATGTACCCAATTATGTATATACATACATTACATTATATTACATTATATTACATTACATTAGATTATATTATATTATATACACACCCGCTTGAATGCACTTTATCCACATTTTAAATCATTTTGAAGTGGATTTCCTGGGGTCGTTTCAGGCGACCTCCCGCGGCTTTGGGTCCCTTCCCAAGAGCCCAAACGTACAGGTGCGTAGGGCCCCGCAGGAAGCCCTTAAAATATGGGGTGTGTCGGTATATACTAAGAATTTCATGGGGATAGGCAATGGGGGGAATGGGAATATCGGAATATCATGGGTCAAGAAATAACCCGCCATTTTATGATGTGATATTTAGATGTGTCTGAAAATGGGGATTTTTCCCTGTGTGGAATGGCAATTTTCAATGGGGGACAGGATTTTCTTCAGTGAATGCAGCAACATGGCGATCATTTCTGAGTATGCTGGGTCCGTGACAGCGCTAAAACCTTGATTGAGGGAAGCTACCTACATGAAACAACCATGGA